TTTAGGACCGACCCAAAACCATTAAGTTCTTTCAATAAAGGTTATTCTTTGTTGATACTAAAGCTGAAACACGCCAAACGTCTTTTTATTCGCAGAATCAGGATAAAAAATCAAAATTAAAAAATAATGAAAACTCACAAAGTTATAAATTTTTTTGCACCCCCTCCCTCTCCTCTGCTCCGCGTCCTGCACCTTACACTACACGATTCACTACTTTTATGTACTTATTGTCCGCTCACAGAATGTATTCAGAACATTGGCAATAACATTTTCCATCACACTTACAGGCTTTGGATTGTCAGAATGGTTAAACGCCATGTAAGTCTAGCGTTAATTATTGAGACAAAGAGAAAATTTTAATCACCATTATTTGCACTAATTTATCGAATCTTTGGGCTTTATTATTTTCGAGCAGCTCTTGTGCTCGTCTAAAATGGTAAAGGTATTGGTGGTTATTCCTAAAAGTCCACCACACGTAAGACTGACTTACGTTGAATAATCTCCTCGCCTCTGTCTACTGCGACTGGTCTGAACTGGCCATGGTCTCGTAAGCGCTGCGTAAGGCTCAGCATTGTGTTCCATGATACCAAGATGCCAAATTGTTCATGATAACGTCTCACTGCTTCAGCAACATTATCACCACACAATGCAAGTGTTCGTACCATTTCCACATATTGTACATTGATATAATTGTAAGACATGTTTGTAATTAACGCACTTTAAAAAACACCGCGAAACGATAGACGCCCGTGGGATGCGCAATCGCTTGCTTGCAATTCGGAAGAAAGTTTTAAAAGAAAGGATTTCAAAAATTTCATATAATTTTGAAGAAAAATATAACGTGGTATAAAAACTATTGGAATGGATTCTGCTACTGATTCTGAATAAAACTACTGTCAGGTTTCGCATGAAGTAGGAATAACCTTGTATAAATAAGATGAAATAAAAATTCTTGAAATTACATGAGCTTCACCAATCCGTATTTACGAAACTGAAGGGAAATCGGTTTGCGACCCGACTTGGTTTTTTTTAAAGCTCAAAGAACACGAATCTACGTATTGAAATACACAGCATAGGCTCTATTAAGATTACCTAATTTTATTCGCAAAATAAACCTTTAAAACATAACTTTCTTTCGCGTTTAGTAAATGTCGCTAATACAATTTATCAAGGTGAATCCTCGGTTCATGCATACCAATGACGCTTTCTCCACTTAGTTATCGCGTCGCGTGCAGGATAAAACGTTCAGCTTTTCTAGATAGGTTCCTATCTCGACTTACCTATTACACCTATTTACCGTACGTAAATCTCGTATGCTCCTAGAACATGGGGCTTCTGTGTGTTGCCTACTCGGGAAATATTGTATGCTAGAGAACAGACAAGTATTGGGTCCATCTGATGGTAGATGAAATACCTCAGCCATTTTACGTCTCACCAAGATGCGCTGTCGACCTTTTTTGGCTTTGAGTATTCGGAAATCCACAGACTGAAATCGAACGCAATTTCAGTCAAGTTTAACGGACTGTGAACGGTGGTTCGTGACCCAGACGGATTTCGTTCTATTTAATATCCAGATTCCCAGGCGAAGTCGAACATGTTTCATAAAACTTAATTAATTAATGTTTATATGAAATTAAAAACCTTCGTATGCGACGCAATGTCAGGCAACGGTCTACTACAGCGACAGGGAGGCGCTGTAGTACAGTTTACAAAGGCCCCGAGATAAATATCTCGTGAGCTTTTCTAAATATTGTAACATACTTGGATTTCAAATGACACTTTCAAATTTGGGAAATTCAGAGAAAATCTTTCAATGGGTAGTTGGCAATTAAAAATTAAAATAAATAATATCGTATATTAATTTATTGCTTTATCCTAAATTAAAAACAATTCGTTGAAACATTTGCATAAACAATATGTTAAGAGTGACCAACGTTGACGGCCGTACACAAATATACACAAAATACTTACAAAAATGAAAATAATACCATTACAAAATACAGAAATAATTATCAAATATTAACATATAAATATATCTCCAAAACAATATAATATAGACACTACGTTACATACATTGTATAAGTAAATACTGATTATTGTCAATTTTAAAACACACTTTCGGGCAACCTTTCTAAATACAATAAATATGTAAACGGGCCTTTTTTACATATTATATACAAAAAAACATAAATACTTAAGCGATAAATAAACATTAAATAAAAATCTGTAGGCTCCAATCAGATGGCAATAACTTATCAGATCAAATTAACGTTATCTTAAAACTAAAAAAAAATCAAAATCTAATCTATTGTAAATTGAACTGCTTTTGTGCATGCTGCAGATTAAACTGATCTCTGGTAACTTTATCGCCAGTAGGTTTCAGGGGCTAAATTGGAGCTATGGACGTAAACAAATGGTCTGTCAAAAAAACAGTAAAACTTTCGTTTAAAAGACCATCATCCGTGAAAACGAGAATGAATGCTAAATTAAAATGATTTCACTGGCAACACAGCAGGCTGGCTATTGCACTGACAGCTCGGTGGCGCCATCTCTGCGCCATAAACCTAAATAAACGATTGCGCCAAGCTTGTGAATAAAAGCGACAAGCGGAAACGTGAAATAAACTCAAATCAAACTGTACAAAAAAACTTAACTAACTGTGCTCAAATATAAAATCGTAAGCCTCATCACATGTTAATTATATCATTGAGATCGTAAATTCTACCGATTGTCCGAATGTGACATATAAGACAAAATAAACTCTATCATAAGGCTATAAAGTTGTTATTGCTTTGCAATACTCATTAAAATGGGATATTTATCGATTACTGATTATAAATCTGATGCTTCTCTAACAATCGAACCCTACAAAACAACAACGTAAGTCAGGATAAAACACACTTGTTATTGTATCTTGTATAGTGAAATTATGCAAATAACTTCTCTTGCATTGTGTATACATTACAATTTCTATATTATTCTGACTTTTAGATATTTCCCATTTTTTACAGTATTGCCATGATCAATACACCGAGTATTTATAAATATGTTGCAAATATTTCGTTAAACAAAGGGCACTTGATAGTAGCTATGTGTTACAATAAAGTTTCAAGAAAATACAAGTATATAAATGTTTGCAAATAATTATTGTGTAAATAACCGGAGATATTTTAGTTATGGCAAATTAATCTGGTCCACAGAATACGTAGGAAACAATTATTCTTAATAAATAGTATTAGAATATAATAGATCGTGCTGTAACTCCAACTAGACGAAGTGTCTAAAATTAATAACTTATTATCCAATCCAAATGAAAAAGTCACTTTGATCGTCTATGCTATGCTATATCACCTAACTATTTTTTTAATTAAGCTGAAATTAGGGTAAGGTTAATATTGTAATTTTAGACATAAGTATTTTAAAATATTAGCATAGATTTAACTTGTTTACTTTTAAATTACTATAACAAATCTGTCGGGTCAGTTGGGTTACAGAAGAATATGTAAATAGACAATTTGAAGCGTTACAATATCGATTTTTGTGTGACCACTAGTAAGTTATCAACTCCAAGAAGCAGAGAAAAATATATAGAATATACGATATAATGAATTTTCTATGGAACATTGAAACAGTTTGTTTGCATACCGTGCGTGAAATATACAAAGTGCGTTACTTGTGAACAGCATAAAATATCTATATTAAAAACTAACGTCTAGGAATATCGCATTTGTCTTGTATCATTGTATTTTTTATTCTACTCTTGAACTTTAAGGCCATTTAAGAAAAACCTACTATTGTACTGTACTACTACAACGTATATGTAACGAATACATTGATCGACGGTTGAATGTTTCCTATTAAAGTTATTTAACTTCCCATCTAGTTCGAAATTGACTTAATATTATAAGATGATTTGATACTTGAATGTAATCGAGTCTTTGAAATGTCTAATACAAATGTGCTACTACCAACGTTGCCTACCGTCTAATGTCTACGTGTAAAATGTATATCGTCAAACGACTAACGAATGCTTGTTATTTTGTCTATATAGTTTTTGCTTGCCATATTTATGTAAAAAAGAACATTTAACGGATTTTTCTTTGAAATAATGCGGTAATTTCACTTGGGCTGGTAATATCAATTATAAGTTTCAAACTTAACTATTTTAATACTTAAACAAAATTATAGAATATACAATTTTTAATTATGGCAAGCAAGAACTGCTATGTGGTCTTAACCGTCCTCCTATATCTAACGGAGTATACAAACAGCTAGATATACAACAAAAGTTGTCTATTGATCCCTAGATACCTACCACAAGACTAAACTACCCTATGTAATTTTTCAAATTTTATATATATTTAGAATGTATTTTAAGCGTTTCAGAATATCTAGATGCATAATATTGCTATACATTATGGTCGTGATGTCCAAAATTGATGAAGTTAAGTCTTTATAATGTAATACCAAATATACGATAAATTTATGATTACCAGAAATACTTAGTATAAGATATCCATCTTTTACTTTCCATAAAAATAAGGGTGATAGATCTCATGCACAGGCAATTGTCGAAAATTGTTGTTTCTTAGGCCAGTTCGATTTTCAAACTATTTATAAATAGAAAGAGAAAATAAATAACAAATAAGGACGGGTATATACAGGTTAGCACCTACGTTGCTATACATTTAGAACGACATGAACACGTTTGTACAGTTATTGTATAAATTAATGAAAAATACACAACAGAATAGAGCACCAAGGATTGAGAATTGTCAGGTCAAAAAACATGAATGTCGAATTTTTAGGATCAGCGACATCTTTTTTACTTATGTGTAAACTTCTATAATTTTGACCTGACAAAGAATCGAATTCTGTAGAATCGCACAATTATAAATATAGAATAAATAATATCAAACCAATTCAAAACTAAATTCTTAACTTTTTAAAAGTTACTGCGTTAATTCTTTTATCCTTTAGAAAAGTTGTGTACGCACAATTTAATAGGACTTCCATAGACCCTTAATAGCTTTCAATTTGGGTGATTTCTTAGTAGCTTCCAGTTCTTGTTTGAAACTAATAATAAATTTCTCACGCAAGCTGAGTCTAGGCGACGACGGCTTTAACAAGAATTTCTTTAGATCGTTGGTGAAACTCTTGGCGGTGTAATTCGGCTCGTCTTTCAAAGATTCGTCGTTACTCGATTCGAGAAACGACACCGATTTATTCGATTGTATCGAGTTTTTTCTTTCTTTTACTTTACTGGGTGTGGACCTCGAGCGTGAGCTAGTCGTCCTACTTGACGGGAAGCTGTAGCTCTTCGATACAAATGAGTATTCGTCATCGATCGAATCGAGAGTGTCTGTCGATCGATTGCATATCTTACAACAGAACCGGCAGTGCTGTTGCGCGTTGTGATACCTCCCGTTGCAGAGCACGAAATTCCCTTCTGTTCTACGCTTCTCCTTCTGTCTCTTATCTCTATAGCGCCTGGTACTATCGACTTTCTTTGAGCGTCGCCTACACTTGGGGCAATTGTTTCTCGCGATCTGTCGCAGCTCTTTGAGGAACTCATAGTCGATTTCGAAGTATTTGGCGTCCGGCTCCGAGTAATATCTGACGTCATCTGCGTCTTTTAGCGGTTTTTTCATTATTGTTTCCTTTTTTGGTTCGTCCGGATGGCCGGGGTCAGAGTGGTACGCTTGTTCGGTTTGTTTGATTGTGTACTTTTGTTTTTGGCGTTTTTCCGTGTGTTTGGTGCGTTTCGGATGTTTTTCGTGTTTACAGAATGTTACTGTTTTGTGTGGGGTGGGGGGTAAGGGTCAGGCTTGCGCTGAAGGCACCCATAGTGTCTTGTTCTGCTCTTCCTCTACGGCCTCTTTGATTTGGGTGCACATATACGCTATGTTCACTCCAGCTGGGATCTCCGCTGCGATTAAAGGTGGAATATGTTAAACTCAACGTTAATTATAATCACAATAAGAAAGAAGTCATGGAAGAGATATAAGTTAAGAGAGATTACTCACTCTCATTGTTAAAAATAACAGTGTTAGGAAATAATGAGAATTGATATTCTGCTAAAACCCACCAGATATATAATTTCTAAACTCATTCTCGACTTTCAGGCCATGCTCGTACATCTCCTTCGCAGCCTTCGCTGATACTTTATCAGCAGGATACCTCGTATCTTTGACTTCCTTAATCTGCTTGAATGACTTGAACTTGATGAACAGAACGATTGGGTAAATCTGGTGCTTGTGCAGCTTCTCTATTATCGCCACGGACACGTCAACAATGCAATGGATGCCCTGGAAGCAAAAGGTGATAATTAGAAAATAGTTTTTTTACTATATTAAAAAAAAATACTGTTCTAATTTTAAAACATAAAACTACCGAAAATAACGGATAGAATATCATGGTTAACTGATCACATTTTTGTGTGTAAATAAAATGAATACTGGGAAATACCTTATCGGCACGGTCCCTGAGCGTGCGCGGGTCAGGTCGTACATGAACGAACACATGAGGCCAGTCCGTAACCAATTTACCCGCTACGCACTCGCGAAGGGGTCCTAGTACTGCTACTGGTCGGCGGCTACCATCTATCGCAACAAAAAATGTCATTAACTTCATACAAAATATAGTGTATTTACAAAAACTAATTATTCTTCTCTTTTACACACAATTGAAAAAATATCCCTTCGTACGCTTTAAAACGCGAAATATACTAGTTGAATAATTTACAATTTATTTCAAGGGCATTCTTCAAATCCAGATACGACGAAACACATGGCGCTAAAGTAGCAAATTAAACTTTTCACATTAGAGACATGCTCCATCTTCCGTCACTCTATAGCCACGGCTGCTGTATAGCATCCGAAATGTCGGGCCGTTGTTAAAATAAATTGAAAATAAGTAATATATTTCGCGTTTTAAACCGTTAAAAGTGTTTTATTTAAGTATTTAAAGACAATTCTTCTTAAACACAAGCTAGGTAGTAACAATGTTACTAAGAAAACATATTCAACTACCAATAAATTCTATAAATTGGTTTATTGAAGAATAAATGTAACCTAATCGTTTATAACAACGCAATACTACTTACAGTGCAACCTCTCGACCCTCTGGTACGAGAGAGGCGGTACATCATCAGCCAGAGTGCCCGAGTCGCTCCAGCAGCCGAGCTCCGTGTTGGAGAAAGAAGCCAACTCCTTGCTGTCCCTGTGCTTCTTCCGCCTAAAGAAGGATCTCCGTGCGGTGCTTGATGCGCGTCTTTGGGCGTCGTTGTCTAACGTGCCCATCGAACGTCGGAGAATTTCTTCGACTCTGAAGATTAATACAAATAAATATCATACAAACTCTAGATTTCAATCCATAGTTTTCACGTCACTCTAGCATGTCAAGTCAAGTGAAACTCGAAACTTATCTGCGGATATTACCACTTAGCATTCTACACATTCCACAGTTCTAATAACTGACTACTGACTAAGACATGTGAAAACTCAAAAAGTTTATAAAAGTCTGTTTCTGTATATAAACAAACAAGGGCTGACTTTGCAAACATTATTTTGCCATATGAAGTATTTTAACCAAAATTTTACTACCATAAAACTGTAGAAATATACTGTCGGGGATATATTTCTAGATTATTTCGTCTGTCAATCTTACATACATACTTGTTGGGTATCTTGAACCGTTTTTGTATCGCACATTAACATTACGGAAACCCTCAAGAATGAATAATTTTCCCCGTTTTTTTCCACATTTCCCACTGTTTTTCACTCATATTAATCGCACGGGATGTTTTATAACCTTCTTCGATAAATGGTCCAACAAACACGAAAATAAACCTTTCAATTCGAACAAATAGTTCCTGAGATTGGCGCGTTCAAAGAAACAAACAAAAACTCTTCAGCTTTATAATAAGTATAGATTGTAAATAGAAAACATTTTGTCCGCAATTTGGCAATAAAAAAAATGTAAATGTATAATGTAATGTAAATGTATAAATAATAATCATTCTTATAATATAAATAGAATAAATCCATAAGGTATGCTATATAATGTAGGTACATTATATAGCTTATTAATTTTTTACGATTCGGCTATAATTATTAAAGTTTTGTTGGTACTTACTTGAATTTGCTCGGTATCGTGCCCCAATGTCTCTTGACTCCCTTACAGTCCAGCTGCCACGCCCGCCATAGCCCAGGCGCGCCATTAAATAGAGTATTGTCCACAAAGAGCACTTCATCTTTCCTAAACCACAGGGAATACTCGTCTATCGTGTCCATACCGATAGAGGTAATTTTCGCGCAACGGTCGAAGCCAGCGCGTATGTAGAACGCGTCACCCGGTTTATCCTTTATTTCGTGGTACTGTTGAAGATCGTGTCGTACTAGGACGCTCACCTGGTAAATAGTGGTTAAAATTAGGTATTTAATTATTAAATAATTTCTAATTAACTAAATTAATAGAACACATTTAATACGAATGTACAGTGTATTTTTTGTAACTGGTGAAAAGGCCACAACAAACATAGGCCATTTAAAACTATAGATACCCAGTGATACCTTTTATAGAGTGAAGTTGATGCCGACCCAAGGACCTCAATATTCAAAATCACTTTTAAGACAAACTTTTCCTTTTTATGTAAATAGTGTGGTTTAAAAGCACACTAATGTTAAAAGTTAAAAATATATCATAATTAAAATTTATAATCACCTTATCAGCAGGCTTCGCGAGTTCTAGAGCTGCTTGTTCTGCCGTAGCTCGCCTTAAATCTACATTATTGTACTCCAAAATCTGGTCACCCGTACGTAGTCCAGCTATGTACGCCGGAGAGTCTATCTGTACGCTGTGCACAAATATTCCGACCGCGTTGCCCCCGACCAGACTAATTCCCAGATCGGAACAATTCCTCATCTCTATCAAGAGGAATCTGGGCAGATCTTTCCCCTGCGACTGTCGTAACGTCGACGCATCGGTTGAAGGGACATCCATGCGCAGAGATTGCTGTGGCCCAGGGGAATTCCTGGGCGTCGGTGATCCTGAGAGAGAAACCTCTTCATCGTGAGAACTCTCCCCAGAGGAGGAGCTTCCTGGCGCTTCCATCTCATCCTTATACTTCTCCGGACTGAATTGAACGAGCATTGTTATCGAATTACCGATCTGTCTCAACACACTAGCTGCTAAGGTGTACGTCGCGGACCGCATGTTTATGCCGCAAACTTCCAATAGCTGATCACCGACCTGCAAGCCCACTTGACTCGCTAGAGAATTCTCATTGACCGTGGAGACGAAGACTCCTCCGCTACTAGGCGGGCAGTATATTTGAATTCCTAATGGTTGCTGACTTTTGTCTATATGCACCCTTCGCAATTCCCCAGGCAAGGGCTTATTCCAGCTGAGACCGCAGTATTCAGGCATGGAATTCCTAGTTCCCTTATGGGCTAGCTGTTTTACTCCGTGTCCGGGACTCAACACTTCCACATGAAATGTAGGCATTGGAGAATTTCTTTCTGAGCTCCTCTCTATAGACCCCGTACTGAGTTTCCCGGCAGAATTCTTAGATGTAACACTAGGATTTGACGGTATACGAAATCGTTGGTTCTCCTTTTTCCTAGGAAACGTGCCACCCTCGTAGGTCTGTTGGTAGTCGCGGTTGACACGCGGTACGGGGTGCAAGTCCGACATATTGTGAGTGTGGGATGTGAACGAGTGCATGTCGTAACTGGTGCCTATGCTCTCTCCAGACTGACTCTGGGGTAAATTAGTGGGACTGGAGAGATGCGTGTATCTGCTGGAGTTGTGCGGGTTCGAGTTCGTGAACGGCCCTCGGTAATATTGCGATTGTAATCTCGTTTGTGAAGGCAGAGTCCCTGTCATGGGAAAGTTTGCATTGCTGTTCAAACTATCAGGACCGAAACTGTCGCTGTCCGAGGGGTACTTGTTCACCGTTTTGGGCGAAGAAGACTTCTTGGTAGAATAATACTGATCGAGGATGTCCTTGCCAGTGTGATTTTTAATTGAATGCTCAAGGGAGTTGGGTGATTTGCGTGTTATGAAATCCAGAGAACTGGGCCCTTTGTTGACCATGAAGTCTAGTGAATGTGGGCTTTTAGTTCTATTGCGGATAGCGGGTTGATAGTCTAAAGAGTCGTCTGACGGGTTAAGAACAAGGCTTAGTCTGTTCGGTGTGACATCATGATCATATTCGCTAATAGATATTTTATCTCTCTCTTTCTCTAGAGTTCGAGTCTTCTCGAAGTTCATATTATTGGGTGACGCGAAAGGGTTGTGTATAGCAAGAGGCGCTGGTTTAGGAAAGTGTTCGATAGCAGGGCTTGATTCAATAGATTTGTACACAGAATGCCGCGCCGGTGCTGTAGCTTGCGTAAGGGGCAAATGACCTAAGGGTATAGGATTCGAATTTCGGTTAGTATTAGATCTTTGTGGTTCAGGCGGTAGTTTTGTAGGTGGACTAAGTAAGATAGACAGCGGTGGCCTTTCTTTCCTGGACCGCGGTTGCACTATGGTGCCAGTAGCATTCTCCTCCAAAATAAAATTTGCACGAGCTTTCGGCCAAGTACCGCCATTTTTGGCATCATTTTGCGACTCTTTATTTTTCCTTCGAGAGCGCTTTAATACGCTACTGGTTTCCTTAACTGTAAAAAATATAGTAGTTACTTTAGTATTGAGATAAAATGCACAATTTACGTCACAAATATACAAACATACTCACTTGTTTTACCGTGATAACTGTCGATAACGGAGTCCAACTCGGCGATAGCATCAGACTCGGGTACCTGAAGGAATCGTGAGTTTGCAAAATTATCATTCAGATTTATATTTTATCACAAATTTTGTTGTACTCCGTTCAAAGGCGTAGGTTCTGAGATTTATTACTCAATACAAGTCTCTCTTTTCCTGTATTATTATTTGTGATTTTGCATCTCGTCGATATATTAATTGAATATTAAACAATTAACTTATAGATTCAAATTAAAAAATATTTGTAGAGATATAATTTATACAACACTGTATTAAAATATAATGAGTAAACACTTTGACTTTTTAACTTAAATTGTAATTAAAAAAAAAAACATTGTATTTCTAAAACCAACCTTATTCTGTTTATCTTTAGACTTGCTTCGTCCGGTCACAGCCCCAATTTTCCCGCGAATCATGTCCCACGTCCCTGAAAGAACGAGCGAGTCAATACGACATAAAATAACATAGGGCGGCGGTACACCGGCTGCGTTTCTGGCACTTTATCTACGCTTTATCATTTTTTTTTTGCTCTATCTATATATAAGATATATCATGATCCATAATTTGTACATAAGGTTATTACTGAATAGTTTTTAATACACAATATGGTTAATTTTCAATAAGGGGATATGGTAAAGGGAAACACAAGAAAATAATTCACAGTCAAGTGTACACATATAAATTCAAAACATAATGTACTAAAATGTCACGGATGGAATTCTGTATCTTAATTATTAGAGTAACACTTGGATAACTGTGGTCATTAACATTTTTCAAAACATGAGCTTTATTTGACACTGACTAATATTTTACTGCATACTAAAGACTACCCTCTGCTGAACAACGTAAGCTAAAACTATAAACACTTCCTGCAAAAAAACTATAATAATTTATTATATATGAAATCCGATGAAAGAGAAACTGTGCACTTGGTGTATCCCCCGCTCAATCGATATAAGAATAAGCACAATCTTATCGATCGATAGGCGTTATCGCTCAAGTGCGATCGAATGTTATGGTATATTTGTTTGATAAACACAATACGCGCGACCGACTGCTACAAATGGGTTACCGGGGAGCGACGCGTTGAGATAACTTAATTAAAAGTGCAATCATTTTGAACGAAATGCATCCGGACATACAAAAGACAGAAAATCTACGCTTTTTCTTCAAAGAATGTTGTATAATTAAGTTCCTTGATATACCGCTGTATGATCATGATAAATAAATAAATGAATAACTTTTTCAGTTGGGTAAAAGAAACTCTAAGCCCGAAACGAGATTTTACATAAATGAGCCGCTTGCGCATATGTCAACCACTATTTTTTAGTAAAGTAATAATAAGAGTATTTACCTCTCTCCTGGTGTATCTTTCCCTGGCTAGAAGCGGCCACGTGATAAACATAGCGACGGTCGAACTCGGCCACACATGCATCTATGTGTACCTGCGACGAAAGCAAAAATAATTAAATTTGTTCCTTATAACATTAGAGTGTTTTTGAACTTTTCATAAATTTTAATAAAATCGACAAATATAACATTTTTACAACTTACTCACTAATTAATATATGTATGTATGTTTAGACACTACAAGTTTTTATTTCAAAATTGAAGAAAAATATTACCTTAGGTTCCGGTGGTGGAGGCGTAAATGGGGACCACGCATCCTCTGAGGGTTTCCCATCTCCATACGAGGGCTCGTACATGGACGTTCTGCAAATGGACACATTATTTAGTTATAATTTTTCATTTACTAGCGACCCGCCCCAACCTGGCTCGGATGCAATGCGATACTAAATACTCTACGGAAAACTATGAATGTTGCATATAAAAACCTGCCTCTTAAATCGCTCTATCTATTAAAAAATCGCATGCGTAGCTCAAAGTTTTAAGCGCACATAGGGACAAAAAAGCGACCTTGTTTTATACTATGTAGTGAGAAGGTTTAGCAAATAAACTATTTCTATTAAGTTTTTATTATATTTTTTGTTTTAAGAAAGAAAGAACAATAGTTATTAAACTATTTTTAACTTAAGTTTGATATCACAATAAAATCAGTGCGATCGCTGTATGTTGACTATTTAAACATTTTTCACACTCCAGTAAACAGATGCTGTGTTTGTAAATATTTTGAGAACATCCTTCCGAATGACAAGTAGAAAATGCAAAACAAACTCAAGATTCTTTAATCGGCCGTAGATATTTAAAAAATATATATATTTTACCAAAGGCTCAATTATTTCTAGGGTAATTTATTGCTTAACATACCTGTGTCTGATGTCATGACAACCGTGTAGCGGACGCATGCTTGTCACCAAGACACAATCGAATTGGCACTCATGTAGTAACCACAATGCCTCGTTAGCACTTTTCACCCCATCCAGAGAGCGGCTGTTAACCTACATGGGCAATAAAAATAATTAATTTATCAGTCAAAGTGTAGTCCTTCGAGCCGGGCATAAAATATATCTTTAAAATATTTTTAATAAAAAAAGCTTTAAAGTATTTATTCTTTTAAATTTTTATATACAGTATACATACACCAACGATCCTGTCTCCAACGTAAATGTTGCCAGTTTTAGCTGCGCTAGCGTTTGCTACTTTGCTGATGAATGTACCTGTTCAAAATAAATGTTTAAATTTATGTTAAGTGTCTTAAGCATTGATTAGTAAGAAAAAATACCTACAATAACTAAATATTCAAAGTCCTATCCAATCATATGACATTAAAAAACTATCTCTATTTGTGATTCGAATTCGATATTAAAATAATAAAAATGTCTATCGGCGAGCAGCGTTACGAAAGCTGTTTCGAGCTCGTGAACTTAGTACTTTTACCCCTTATATGAAGTATATAAGATTATTAGAAGTTTTTATGTTCTATATTGACAACATATTTTAATAGCAATTTTGCATAGCTTGGCTCAGGCTCAAGTTTTGTAGTATTTTTGTCTGTCTGGAACTGTTAAAAGACTGATGGTAGGAAATAGTAGCAACAGCACCGTGTGTTATAGAGTTCGGACCATCATACTTGTAAACGTTTCTTTAATAATGTATCACTTAATAAGTATATCAGAAAACAAACCGTGATGCATGGTAAGCGAAGTGGTAGGTCCACGAGCACGCTGAACTCGCAAAGCAACAGGTCCTCTCTGCAAAGCCACATGCAGTGCGGATAGACACGCTGCACCACGCGCCCACGTGGATACACCGCACGCTTCCATCACGCGGTCTAGAACACTGAAGAAAAATAATATTCAGTCATTCTATAGAGACCACAAGGATAAACACGTATGATCAAAAATTGCAATAATATTAAATGGATTTGTTAATTTATTTATTAAAATTCGTACAACATTACATTAAGTTCATATATAACTAAAAATTATGCGTAATTAACTATTTCAGACTTAAGTAACTATGACAGTACAAATATATATTATACAACTATGAATCTTCTTAATAATCAAACAACCGCCATTTTATGCATAAAAATAAATATAGAAACCCACCGTAGCTTGCCATCAGCAATAGAACCCGGCACGACGCTCGCCACGTAAACAGCGGGGTCCCCAGGAAAAGCGGGTTGCTCCCTTCCCCCCACAAAGCTCCAATCCTCCGCCTACGTCCAAATCACCGCATAGCTCAATTTCCATTGTATCCCACTCGAACTCCTAGAGAATAAGTAGTAAATAGAAAAAGAAGTAAAAATTATTATATATTAATTACCCTAAGCATATCGTTCGTGCATAGCGAAAACTTACTTGATAATCACGTGCTCCATCACTAGAATTACCAAGTCGACAAGTTTGTTCATGCTTCGCCCTCGACTTTCCTTCCCTCGCCTCCCTCCCGTCTGAAGATTTTGAACCGCCATGACGACGGGCCTCCGCCAACTCACCAACCATTTGATCTCTTTCCTTTAATAAAATGTATTATATTAATACAAGCTTCTTGGTCTAACGGTTGCAATGTATGGCTAAAAATCAACAGGTCGTAATTTATAATTTTTCTGAATCATTTTGAACTTCGTTAAAAATTCGATCCGGGCCATGAACCTACGTCCATAGATGAAAAAGCCGTGAAGGATAATCGGGTTACGGTTTCTTATTTGTTATATGGCTAGGGTGTTTCACTTTCCATCAAATGCACTTCACGTTTGTCTGTCCTCCTCTATTATGAATGTAAGACTTAATTTTCACGCAAAATTTAGTCAAGAAGAAACAATAGTCACGATATGCAATCTTATAACCCTAAGAGCTATTAGACAAATGGAGATCTCTGTAAAAGGATGTCTGTTCCTCCAATAAAATTAAAAAATACACGATGATTCTTTTACCTTTCGCAATCTATTGCAGAGCGCCTTAACGCTCTCGCGTTCTTGCAACAATTTATCTCTCTCGGAAAAGGCCCAGTCTCTTCTTCGTTTTGAGACCTAAAAGTTATTTAAGAAAAAAAGTTTTAACTCTTAACTTCTGCTAGTCAGTATATTACAATGCAATACTTCAGGCTTTTTTATATTAAATACCTCGGCCTCTCGTGTCGCGTCATTCAGATCGGCCTGCAATCTATCAGCGTGTTTCCGTAGTCTTTCAATTTCTTGGTTCGCTTGCTCCAAATTATCCACTCTTTCTTTGTCGGCGGCGTCGACCACCATACCAACTAGACCTTTAAAGATTGTTTAATGAGTTTTTTCCTTTTTTAACTTACTGCAAGAAATACTTGGAGTGAGATAAGTCGCTTAAGACCGCTCGCCACGAAGGACCAGTGTGGACGCCCTCTGCCCCAGCTAAGGGGCATATCAAACAAATACTGCATAGAAAAATTCTTTAGTTGAACCTATTAAACCGATTTGATTTATTTTTAATACGACTTGGGCATGACGTCCACAGCGTTCCGTGCTGTTGTTCTAACCAATTGAGCTACCGAGTCCTACACCTCATCGTCGAAATTTTTACAACGTATGCGCCTCTCGTGTGCTGCTAGTGTCGTAATTTTTTTTCTATGTAACTCACCTTGCAATTTATCCATTGATGGGTCGTTTGAGTGCTGACCATTCAAAAATCCATCATTACCCACTCCGCTGGATAAGCCCAGATGATGGTACGCCGTATTATCTTGCCTGGACCCAATGAACATATTAAATTAAATTAAATTATAAAGGCTCTTATAACAAAGCTCTAATTTTACCATTGTTTTGTATTTAATGATGCAGGTAACATATTTTATTTATTTTTTAAACACGTTTCACACCAAAATAGATCAAACCCTTTGTGTGAACGAATAACAGTAAACATCCAAGTAAGACTCACCTCGATTTTCCCAATGTGGATGTATTCTGTGGTGTTTTAAGGTCTGTACACTCTTTAATGGCGCGATCTCGGTCAACCAATGCTGATTCTATTTCACGACGCAAACTCTCCGCCTATAATTTTGTTTATTTACATAATTATTATACAGTCTTATTAGTAAATATAGTTTTTTTTTACTTTTTGCGCCAAATGTACACAATTTATTAGGGTACCTGAAGTAGGAATATAATTATATTACCAACAGATACTAGTCCTGATGTTTCATTATCCGGTTTAAGTTATTATATGGCATATATGTTTCATATCCGGATGTATACCTTAAAAAACTCTACCTGTAAGGCGGTTGCCCTCTGCTCATCTCTCGAAGCCTGTAATGCCCCTTCCAAAGCAGCCACCCGCTTGAGAGCAGCTTGCAAGTCATCAGAGAGCTTTTCCATTTCTTTGTGCACTGTATCCCTACAATCATTCATTCAATAACTAAGCAGTGTGCCCACAAAATTGTTATTATGACAGAGACTAGAAGCACGGGGTTCATTCGAAAGTAGGTGACAATTTCCAAGCTTCAAATAACATCTAAAAAGATGACTGTCCTCCTAATTTGGCCTTAATATCTGAAATCTACGGTTTGGCCTTTTCATCTGTGGACGGTATTATTCGTGTCCCGGACGGAATTTCGATACATACATTTTAAATTTATAATTGTTACAAAAATTGTCATAATATGTTTAACTAATTAAGATAACGTAATGTATAAATAATAAATTTATCTTATACCTTTCGCTCATAATAAGCGTGTACTCTGCCATGGCGGCGTTTCTTTCATCTGTGAGTCGCTTGATATCGGCTCGTTCTCTGACCCCTCCCTCCCATTGCCGAACTACGCTCGACACTTGTACCTTGAGGGCGTTACGTTCGCGAATCTAAAATATATAACACTGCATTATCCCAAAATCAATAATATCTCTTAATTACAATTATACAAAATACATACCACTGCATTCCTCTCTTGTGTTATCTCATGACATTGTGTCTTTAAACGACTATTCTCTTCTTGTACGCTCCGAAGCTTCTCCAAAGTCGCGTTGTGCGTCTCGATCAAATCATCGTACCTGGAATTTATTATTGACATTAGAATCTATAAAAATAAATAAAGATACTTTTATTTAAAACAGTATATAATATATATATATTTTGTATTTTTAACATTCTCTTTAATTTTGTTTAGTTTAGTGTGATTTAATTTGTATTTTTATAGATGCCACACAATACACGTCTAATATTGTTATATTTAAAAAAAAATCACCTCTTTTGAAAACACTCTAGTTCCTCCTTCAATGCTTCATATTTCCTCAAAGTATGGACCAAAGCATCTGAACTGCCCTCTGGAGTTCCACTCTGCTGCAAATGCTGAACTTCGCGTTCCAATCTACAAGACACAAAATGAAAAAAAATCACTTTCACTACACTACAAATTACATACAAAACTGAACATATGCCCTATGGCCCACTGCCACATGGAAGCTGACTTTTTTAAATTTCCATCAAAATTTCTTTCTTCTTTTTTGCTGCCATGCCATATAAACCATGAATCTATAATTTCTGATTTTAGACTGGCATACCTTTGGTTATCATTAAGTAGATCTCCATACTTCCCTCGAAGGCTGCTTGCCTCCTGAGCTGATACTTCCAACTGGTTCATGGCTGCACGATGCTGACCTCTAAAGTACTCCAACTCCTATAAAGTAATTTTCATGTATAAATTTCAATATTTGTATGGGAAGAAATGTGGTTCCTTATAAAGGTAATTAATAAGTACCTTAAAGAAAACCACTAGATTTTTTATAATAGCAACATTATTAACAAATCATATTGTGATAACTAAGAATAATTTTAACGTAACTAATAACAGTAAAAAAAAATGTTTTTAATACAGCCTGAAACTTGCTTCTAAAGGTCTAGTCCTACCTTCATTACATGTTCACACCGTCTAGTGGTCTCTGTATGTTGTCTTCGCAGCTGATTCAAATCATGCAGTGCCTTCTCATATTGCTGCTTCAAATTCTCATTTGCCTGCTTATTCATAACATCATACTGGTGTTCATATGGAGCACTCATAGTGTGGGAATGGTTTGAGTAATTCTTGTCATAGTTAGATGATATCACCTCATAGTCTATGGGCAACGGAATTGATGGTATCTGTGTTGATGTATGCCTCTCATTGCTTACGTAACTGTGTGATAATGACTCTGAAAAATAAATTGTTCACTTTTACTTATAAGAGAATGTACTTAAAATGTAAACAAAATTTGTACAAAACTTATTATATTTTAGGAAAAATTAAATACCAGTCCACCAAATAAGGCAGACAGATTTATAAATATTTGCTAAACGGAATAGTTTTATACAAACAAACAGAGATCTTAACAAACTTAATAAAAAATAAATAAAATAAAATTATTAATAGAATTAATAAGCATTACCAATATTTTAAAACAAAATACAACCATTTTGCTGCCTTGTAATATTAAATCAAGATTTGTAATATGAAAAACATGGTGGCTATTAAATATACAAAAGCAAAGAAATACCTAAATGAATGATACCCACCATTACTCCCATTGCTCTCCAAAGATGTTGCTGACGCCATGGCTCTGTTGATAAATACAATAATATAAACATATTATTATTATTATTTTCTATCAGGGACAACCTTGGCAGGACGGGTGATTAGTCCAACGTTTCACCCATTTCCTCCTTGTAGAGGGTTTGGGTCATCCAACTCTCATATTAACATAACTTATCTAAATAATAAACAATATATTTAGTTAAAACTCCTTAAATAGGGAGTCAAAGTGTATATTTATAATAATATGTATTTAACCATTTTACAATACACATTTAGTCCTGCATTTAATTGATTCAATAATTTATTCAGTTTTGATGAAGGCACACATGTTACCTATACCTATTTATATAGGACAAATATTTTTATTCAAGATCTAATGTCCAAATCCAAAAGAAATATAATATATATATGTACTTAGAATAGTGTCACCTATAAAAGTTATATGTATTGAAATGTATATTAACAGGGATTTTACCTCTCAAATCTGTGACCTTAGTCCATTGTCTCCTCACCTACAACATACATCACATAAGATAACTCCATTACAAATTAAAATATACATAAATAATATCAAGTAGATGTAAGCTTGACACGATTTTCACGGTCTAACGACAGTTGCAAAACGAAACCGCAAGCGTTCTCGTACTTGTAACTGTTGCAATTATTCTGTTTACACAGGATAATATTGCAAGCTACTTCGCCACACCACCCACGAATATCGCATAACTGTACAATGATGCACCTAACACAATAAACGGGCACTCAAATCACTGAAAACGGCACAAAAACTACTCCTTTCGCTACAAATGTGGTGTTCACAGCAATATTACTAATTTCACAACGCAAATATAACAACAATTAATATATACCCCGAGCCTCGAATGTCGAGTCGAAACTAACAGCGATCCGTAATGACAACTAAGATACAAGACGTATACAAAGGGATTAGACGTATAAATTATACTTTAATTCTATTTGTCTTGCATACATTCCCCGTTTCAGGGTGTACTTTTAGTAAGCAAAATCATAAGTGGGCAAAATGATAGCAATGAAATATGAATGAGTTGAATGACGCTTGACGGAACAAAAGGCAAACGCAGACGGACACGGTTTAGTGTTGTCACTAACAAAAATATACACAATCGGATACTCGTAGAATATATATATAGCATAATATGTTATCTATGCTGTAAAACAATTTTCGTTAATGTTATTTCAGTTGGTGGTTACATTTTTGTGCGAACATAATAGAGTATTTCTGAAAAATAAAAAGATGCTTACTATACTGTAATATGAAATTTGTTCATTCGCACAAACAGTACTTGTGATTACTTAATTGAAAGTTTAACTGTATATTTCATTAATTATAATGTCCAAATACCCTTATCTATTCAATCATTGTCAACTTCGCCCCTTGCCAATGCAGCAAAAGTAAAAAAGAGTTGGGCCGCTCCTCGCTTCAACTATTGCATAAGAGATTCAAAAATATCTGGTATCTGGAAAGGATACTAGATAAGTAATAAATTAAAAAAATAACACATAATTAAGAATATGTACTATTTATATCATCAGCTCTTTCTTATATATTTTTTTCGTGCTTACATAGTATTAGAAGATACGTGGTTATTAATTATTACTAAAATCTTATTAATATCAATAAATATAATTCATAAAATAATGTATAGTTATTTAGCTTAATTAATGAATAATTTAAATAAAATAATATATCTTAGTTTTTCTCAATTACGATGGTCGAACCGCTTATAAACCCAAAAGCAATATTGAACAAGTTAAAGTTTTACAATGAATATCATATCCTTTATCTTTGTTCTCGGTGATAATAAAATAATTATACTACAATATTATTTGAAGTTACATACTTCTAATAATATTCTAGTTAGAAATATTTGGTACAGGAATCCGATTGATCTGGCAATATTTTTCTCGTAATCGGTGTAAGAAAAATGACACGCAATAGCGACGAACCAATAAAAAACGACGCGCAAATATGAGAGTTCCGTAAATCCAGTGCAAAACAATCATCCAGTTTTGTGTAATTCGATTCTTGTATTAACCGTCATTGGACGAATTTTTGTTTAGTGTTAGTGCGGGACGAGATAGGAAACTAATTGTTTTGGTGAGATTTTGAGGCATGACCACGGCGTGACTTCCATGCCCTGCGTACCTACGGAAGGGCGTGCAGATTACGTTTACTATGAATGGTTTTATCTCTTTCTAAACTCGAGTATCTTGTGAATGACCGAGTGTAACAGCGAGCGTACCAAATTATGGATTGAAAAGTGTTTGTTGTTTGTATTTTGATATTCGCACCGCATTGCTGCGGAGTGTTCGACGTTATCTCAGTGGAAGATCGCAGTGATTGGAATTAAGCAGTCATATGGCGCCAGTTGGACAATCTCGAACACGAATTAGTTACGCCGTTCGATTTGTCGGGCGCTTTACTATTTACGCACTATTGAAAAGAGATAGTACGTATTTTTAGTCGCGTCTACCGAGAGCAGTGACTTTCATCAGTGTTCGTAAACAACTTGAAGGTTATTTGTATGCGGAGGCGCTGCCATGGCTGCGGTGTCGGAGGCTGGCGCCATCGTGCGTCAGGGCCACCTTCGTAAATTGAAGACGATGAAGAAGAAGTATTTCGTGCTGCGCGCGGAGACGGCTGAGAGCTCCGCGAGGCTGGAGTACTACGAGAGCGAGAAGAAGTTTAGATCGGGTGCTGCACCGCGGCGCGTACTCCCACTCAAGAGGTGCTACAACATAACCAGGAGGTTAGACCTGAAGCAGAAACATGTGATTGCCCTTTTCACATGCGAGGAACAGCTCTGCATAGTAGCAGAGAATGAACAGGATTTGCACGCCTGGTTGGCAGCTATATTAAAACTGTTTCGCAATGATGATGCAAGTGCTGAACTCCTACATCCCATACGTAAGTGATTTTTCAACAACACTTGTTTTTCTATTGCATAATAATTACAATTACTAAGCAAACCTGTAGTCTATAATCGTTTTTATATTGCAATTCTGCTAACTTATTAGTGAATTGTACTTGTAAACAAGTCTGATTCATCAATTTCATTGAATGAAACTTGTGATAACACAAGTAAAGTCATTTGTCGTAATATCTTTGATGGTGTATATCATGGATGTTTCATCTAATTTAAAAGTCTCTAGTAAACTTTTTATAAGTAGAAACTTTCTAAAACTTAGATGCTGGTCTATTTGGCTGATTTAACTAAAATAAACACAACTTACAATTCGAATTTAATGGTTTTAAAAATATAACGTAGTTTATATGTAGTATCTAACAAATGACACATTGTGTAGGTCGGAAAGTTTTAATATTTTAAATATTAAACATTACAACCATGTCTACAGAATAATGTTTCAAAGTAATTCTTATAAATTATTTAAATACTATTAGGTTCTCTATAAATATTCAAGTACTGTACAAAACTGTAAATTGTAAAATGAACATGAAAATTTAACAATATAGTAAATTGTTGAATTTTCATGTTCATTTTATGGCAAAAAGAAGAACGAAGATTATTTGATCAAATTTTGTGATAAAACATTAATAAAAAAAAGCTATGTACTATTAATGAAATCATGTAATACATATTTGAAACTAAATTTTGTATATTTAACTAAAATTTATTGGAATGTAATATCGTAATATATTTCATGTAAATAATAGGAACCGTTTAACACATCCATGATGAGGAATTATCGATCTAAATGTAAAAACTTAAGTAGTTAATAGGTGTCATTCACCACATTTCCTTATAGAAAATATTAAGAATGAATGACAAAAAACATCACATACAAATTACTTTCTTTCATGAAAAGTTATCAAGAGTTTTTAATTATCATTACAAAAGAGGATGTAAAAAAAGTTGTTAGATAAAATAAGTGGAATTACTTCTTTTTGATAGAGAAATACATGTAGGTATTAACAAGTCGGAAATAATGATACAATTCTACATAGAGGACAATATATATTTTAATATTTTAGTGATTACTTTAATAGAATTAATATGTATGTATGCTTAAAAATTCATTAGTTTAAAAACAGTAGTTTAAATATCTACAGCCAAAGGGCTTTGTTCATTATTATTTATTTCATAAAAACAATTTTCCTTACACATATTAACAGTTAAGTAAGGTTTATCTATAATTGGTCACGGAATATGATTTTATTCTAATTACATGTTAATTATATCTCTGTTGAGAATAACGAGAGCTTTTTAGCTATCATATTTACATAATATTTGCAAGATTGCATTAGAAAGCTTTTTATAAGTCTACATTTATGTATATTTAGGTATTAGGTCTGATAAAAAAAAATATATATATATATATATATATATGTGTGTGTGTATGTGTATTTAACATTTTCATCTTACTTTGCATTATTTGAATTAGTTACCTACGGAGGTAGGAAAGTGCTGTTCGACTCCCGGTCAAAAATATTAATAATTGTGTATACTACGACACAGGGCGTCCTAAGGGCGTCGTATTTGTTAGGATTTCTTCGAGATAGGTACATGATAAGCGGCCTTGATAGCTTATGCAACACTAACAAAACATTTCAAACCATGTTGCAAGATGTATTGTTTGAACTGCCGTTACTTGTAATTGGAGCTGAGTGTTAATGAACTAAAGGCTTGGAGCATTTAACCCACTGGCCACGACACTCCACATCGCGAAACTCGCCTTCTACCTTTACGGTAGCTCTTACGACCTGCCTCTCTCGCCGATGCAAAAATTTGCACGATGCTGGGCGCGTCTAGTGAAGGAAATATATAAATATTTAAAATAAGTATCCCATCGATCTTTATTGTGTGAATAAGGCAGCGTTTTTTGCTTTAAATTATTTTCCATTTTGTTGTTCGATGTGCTCTAAAATTAAAGGCGGGATTCGCGGGGTTTTCGTAGTGGAAACGTATATTGAAAAACTAATTGGTGTGTCATTGACCTTAGTACGTACTTTGATAGCGAGTCGACGGATCCCCATCATCGAACTACATTAAGCACACCAATTGATATTATTGCATACGTATTACAACGCTTGGGTGGTCTCGAGTTCGTTTCTGGATGAAATAGAGTTGAATTAAGAAAGTGGCCATTTCACCAATCTATTGTAGGTATCTACTGGCAGCTGGTCTGGTTTCATGTGCTGCTTTTAAAAACTTTTTCTCGGATCCGAACCCGGGCCCGTTGGCCCTATGTACATATATCTTATATTTCTTAGTAGATGGATCAGTTCGTTTTTTTTTAGAAGTTTTGAAAATGAAACAATAACGATACTTAGAAAAGGTGCCGTATTCCAACTGACGCGGGTTCGAACTGTGCTCATATCATATTAACTTTAGAATATGTTTTGTTTAACCTTATTTAAACATAGTTATGTAGCCAGCAGGCATAGTTGTGTAGTCATTTCCCGGTACCGATATTAATTAGCATCAACCATTTGGCAGTTGTTCCTAATTTCTTTGGGCGCCCTTATTTTGCTCATTGCTAATTGCATTGCTTGCGTAAAATTTTTCCGGGAATATTACAGTGACGTCATCAAAATTTGTTTACGTTTATACGCTATAACATTGGATTTGCTTATAGTGTAATTGGTGTATTTAATATATTATCTATATATAATATAATATACCTATCATGCTAATGTTTTTGACCAAATTTAATGTTTAATTTTTTCAGTTCGTTGTAACTTTTAAAGATTGCTTTTAAGAAATATCTATTTCTATAAGTAACATTTCGTCTCACCAAGAGCTCGATTCCGGGATCTCGTGAAATACTATCAATTGCACAAACGAGGCAGCAAAACCAACATGCGAATATTTGAATATTATATTTCATTTAATAAACTTTAGTGCAATATTACTAAAAATACACTTGGAAAATGAATGATAAGAGTGTTTCTGCGGTTTCCTCGTTCCTGTCTGATTACGCAACGGTTTTATGAGTCCGGGAATCCCCGTGTGATTTGTCGCAGTTTTTAATTTGATAATTATTGTTTCCTATATGCGTTATACTTTTGTTGCAGTCCAATATTCATAAAATGTAACTCAATAGTACTAGATGTCTTTGTCGAGTACCTATGCCACTTCTAAATAATTAAAATAGCATCCCACCTTCACATCGTGTAAAGCAAACGCGATGATACCATTTGATAACAAGTTTTCCTTATAATCTTTTCTTTGGAATAACTTTTTCCTCAGTGGCCGCAATATTTTCACATCCTCAGTAAATAATTTGTTATGCAACGCTTGTTATTCAATATTCAATGACCTGTACAAGATATTGTAGTTTTTAGGGTTACAGACCATCGTGGGGAACCGTTCATTTGCATTTTGTTTTGATGAGATAACTGGAATTGCGAAATAATTTTATTTTGCAATAAGTAAGTAACGATTATCAATCTGTTGTATAGTAATCGATTACAAAACCGAATATTGCAGGTAGTATATGAGTAAAAAAACCTATATGTAATATTAATAACACTCAAATTCAACTCAAATATTAATACACTTTTTTTTATTAGTTGTAAAATTTGATAATTGTCAGATTATCTACATTGTCTACATACGAAAGTTAAAAATTATTTATACTTTGTCGTGTATTTTAAATGCGCTCCTATTGTCATTAGATATATAACACGCCCATTCTATTCTCGTATAATGTTAAGTAAATGTTATTGATGACGTTGGTATATTAATAAGTATGGATAGATGGTTACCTCGATTCTTGTTTTGCGCTACTCCGAACACGTATACGATAAAAACTTAAGAGTGATTATAGATCAAGGCCGAGAGAAAAACAACAAATACTAAAAACTGCCAAGGATGTGTCAGGCTAGTGCATTTATTATGTTTGTTTACAATATTAACTCAGTAAATTGCGGAATCCGCAAGATTAGTAAGGACTTCTTTTATTATATGCATAAGGTTCCCTCAAAGTTTAAAACCAAGTACCTACATGTATGCTTGGTACTTAATGTTAAAAATATAATAGCTCTTTAAATTCAGTCAGTCAATAAACGCGTTGCCAATCGACCTTTCAAGCATAAATGCACTGACGGGCCTGTCATCTTTGCCGGGTTTTTCGCAGTCACCCAACGCGATCTTTGAAAATGGTAATTGTTACGCGTTGGTACATGTTGTTTATTTAGTTAACTCACATCCAAATGGGGAAAACACAAATGATCTAATAGGTCGTTACTTATTTGCTATCTTTCTATGATTGATTGTGCGATACGTCGTAGATTAGTGCGTGCCGTGGATATATCATAGTTTGAAACATACGCCACAAGATTATAGCTAATATAGTATCATAATACTCGTAACAAACTGTGCCATGACAATGGAAAGTCGGATATAAGAAAGTTCCAAATTTAAAATTTACACATTTCAAACTACCGCTGTAGCTTAGTAGTTCTTGATTCAAATGCAATAAGTGGAAACTTATTCAATGGTCTATCCTTTTTATTAAAAAATTAAAACACAGACTTGTGTCTTTATATCCTATTTTATGTAAATTATAAAACATTAAATTTACATTGATTAAATTTTTATATGAAGTTTATAGGCCGTCTTCATGATTGCTATGCGCTAGGGGTCTTGGCTTCGAATCCCAAGGAAACGTGTATCTATAATTTTCGAGCGATTCCTTAGCCTGATCACACCGTAACACAATTTATCTGTTAATCGAACCCAGAAATATATTATTCTCTCATATCTCCAATTATCAATTCCAGAACACGTGTGGCAGGTGAACGTACAAAAGAAGGGCCTCGGCGCATCCAAAAACATCCAAGGGCTTTACAACCTCTGCCTCACAGACAAAACCCTTACATTGGTGAAGATTAAGAGCCACAACAACATCATCAGCGATCTGGTAAATCCTGAGCGCGTGGAGTTTTCCTTGAAGAATATCAGATGGTATGTGCTGTTTTTACACAAGACGTCGATAAAGATAGCGACTCGTATTATATTTGTACTCAATGTCTACTGGTATAAAATTATTTCTTATTTACTGTAACGTATATACAAGAGCGATATTTGGCACTTGTTTTGATGAATCACTGAATTGCGCGTGGGTTTGTGTACTGTTTTGATGAATGGAGCGTGTAATAATTATACTCGCGTCCACACGTTTAACTAACGGTTTTGTACGGCCATCGAAACATATGGTTACTATTTTAAAAATAAAACCGCTTATGATGGCTGGACCTATAGTTGATGCCTTTAAAATTGTAAATAGAGTTAACATATACTGTCTGTAGTTTACGCGAGTAGTACACATTTAAATAAAACACTTTAACGGTTTAAAACGCGATACTAGGTCTTCCCGTGACCACGGCTGCTGCAAAGCAACCAAAACATCGGGCCGTAGTTAAAATAATTATCAAATAAGTTTAACAGTCAAGTAATAAGTTAGTAGCATATATATCGAATTTTAATTTAAACCTTTTAAGTGTTTTATTTAAAAGAGTTAACATAATATGTTATATAATATTTTAATTGCTATACATATTACAAAAGAAATCCTTTAAAATATTATCCAACCAAGAACCTACCCTATCAATAGCTTTGCCTTTACCAAACTTTATGTCCATTTTAGTTGTGGGGACTCCGAAGCCTTCTTTTACATGGAGGTGGGTCGGCAGACTGTGACCGGAGCTGGTGAGCTCTGGATGCACTCAGATGACTCCAACATCGCGCAGAGCATGAACTCCACTATCTATCAGTGAGTAAAAAACCATCCGGTGACGATAGAAAACTTTTGAAACTCAAAAACCCTGACTTGCATGTGCCTTTAGATTTAAAAAATCTTATATGATTCAGACATCTGAACAAGATGTGCTATCCACCTATTTTATTTTGACTTTTGATATTTAGAAATCCACAAACTGAAACCGAAAAACGATCAAACTTCACGGCTTTTTCATTTGTGGACGGTGGTTCATAACCCGGACAGTTTTTTGATAATCCAGTGACCCATTTAATATCTAGAATTCCAAACTCCAACATGTTTAATAAAATTGAAAAAATTAATTAAAATTATAATTTCTTATTGGCGACATCTCTTGACCGTTGCTTAAAATATAATGTTTATATTGACTCATTAAAAAAAATTAAGGAATTTGTTGAATAATTTAATAATATTCTCATATCTATTTACAATTACAAAGGTATTTACAATTCTATCGTCCTCCTGCTATTTAAATACAGCACGTTGGAGTCGGAGACTTTGTATTATCACTGTTTTTACTCTGTTTACCCATTCCTTTCATACTGTCTTCTATCTGCTGTAATGTGCGACCCTTGGTCTCTGGCATTGTGAAGTATATGACGATTAAGCAATATAAAATAGCGCAAGCGTATATCCCGTACGCGCCTTCAATGCCAACAGTTGGTATGAGGTACGGGAAGGTCTTCAGAATCAAGAAGTGGAAAACCGTGGCTATGGCCATACCGACGCTTATTCCGATACTCCGATACGCCAGTGGAAATACCTCGCCCGCTAAAACACAGGTTATCGGCAGTATTCCCAACGAAACGGCGAAGCACTGCAAATTCAGCAGTACAGCCGGTATCCACACCCAATCGTACGTCGCTATGCCATTCTTGACGAGAATAACGTAAGCCACAATCGCCACATGAACCAGCAAGCATAGACCCCCAGTACTGAAAGTCACAGTACGACGTAAGCACATCTTCATGTAATATACCGCAACGATGTTGGCGACTATACGCAAAACGTCTATTACGACGAGCCAGAAGTGCGCGTCCACATCTGGTCCCATGATGAGAGAGACTATAGTCGTGCCGTAAACGGCCAAGTTCATCCCCCCAGCCACATATGCCATTAGAGTAACGTGCAAAAACAACAATATCGGCATGTAGAACTCAACTTTCCTAACAATCTCTAAACCGCTGCGGAAGGTGATGCTCCTCTCCTTAGAGTTGTGTTCCATCCTGGCTTGTATTAGCTCATTTAGTTCAGCCTCTTCGCCGTCGCCCCTGAGCTTCCTGAAGTGCTTTTTGCATTCCTCGTATCTTCCCTTGCTCGCTAACCAGCTGGGAGATTCGGGGATGAAAAATGTCATGACGAAGCTAATAGCAGTAAACATGAGGCAGATGAGTGCAGTGCTCTGCCAGGTCATGAGAGAGCCAAGTAGATGCACCAAAAAAATGCCTATAGTTTGCGCTACTGTAGCTGTGGTGAGAAATGCGCCACGATTCTTGGGGCTCGTGTATTCGCCGATTATGACGGCGCGGATGGGCACCACTTGGCCGAAAGACAGGCCTTGCATCACTCTAGCAAATAGGATTAGCTGGAAAAGAAAATATCTTAAACAATTTAGCAAGATACTATAGATACAATATAATTCTAAAGTAGTGTATAGAAGGTTGAACCTTAACACTTAAACGAAAACTATGTAGATTTTTTATGTTGAAAAACATATCATATAGTATATAGAGTAACATAACTAGAAATGTCAAATCTGTCACCATTTTTACTTAATTATTAACTTAGATAGACTGATAAGGCTTTTATAGTTACGTTAACGGTAAGGCATCGTGTTGCAGCAGTGAGAACTAATAATATTTCTATATAAGAAATTGTATTTTTATACGCGGTGTTGCAATAATACAGTTACGCGGGTTTGTACTAGATGGCGCTTTAACAAATATTTTTATCATTAATTTTTACTTTTACGACATTAGTGTCATAACATAAATAAATAACGAACCTGGACATTAGTTGCAAATATCATAGTAATCCAAGCGACTGTTATAGGGACCATGATTAGAAAAGTTGCCTTCCTTCGCCCCAAGACGTCCATGATTAGAGGCATAGTCAAGTTGCCTACGAGCATAGCTACAGTTACCACAGAAGCTGGAAGGGAAAATATGTTAATTTCCGAATATTATTGACTTTAACGTTTAAATAAAACACTTTAACGGTTTAAAACGCGATATATTAGTTAAACTTATTTAAAAATGATTTTTAACTTCGGCCCAACGTTTCGGATGCTTTGCAGCAACCGTGGTCACGGGGAGACTAAAGATGGAGGATGTCTCTGACGTCAAAGTAAAAAATTGCTATGCTAGCGCCATCTGTTATTGAAATTTCGGTGTTTTTATTTATTTCAATTGCTTCGCATACCAATCTTGGAAAAAATCGACTCTCCTTTGCGAGGATTTTTGGCTGGTCAAAGCGAATATAATTTCAACCTTAACTTTTGCGTATTAAGCTCAATTGGTAGAGCAACAGCACGGAACGCTGACTATGCCCGTTCAAGTCTTGCTCGAGTCAAAAACTTTTTCAATTTATTTTCGATTTTTTAAATTATATAGTGCCTTCATGTGCAATAATATGTAAAAAATAATACTGTTTTCATGTATATTCAGTTTTATGCTTTATAACAAAGAAAAATACAGGGTAACTTTTTCTTATATATATTTTTCATGATCTGATTGCGAAGTAAACACTTACAATTACATCTTATATCGCGATATTATGTTGCTATTCAAAAAACATAACATGTAGCAAATAAGATAAACGAGTGACTGTCGGTAAATTAATCTGATAAAATTAAACCCAACGATGTCATAAAATGAGATCTCTTGATCAGATGATCTCTGTCAAAATCATCAACTATATTTAAAAAATGTAGTCTGACTCACCTATCCAAGACTCTTCAGACTTGGTGATGGGTATGGTTGAGTCTGGCAGTTTGAGTTGTGGAAGGAGTACGGCCGGGAACCCGTAGGATGCACCGTTGCTCAACACGTTCATACATATCGTCGCTGTTACGAAACACTGGGAATCATAGTCAAATAAAAACACATTTCGGTCTTCTTCTTTCATAATCTATGACAGTTACACAATAAAGAAGACTCTTTGCTTTAGATTTGATTTTCGGATAGGGCCTAGAACATTCATATATAACCATTATGAGTAACCGCCACATGAACAATGCGAAATTATCGATTAAATAGTGGTACGTTTATTTAAGAAAAGGAAGGAATTTTCTGGAAATGTTAATGTTGAAAAGACTTTAAAAAAAGACAAAAAATTAGCAATAAATTAAGTATCTTGTTTACAATAGTGTTAGTGTAACCAATATTTTTGTTACGAAAAAACAGGCCTTTTTATCTCAACTAGTATTGTAAAACTGAAGAGTTTGTTTGTTTACTTGGAGACGCTAATATCAGGAAGCACTAGTTCGAATGGAAAAAAATATTTTTGTTTTGGATAGACTATCTATCGAGGAAGGCTTAGGCTTTATAACATTACGACCGATAGGCGCGAAGAAACCGGGAAAATGTAGAAAGAAAAATGTTGAAAATTGTTGAACATCTTCGAGGGCTTTCCAGTTGAATTTTGGTGATGATTTTAAAAACTCTAATAAATATACCAAAATTAATAATAAGGAAACTTACTTGTTTAAGAAACGGCGATATTGTCATATGAGTGAACATTGTTTGCGTGGATACCACTAAATGCGACTCATGTAATTCCTCTTACACATTCACAGGAACGAGTTTCCGTAGAACTTGTAGCACAACTTACGGGATATAAATAGTAATGGAAAGTTAATATGTGCACTAAATACTTTAGCTATGCTGTGACTTTACAAAAAATTGTGCAATATTTTTATATATACAGTTATTAAAAAAACAATATGAGAAGAATGTTTTGTTTTATTAAGAATCTCTGGTAACCTCGCTATTTCTAATATTAATAACTTCTAAATTGATATCTGTCAATGAAGTTGTTCTAAACCACCAACCACACATTGATTGCCGAAACGACGATACTAAGACACTAGTACCTTTTCAGAACGCGTTCTTCGCTAAATATGAAACAAAAGTTTAAATATTTACCCGCAAGTTTCAAATTAATGCCTTATCTCTTATCGCTCCTTTGTTTGCACAGTCGATGTTATAAGGTGCGAACTATTGAAAGTGTTATAACATTTTCTTCGCATAGATTTTTATTATTTTATATGCACATGAGTATGCGAAGTCATCAAGATGTCTCTCGGTGGCGTAGATTAGTACCCAAATCCTTCTAATTATACTCCTTAATGTCTTAGGTTCCTTTTTTTTCAACCAATATATAACTATTAAACTAACTTGGATAATAGTAACTGCTACTTTACTGACGCTCTTTGAGTATAGATAAATGTTCGTTGCTTTATTTTGAAATCAGAATTTTGCTCCTGTTATTTCGCTATATATTAATAAGATTGTATGCCTAATATCAAAGGCAATAACTAAACGAAAAAAAAAAGTTTACTAGTGTGTTTGTACCCGCTTACGTAGACATTTAGACACCGGGGCGGAACTTCCATATTTCTAGTAAAATCAACCTGTATATATAGAACTGTTGGCAAAATAATTTAAATCATGGCAAATAAAGTATTTGTACAGACAGAACGTGTCATAACACCTGAGGGGTATGATGCATTTGATTATGCTTGTGATGTAACTATCGTCATCAGCCCTTTGAACCCATCAAGTCACGATGGGGCCTCTCCCACTGTGGGAAGGAGCGTCCTTATCTTTTCTATTAATAATAACAGGTCTTAAGTTCGGTTCCCACTAGATCCAATGTGTTTCTAATTAATTTATAAATTTTCTGAAATACGTTGGAACTTCGTCTGAAATTCTGGATATTAAATGGATGGTAGGAGTATCGAAATTCATTTTGGATCACGATCTACCGTCCACAGATACAAAAGCCGTGAAGTTTAATCTCGTTTCATTCGTTGGTTTCAGTCATAGCTTTCCGAATTTCCAAAGATATAATTGGTCGACAGCGCATCATGTTTAAATGATTGATTTTATCTATGACCTATTTTATCTTTGGAAATTCGGTGAACTCTATGCTTGTTTGTCCTCCTCTATCACAAAAATACTTCTTTACATGTTTTAAATCTTTTCATCTACTAAATGTGTCCAGAGAATCACTTTTAATCATAATATATTCATTAAAAGTATGTTACAAAATTTTATTTCAGCGCCATGATGAACTGTGCGAAAGAGACAGAGAATGAAAGGGACCACATAATGGTACCCGGGAGGGGTTCTCTGTTGCTGGAAAGCTCGAACCCGCTACCTGCCAGGCGACAGACCTACTCGGACGGTCGGGGGAGGGCTGGACTCTATAACGGTATGTTTGGTGCTAATTTAACGATTATATAAGATGCGGTAACTACTAATAAGTCCAAATAAAAACATGTGATTAAAACGTCGTAACAGACATAGTACATTAAAATTTCAATAATACTAATTGAACTTTTGTTAAGAGAAAAGTCTGTTTGTAATTTGGATTCAACAATTTTCATTTTTTTTAAGATCACGCTAAATAGATATATATTTACACCCCTATTTGCCTAAGGCCATAAGTAGTAACTTATTAATTAATTGTTTTTCTATTTAATTTAAAAAATTCAAGAAGCCTATTGATTGAAAGAAGAATATTGATTGTCAATATCTTTTATAAATCTTTTCTCTTTTCACGAGACCACATAACATTGTAGTATCCAGATACAGTAGTTATCATTCAGTAGTACAATTTCTGGTAGTTAGACTTGTTTGAAATTTAGTAGATTAGATCGCTTATGGTTTCTTTAACCCGCAATGCAGAAAGATACAATGCCTAAATAGCTGTTATTTAAAGAAAGAGCAGATCTTAAAATCTTGACCAGAGTTAGTGACTTCTAATCTACCAAAAATACTCTGTGTTGTATCTTTCTACATCTTTCAAAATATGTAGTAAATGTTGACGATGGGTTAAAGAAACAATCCACGCCACTAACATGTATTGTGACGTAACTGACGCTTCTTGTTCAGTTCCGTGACGTGTACGTCGGTAACGAAGTTTCACATGCTGATAACCACGTAGTTTGTAAAACGGTCGCACCTCACACAAAATACACTGTTTATATTGACGTAATTTTACCATATTCGGACGTGATGTAAATAACGTATAAAATCAAATAAATGGTAAATTTGCTCGTTTTAGATTTGATTGATTGATACTTAATTCTATTACTAATGTTGTTAGAAGCGCTAGTGAAGCGAAAATTTAGAACTTGCTTTAAAATTAATTATACTCAGCAATCCAATTTATCTGTAAACTGTTAAACATTATGATTTTATTTTGTGTTTAGGTAGAAGAAAACGCAAAGAGATATTATTAATTTTTTGTACATAATTTTGTATCGCCTTTAATATGAATATTAAGTCAATAAAAATATTACAATAGTATTATGAAATACATTGTTCGTAAACGACACGAAAGGCAGTGTTAATTCGTGCGAGGTGCGCCGCCAATGTCGGTTGACGCGCACGTTGCGCATTGCAGAGAAAGGCCTGTGCGTGGGTGCGTGCATTCGGCAGTGCGTGTGCGCATCTGGCACCCACTCAATCGACGACTCGGCTGCCGCCATGGCGCCCGCGCCCCACAACGGTACGCGACCCCACCACTACGATCTATTGGCCGTCGATCATCTTGATTTGTATGTTCGCGGGACAATTGACAAACTGAAAACTTTCAGGGATTTGAGAAAGACGTATTCAGAATAAATACATCTCAAAGATATTTTTATAATCGTGACAACGTAAAATTTACGGATTCACAGAGATCATTATGTTCATTTTGCAAAATAATGAAATTTGTATAATTATAAATAGGGTCGGTACTTAAAAAAAGTCAACATTTTAATTCTTATTTTACATTATCATAATTGTTCTTAAATTCGTTGAAACCGACTGAATATTATATAGTTTTTATTATATAGTTTTCTTTTGTTCTTGATGTATTAATCTATTATAGTAAACAGTTATTGTCCCCCGAGCATACAAAATGTTGCAACCATTCACTCATCGCTGGTCTACATTTCATTTGTTGGAATCATTAAATCAGAAATGGTGGTGCTTGGTCTTAACAAAAACATCGCTGAAAAAGATTTAGACTAGTCGAAGATATTGTTTGGACAGCACTAGTCTTCATCTAAGCAGTTCATTCATCACCAGAGGAAAGATTTAACCAATGATACATGGGCTTAATGAAATTGTTAATTTCTGCTAATCATTAATTGACTATTCATCAGGAAGAACTAACATCAGTGTCTGTTATAAAACCGCTTTTTATTAACATTACTTTAACTTTTTATTAACAATACTGTTTATTAACATGAAAATGTGCTTGTATGCATAACGGATATATGGAAGCTTTTGGAATTAATATAATTGTGCCTGTTTGATTCTGCGATTGAATTTAAATTGTATTGACTGTGTATTATTCACACGAACCTCTAATAATAAGCAATTCATAACATTTCATTTAGGCCTTTCTAAAGATTTCTATTTCAAAAATGACCTACGAATTGTTGAAGATTAACTGCATGGATGATGGTGATGAACCGGACTCACCGACTGTTTTTTGTGTCGTTTGGTCTTTATCTATTCACAGTGCATGTAGAGATATGGTATTTCATTGAACAGGTTTTTCAACAGACTAAAATTAATTGAATGATGCCACGGGAAGAGTAGAGTACCAATATATCGTATTTTCTATTCGTTTTCATATAGTATGAAAATAAAATTTATCATACTTCCAAATGATATGCCATATCTTTGTATCAATGTTGTAATCTCATAAGACGATGGTACGTGAATTTTAAACTTTGTACCGCTACACAATATCTATTTGTTTCAGACGGAACAAAGTTATTGTTGTCACTTTTATGCGAATGTATTCTTGAACATGACAACACTTTGTATTCAGTATCTTTTGAATCAGCTAGCAAACGTTGAATATTGAGGGTACCATAGTCAAATCACCTATAACATCCATTGCACCGGGTGACGCTTGGTGCCAGATCTTTACGTGTCGCTTCTCATTGTCTTCAGCAGAAAACCAACCGCCGAATAACCCACTAACGCCCGAAAAGCAGGACCGCCCCGCGCGGCTCATTAAACACCACCGAACCGTCTCCTTGCCGGCCGGTTGCTCCGTATTCCAAGAGCCCCTCAAGATAGCGCACGGCCGCACCAGGTCCGAGCCGCTCACTGGTGACGAAGTAGATCAGGCGATATTAGAGAAAACGGCGATGCACTCCTCGTGCAAAACGGTCAACGGAATCGATACCGTAAAGAAGAACCCGTGGTGCAGACGCGCCAGCACCGGCACAAGGTTTTCCAAATTGTCACCGGCGCATACGAAGAGTATGTATCTCGCTTCGACTAACCGACATCGCATCGCATACACTAATGTTATCTCACTTCTGATACCTCCACGTTGCCCCATGTTGGAGTGTTGTGCTGGCCTCAGTTTAAGTTCATTTTGTTCTTGTGCCTGTGTTCGCATGATATTTTGCTTATGTTCCTATTTTGTTGTGTCCTTAGGTAAAGTGCTTTGTAAATATTTTTTTTATTTAGATGACCTTCGATGAATTCATGTATATTTTGCTTGAAATTCTCTGTTTAGTTTCTTTCCAACTGTGAAGCTCGTTAGTATTAACTTTCCGATTAAAGTTACAGTAGACTAAAAACAAACTAGAGGCTTCGAAAAAGCTTGTCTGGCATGTTTAAATCGAATTATTGTAATCCACTTGTAGGTCACGTGAGTATGTTTCTCTACATATAATGTTGGTAATTGTTTAGTAGCCAGACATAATACAGAAGATGTCATTAAATATTGATAGCGAGAAGTTAATGCTTATGGTCGTTGTTCACAGATGTAGCGACGCTGCGTAATAGATGCGAGACGATGCCTTCGCGAGCTACCTCCTCCTTCGAATCTGATCGCCCGGCGACGTCACGACACGTCGATGTCATTGATGGTCAGTTGGATATAGAATTAATATCTCACCACGTGTTAGAAAACTTTGTTTCAGCATATGCGTTTTTGAACCCACACTTTTTGTCCTTTAATCACTAATACACTTATATCCTTAAGGCTTTGCTTACCTTCAGGTGTGGCATCATCTCGCGACGACATGGATTCTTTATCAGAGTGGTACCGCACCCCACGAATACCTGAAGAACCGGACTGTTGCGAATACATGTTGCCAAGGGACTTTATGAGGTTCAGTATTCTATTACTATATATCGATTTGCCATCCTTCTCTAACTGTTAAGAAACTAAATGTAATGAGATATCGTTTAGTTTGCGCACGGGCGGTTCAGTGGCGCACTCTCGAACATCGTCCATGGGCGTGGATGATGGTGCATGTGAACGGGAGATTGGCGAGACTGTACCAGATGGATATCTGCCAATGGGCCCTACACATGTCTCGTCTTCGGGCTCCGTTTGTAGCGGGACTCCTTCAACAGACCCAAGGTTCAGGTATGTTAGAGTAATGTATATAATAAGCCATTTTTAAAAGAACAATTATTATATTTATCATCGATCAAATAATATACGAAACCTTACTAAGTCTTTTATAAATATCTGCTATCATCATATACTAAAGAACAAAAATATCGCAAACAAATAAATGTCATAACAACGAAACCTTACTAAGTCTTTTATAAATATCTGCTATCATCATATACTAAAGAACAAAAATATCGCAAACAAATAAATGTCATAACATTTTGACGTAGGGCCGAAATGTGACATATGACATGTATAAACTATATTCTGTGACACATTAATACTGTTCTTGTAGTTTCCCTTAAACACAAACATTATTAACGTTTTTAGTGAATACCAACTTGAGCCGGCTACAGCACACATAGCCGAGGAAAGGTCAACGCGAGCGTATAGCGTGGGTTCTAGGCCAGTAACGCGCACCGAGCGAGTTGAGCCCGCTCGTTTGCGCGCGTACAGTGCGGGCGCTCGGCGTCGACCTGTCATACATACTCACGCCCATGGACCAACGCACCCGCCGCGCGCCACTACGGACGATCTGATGGAGATAGACTTCTCTGCTAACTCGCCGCAGACAAAGGTACACAGGAAACATATAATTTGATAATTAATATTTATCGATGAACATTACTATTGAATTCATTTCAATGTTTTGTTATGATATATAGAAGTTAACCATTAATAAAATTCAAATGTCAGGTTTCCGTAGCGAGCACCCCACCGACGAGCAGGTACCCTGAGACACCAAAATCAAAGAGTAACATCGACGAGTATGTCGACATGTCTCCCAGGAATGCCGGTTACGTGGAGATGAAGCCTGGAGAACCCCCCACGCCAACCCCGGCCCCGGCTACTGACGGTTACGTCGAGATGAGCTACAGCCGCAACCCGCGCATCCCGACTCGCCCTATTGCGATAGCGAACCCTCGCGCCCCGCCCCCCACCTCTTCGTCACCCGAAACCCGCGAGATAAAGATGCTCCACGGGTCCCAAACTATTTTTCCCTTCTCCCCCGATTCGCCCGCCTCTCCTCCAGAGTTAGATGCGCACGCGTTGTCCACGGTGCGCGAAATCTCCGAAGAGGGAAGGAAGAGTCCGGCGAGGGGAAGAACAGAGGTGTCCTCATCGCCGCAATACGTGACGCTTGCGCGACCGGATGCCCTCAACAATAATAAGACTGCCAGAATCGATGAGAATAGAGGTATGTGTGAGTGTTGTGAATATAAAGTTAAATATAATTTAGTTAAAAAAAGATGTAGTATTTTTCAGTAATACAAAATACTGGTCTATCTTGATCACTAACTAAATAAGTCTATGTGAATATGTTGTGTCAACTGTGATTCCAGAAACGGATAGTGGCCCAGGCGGGCGTCTTCATTACGCGGCGTTGGATCTAGAGGCGCGAACGCCGCCCGCCCCGCCCCCGCCACGTCTCTACACGCAGATCGACTTCGCACGCAGCGAGACGTTTGCGACTGATGCGCTCTAGCCAGGTCAGCCCCATACTTCTTTCTATTAAGTGTAAAATGCTCTTCTTTTTAAGCTTGAGCGTAAAAAGAAAATGAGTTCATTGGTCACGTGACCATATAAGGAAGTTAAAGTAGCAAATGTCTACCTCTAAAACCACGGGATATATATAACTTTTGCAACAGAGTACCCAAATACAATTATCAGCTATGTGAAGAAAGGAGCTAGAAATGTATGTCAGATATTTCAGAGATCTATTGAAGCGAAGTACATGTACATAGTACAAAAGTTTACTTGTCTATACATATACATTAACATAAATATAAATGAATAATATAATTATCTCGTTTCAGATGTGCCGAGCGAGTTACGTAGGAAGCGCACGCAACTAGCCCACCGGACGCCTCTGCAGACACTCACACGTAAACATGTGTTCGACGTTTTGTATCGATTTGGGCTTCGAATTATTCGTATCGTTTAAAAGTAATGCCGTTTCGACAAAACCGTAAGATATTGATAAGGCGGCAGCGTTTGAGCGATCTGCCTTTGCGCCTTATTTACGACTCGAAAAGTCAATAAGGCTTTTTGCTAGAAAAATTGTCGTCAAACAAAAATATTTTCATAGATTCACAACTCACAACACACATAAATGCACGTTTTTCAGTAGCGATCAGTATCTCCGATTTTTTTTTATGAAATTGTTACAAATTAGCGTTTAGATAATCACAACAGCGATATGATTTTCTTATAGTAAATCGTTATACTGCCGTTATCGCATACAATTCTTATGATATTAAACGTCAAAATGTAAATATAAGGAGGAACGTGGAGATAGGAGATAGGGTCCATTTCCCAAAACATAACTCCGATAAGCCTCGCTTTACGAAACTTACAGAAATGGAAAGACGTAAAAGTTTTCGGAATAGCGAAACATTGTATGACAATAGTTTCGTCTAGCAAAAGTAATTTTAAATATAAATGGATTGTACACATTCGCTTGTGCTACCAAAGCGCGAGCCAGAATAGTTAAATATATAAAAGTTCAATGACCTCTGATCGTTTCGTCGAGAAGTTTTATCTGTTTTTATAATGTCACGAGGTTAAAATCCATCATTTGGACTTTGTCGCTTGCTTCTGGCATTTCGTTGTTTAAATATTATACCGTTTTAAAATGCGTGTCAGTTGAAGTAATTGGATCTTAAACGATCTAATTTTCTACGTTTTACGGATCAAATTCCTCCAAATTATCGCATCTGTTATATATTTGTAAAAACATTATCTTTAATTATCTAGATACTAATAACACATATTTATTGGCTTTCATTCATATATACATTTATAGGCTATTGCTATTATTATATGTAATTTATGATTTTATATCAAAAATATTTAGTGAGGACGCATTTCTCTTAGCCAATAACGCGCTTCCAAAGTATAGGATTTTTATTAAAAAAATATTAATATAAAATTTTTGAAAAAAAAAAAAAGTATTTTTCGTAATACATAGTAGTAAAAATTCTCATTTTCAATATTTTTGATATAAAATTTTCAAAAGTTGTATAGTGGGAATTCAAATATTACGTATATGAATTAACTCGATTCAAATATTGGTAGAGGGTTGTTACATTTACATAAAATCATTATAAATATAAAATATTAAATTCAATCTGAATGCAAGGCACAATAGCTACACCAGTTATTGAATAAAAGATGGATTTAATAAAATGATACTTAAATCGCCTTGAACACTCAAATATGTTAATGTTTGTTATTTTATTTAAATATAGTACCTAAATGCCCAACATCTAAACAATATTGTGTCTTGCAGTCAAGTAAGCCGCGGTTGTGAGTGAGGCCTAATTAGTTGACAGTTTGCGTTCCGATATACTACCTATTGTGTTCGTAGGTTACACTGCAATATCGCTCTTAACATATACTGAAAAAGATACAAAGGGTCTCCATAAGCAAATAGATTGTTTTAAGACTGCATTTTACCACAAGATGGCGCTTTTGACAATTTCGTTTGGACATTTTGAACCTGGCGTCTACTATGTGTTAGAACTGAAACTATTTATGAACAAAACATCTCTATTTATGACTTTGAACGACATTCTTGTTAAAACAAATCAGTCACTAGACCCTTTGCATGATATTTTTCGGTAATAATGTTTGCTGTTGTCCTCTGTTAATTCTTTACACTAATTATAGCGACTGATCAAAGTATTTAAGAAGTATGAAATAGATGGTTATATGCTCGTTTCGATGTTGCCATGTCATTCGTGGATCAAATACTTCGCTATAATTAGTTCTACCAGTAACATCCCTGAGCTTGCCCTTTATATTATTATCATTGCAATCGAATTCTTGCCTCCCTACCTCAAAGATACCACCTTCGCTTTGTTTCATGCGGTCTAAGGTTTAAGTTCGCGTATGACGCCTTGTTTTGTTTATATCCAGTTTTATTGGTCAAATAAGCTTACAGTTACAACTTGGAAGATTACGTTTATACCCAGTGTTACAAAAGCAGTTATTTTTATATAAAAAAACTGAATAAAATAAACTACAAATCCTAGAGCAATTGTGAATATGCGTGTTTTTATAATTCAACATTTAGAATTCAAGATCTACTCAAAGATATTACACAACCTTCGGAGATTTGAAATCTTGTCTTGCATTACCAAGATTCAATAGTAGCCATAACTTAAAAGCGATGCATATCTCTTGAATATCTCTGAATATTAAAACAAAATTTAAAACAATATTGGTTATGTTCATCTTTTAACCTTCTTTGATTCGATCATGTATATTCCCTATTGACACACCCGATAGTTCCTGTGACGCCATCTCCCGCCATTTATGTTACACGTATAAAGACCAGGCTCAGGTGCGCGATAGTTTACGTAATTATGTGTTCATTTCAAGACGAAAGAGATTTCTTTTCATATTGACATGTTTATACTGAACTAAATGTAGTAATTATTGAGGTTAACTGGTGTTATGTGTTTACTCTTGTTGATATTACGCGTTTCATATAGATAATGCGTCTTACGTGCTGTATACATAGTTGCAATAATTAAATATATACATGTATATTATATATACAAATTGGAATAAATCGTTATACAGTTTTAATCAAAAAGGCAGCACGTAAAACACTGAAATGGTAATTGTAAAACCGATATATACAAATGACACGTAGGTATTTATAGCTATAAATAATCATAGCTCAATATATCCACATTTTACATGATTGATTACGTCGGTCCGTTTTGGGGCACAACTAGATTAGGTTCAGATTATCTTGTGCAATATTCCTAGGTATACATTTTGAATTACTAAAACGCCGTATACGCCAATTTTTGTTTTGTCTTTGTTTGTTAATTGCCTTTGATGCGAAGAAAAGAGAAAAAATCGTGTCTAGGTTTCAAAGATTGTTACAATACACCAATCAAAATGCCTATTTAGCAAGGCAGTATAAATGTAGTAACGAACCGAAACCGATTGTTTTGTCAGCATGTAAATGAAATTCAATCCTAAGTACATTGAATAGAGTTTATTTCATTTTTGTATATGGCATTACCATGCGACCCGCCGTATAGTAAGTCGTAGATACAATATTATAAACATAATTTCGATGTAGCTTTATATGGTGGCAAGTTTCATTCAAAAGTTATTAAAGTATTTCTTATTTGTGTCCAAAGTAGACGGAAGCATACAAAGAGTATTTATTACACATTTAAATCTGCTAAACCGGACGGTTCTAAAGAAGATAACATTGCCTTCGTTTTAACTATTTTAAATTGATTTTAGACGTTCATCAAAAATTAGTTAAATCGTCACCACCATAGCGATAGGATACTGACAGTTGACATTCCGACAGAAGCAAATTGACTAGTCTCATGTGTTCAATATCCTTCCACTAGCGAGCTAACGTTATCTCCAATCTTCCGACTCCAAAATGACCTCGGACCTTTTGTATGGAGAAGGAAATACCGCTAGTTTAATCCCGAGGCGCTCGAAATAACGTAATGGGACCTGTATATTATCGCCTGACTGAGTTAACACCAAATTTTATATAATGTTATTTATTGTGTGGAGGCGTCTGAAATTATTTATGAGTTATTTAATTTCCATCGTTGACCCGTGTGGGTCATTAAATTAGCTTTAAAATTATCGCCCGTTGGATAACAGTGTGTTCTCGCCTTTAGAAGGTTTAGAGGACTAAATGACTAATTGGACTAATTGGCGTGTGTTATCCGACGAGCGCCGTACCCGTTCGGGTGTCTAATTAAATATCTAGCCAAAAACGATTGATATTCAATATCCCAGGTATGAGAAACCGGTGAAGATTTTAACGGTATTTTAAATTAGTACAATTGGGCACAGCCGATGTTTTTATAAATTATTGTATTCCTCTGTTAAGCCTGAAACATGCTATCTGATCCTGCAAACTAGTATTTCTTGTGGTCTGACTCGAAATATATCTGAAATCTAGATACGCGATAGTGAAGTGTGGTGGTAGCAAATTATTGCCTTATACATCATACTAAGGTAGAAATACAAATATTTTGTCCAGTAGAAACGAAATTATGTACGGCAGTTCATATATATTTTATTATTTATTTTATTCGATAGTGTGTTTCAGTCTTAACTCGATGATGATCGTCGTTCGCGACTCGTGTGTGTCTGTCGGTATGAGCGGCGAGTGAATGTGTAATTATAATTTATTTAATGTAGCTGTTAAGTTTGGCATCCCCTCTACTAACTTACAAACGGGTTAAGACGCAGATAGCTAGTGCCACCTCGCAGTTGTGTAGTTACATTTTAAGTGTATATGTGCGGCGTCGCTCACGAATCCAAGAAGATTAGTTGATTGTTAATTCCCCAAACGTAGCGTCCCGTAGGTAATTTCTGTGAAATTTTGTGTGTCAGCCTGCCCAATTATATCGGTTCATCATTAGCGACGTCGCACCTAGCGTATTTACTTTATTCCACTTAGCTGTAAGGGCCGATCTATCGGCTGTAGTGTTAAGTGCACATTGTTTAGCGTTAACGGAACGGAACCTCCTTCTATAATAATATATATTATGTTTTTGAGCTGTAAGGACAGATATGCACAAAACACTTCACATTTACGGTCACAAAGCTGTCTTTAGACGTGATGCGGTAGTACGTTTTTGTTTCTATCGCTCAAATTGGACTTGGAATTGAATTAAGAGACAAAGCATAAATTAATTCCTCAAAGATTAAATACTTTAATATCTACGCGTTATTTGAGTACAAGAAGAAATCGTATCACAATGTTAATACAGTTTATTATAAAAGGAGCGTTCGGCAACATTTGCATTGGCGAGAATCGCGACATCGAAAGCTAGTGTGAATGCGGCCTTATATACACGAATATACAAGGAAGGAACTCCGCGAGAGATGTCATGACAAAATGGAGTTCTATTCTATACTAGTCCCATTGCAAGTTTAATAGGATTTTGCATAAAGATGTTCCTCTAACGGCGTAAAGTTTTTTTTTATATTAATCATTAAGTGTGTATAGGTAACGTAAAGACGGTCGATTGTGACAAGAGCTAAAGGCGCGAATGGTGCTAGAGCGACGCACGCGCAGTTCACGCCGTGCCCGGCTAGGCTAACATCACTTTATAAATGAACTTTAGCTTTTGTAACAGAGTTTTTCTCGCGTTTCGCCCGATGTTATGTTTTATAAATTTCTAAATCTTAATTCTTTTTGGAACGTTACGTTTTGTTTACTTTCGTATTACGATTATATTGTAAATAAATAAAAGCTTTGGATTTGATTTTTGTTTCTTTTCAACCTGTTTAAGTGTTCAAATGTGTTAAGTCCAGTTGCCTTTACTCCGGCACTTAAAATATATAAATACATATTATTTTATGATGAAGGACAGAGAATCACGGGGTTACTTGATGGTAGACAAATTCCCCAGCCATATCTAAACAAAATGCTCCGTCCATCTATTTTGGCTTTGTACATTCGGATTATATTTGGATATATTTTATTATTTGTGTCAGATAGATTTTATATTTAAGTAAGTTGTTAAGATGGCTCAGTAATCATGCCTTTTATCCTACGGTTCGAACTCGTCTCGCGTTATCGGTAATCGCTATATAACGCATTGAATTTTGGCCCCCAATATTTTCTAAAATACGCTATACAATACATTGATCGCAATCGTTAATTAAAAAAGAAGTGCTCAAAATAAAGTATTTTTATTTCATTTAATTTAGATAATCGATTACATTAACACACCTTGAAGAAAGAATAATTAGATATTTACTATACTATAGCATATAATGTTTGTGGTGTATATTCACGATAATAATTAGCATTGACGTGAATAATTTACTGGCAGTCGATCAGAAGTTACAAAAACAATAACCGCGCGATATGTAGGAACTAGTAGCGCTGATTACATTAAAATTCACGATTATAGTAGTATTGGATAAATGTGGTGTACAAAACGTGGACGATTGTGTAATTTTGTTAATATATAGTGTTAAATACGTGGGGTTCCCTATGTTTTGAGGAGTTTCGTTAATAATCTTGAGATCATGGAACTATAAAATTCTATTAGGTTAGTTGTTGTCAAATTATGCCGTAAATTTCAAATATATTTTTATCAGCTAGAGTCAACGGTCACCGGGTATTAAATTCAGCATTTATCAAGTTGCGTTAGATTTATAAATCAGCTTTTTGTTCATAGCGAGTTTGTATTTATAACCTAGATGCATTATTATTATTTGCTTATGTAATGAAACTATTAAAATATATATAAATAAAATATTCATAGAATTTTCAAGCCTAGTAGGTACAATAGATAGACTCGTAATCTATTTCCGTACAGAATATTTTTTGTAAAATTTTGAATTTAATGAGATTTCTTGTATGACAAAATCAAAAATAATTCACAGAGATTGGTATTAAGTAGTTTGAAATGAAAAAAAAATCTTTAAACTCAAAACTGTGACTTATCGAAATCAAACTTCAACATAAAACATGTGACAAACATGTTTTTACAATTAGTGACCTCGCCGTTACCAGAATTACTAGTTTTTAGATACAAATGTTACATAAGACGAAATGATTCGACAAATATAGATCTATGTCGACTTAGATTAGCTAGCGAGACATGTGTTCCCAACATTTCAATTTAAAACAATAATAACTGTTCTGCGTACTTACATTTTCTATTACTAAATATACTTCAAAGGAAAGCAGCCAAATACCCCGTTGCTAAGTAAAGTATCGTTTGTGCTTTCCGAATATCCAAAGACAAAATAGGTGGACGGCGCATTTTGTTTTACCATTAATTGAAACCTATACTTGTCTGTTATCTCTATCATAAAGAAGTTAAACATTTGGCCCCCACCTCAAATCTTAGTTGTATTAGAATAACCCCCTTCATGCAATAATCTCGAGAATAGGGGTACATATTATTTTTCGATACCTTTCAATTTTTAATCGTTTTAGGCTCTTTTGAACGTACACGATTATCCAAATCGCGCACATCTTCCTAAGATAAGCAGTTAGTAATCACAACATAAAATCAACACAATCTGAGTACATGGATATCGCTAATCATCCATGATTTGAGAGAAAACTAAAGATTAGATAGTGTTAAAACGTTAAATGTATCGATATCCAATGCTCACTTTGACTAATTCAGAGGTGGCCGTCATTCGTCCATAAGCGGCCAAATTTTGCGATAACATGACGGAGTCTAGGCACGGTGGGATGTTTACGCCTTTTATAAAGCAAGTAAGTATTTTTCCTTACTATAACAATATTACATAATTGCCCTTTTTGTAACTTATACAAAATTATGTTGTCTTAGGCGAAATATTAAATATTTGACGGGTTATTGGTGTAATGCTAGAATGTATGGCTAATAGTCAACGGGTCCAACATGGTTCTAATTAAATTATAATTGTGATTAAACTTCGTCTAGAAATTTGCATATTAAATGAGTAGTAAGAATATCGAAGTACGGATCACGAACAACCGCGCAAAAGCCTTCAAGTTTAATGGAGGTTGGTTATTCCTCCTACTAATTACTTAATGTACAGAGAGCGGGCTGCGCAATAATACATGTAGGGATTTTATTATTTACCCCCGAAGCTTTTTGCATACGCCACAACCAAGGAAGATCGAATCCCTTGGGAATACAATAAATTATTTTGGGCCAGTAGGCTCAGTGTTTAAAAACAGACAGAAATATGTTTGCCACATGCTTCGATGTGTGTAATACTTATGTATATCCTTTGACCTTTAGCGCCATTTTCATTTGATTTAGGCCTTTCGCTTAAAATCTTAAATTTAATGAAAGCTTTTCAATTTTAGTGCTATGTAACAGCAACGGTATGTATGAACGTGTTAAGCAACGGCGCTGCTTATGGCTTCCCAGCTATACTCCTTCCACAACTCAAGCTGCCAGATTCAGCTATACCCATCACCAAGTCTGAAGAGTCATGGATAGGTGAGATATCAGCTCCTGTTTTCGATATTGGAATAATTATATATACTTAGTCTTATATGGTACTAGTTTTTGTTTGTGAAGTCGATTTTGATTACCTTTTATTTTATAGAATATGAATTTCGAAAACTTAATTATTTTTCACATGTTATTCACTCATGATGTCACTATACAAATTAAAAATTGATTATAATGCAATGACTGTAAATAAAATAATCAGACCCTGAACGAAGGGAATATAGATAGAGTTAAAATAATATTATTTTAAATTTTATCATTTCGTGTTAGATGGTTGTTGTCATATACGATACATACATTAGCCCAAATTTCGTCAAACTAGTTCGGGCGTTCTTGACTTGACGAACAAGGCTTTGTTTTATATCTATAGATTTATCGTGACAGTAAACAAATGTTTGAAAACTCTAATATTTTTCACATGATGGCAGTATGCATCGATTCAAAATTAAAAAAAAAAACAAGCCGGGCACGGAAGGCTGTGGGGCCTGAAATGGCACCTACAGCCTTCCGTGCTCTAACCAATCTTACCCAGTAGCTCAATTAAACAATAGCAACCGCACGGATGGATGCCGGTTCAAGTCCTGCCCGAGTCATATTTTTTTTCTATTTGTAATCGATATTTAATTTATATAGAAAACAAATGTGAAAATAATTTCAACTCCTGCCTAGGCATGTAAATCTAGCGAATAAATTACAGGTGATACACACTAATTGCGTAAAGTGCTTTGAATTATACAAGGACGTTTTCTTTAATTCGTAATAAGGACTGCATTTAATTAATCGATAAGCAATTATTCCCATATATATTTTAAGCTGCTTGTAGTTACATGCTTAAACGTATTGCCTAGCATTGCGCTAAGCGTGAGAGATACTAGGTTTGAGTCCTCGGGAAACAAAATATTGTTTCAGTGGGGCAGGGTACAGAAATCTGATGAACCTTTAATCAAATCCCACGTTACCCCTTGAGGGACGTAGAGGATGCGATTTATTTACATTATTTTTACATATTATTTATTTTCATTTATTAATTTTTAACTTAAAATGTTAAAAACATTAATATTGTTATAGCTTCCATAATAACAATTGCTATACTTGTGGGGAACTTCAGTATGCCGACGATAATGAACCGATTGGGGCGTAAGAGATCACATTTCATCGTGATGCTGCCCACAGCTTTGGGCTGGCTGCTTATCATGTTTGCGACTAATGTGCAGGTAGTACTATGCAATATAATCTGTAACTTTTTACATTACAGTTCATGGTAAAATACTTATTTTGTCATTATTGCAAAAAATATGTTTGAAATGTAAACATACCTACATACATTTGAGCCATTACGCACTGGCGACTGGAGGTGTAAGTCGACTCTACGCGGTGAGTCGCCGAGTTGTCTGAGCGACCGACGACCAAGATTAGTCGACAGTGCGTAATAGCGATTTTAATCGATCCTTGACAAATTCTGATGACGAGTCCAATATTATATATTAATGTTGTCCTACAATAGTAAAAACTATATATTTTAAAAGGGAGACCTATTAAGCAGTCGACCTACAATATACATAGAGGTTTAATTTTGTAAATAATTTGTTTTTTTTTTTATTGCATTATTTACCCAGCTAGCATGCTGTTAATACTGTGTTAAATATTTTACATAGGTACCTTTTTCAAAAGTACCCTCATTGTGTCTTTATTTTTCAGATGATAATAATAGCAAGATGTATGCAGGGCATATCATTCGGCCAGGGGGTGCCGATTCGAGCTGTCATCATTGGCGAATACACGAGTCCAAAGAACAGAGGCGCATTCCTATCACTGATAGCTGTAGCGCAAACTTTGGGAATATTCACTGTACATCTCGCTGGATCTCTCGTTAGCTGGAAAAACACCGCTGCCATATGCATCATCTTCACTACTCTAAGCTTCCTTATGACGTTCGCTCTTCCCGAATCACCAAGCTGGCTCGCGAGTAGAGGAAGGTACGACGAATGTACAAAGCACTTCGAGTGGCTCAGAGGGTCTGAAGAAAATGAGGAGCTCAATGAGCTAATCGAAGCTAGAAAGAATTACAAAATAACAAAGGAGACAAGTTCCAAGAAGATTAGCGATGTTGTCACACATGCTGAGTTTTACAAGCCCATCGTTATAACTCTACACATGACTCTGTTGATGTACGTAGCTGGAAGTATGAACTTGGCCGTGTATGGATCCACTATTTTATCAGAAATCATGGGACCAAATGTTGACGTGCATTTCTGGCTCGTATTCCTGGATGTCGTGCGTATTATAACTAGCTTCTTCGCCGTCTTCCTCATGAGAACCTTTAAAAGAAGGACAGTGACCTTTAATTCCATTGGATTATGCATTGCAGTGCATTTGGCTATTGTTGCCCACGTGTCTATGATAAAGTACGGAATCAAGGTTTTGGATCATGTGTGGGTACCCGCTTTACTATTGAACCTTCAATGCTTTTCTGTGTCATCGGGGATCGTGCCAATAACAAGCGTCATTACTGGTGAAATGTTTTCTCTAGAGTATCGTACTACTGGTATCAGTATCAGCACTGCAATAGCAACGGCATTTCACTTCGCAATATTAAAAACCTTCCCATATCTAGTATCAGGCGTGGGAATCGAAGGTGCGTATGGCATGTACGCGAGTGTTCTCGGTTACTGTATGATAGTTATGTGGTATATGATGCCAGAGACGAAAGGAAAGACTCTACAGCAAATCGAGGACAGGTTCAAAGGAATCGATAAGACTGCGGCACAAACAGAGCTTAAGCCTCTTAACGACATCAAAGTAGTTATTTAGCGTAGTTATATAATTTTAAATTCTATACTCACCTATACACATTTGTACTTATTAGTCAAATTTGTTAATGATAAGAACAAAGTTGTTAGAAGGAAGACAATTTTATTGTGATATTAATACATTTACAATCATAACAGATATTATTTGTATTTGCGAAATCGTTACTTAGGTACATACAATATTTCATTAATATTTTAGGTTATAAAGGTTTAAAAAGATGTAAGGTTTTTGAATGTTAGACAAATATTTTTTATATGATTATACTGTGATAGTTCAATAAACTGATTGAAATATTTTGTGCTCTTTTATTCATGAAATACCTACCAGTTAACAATTGTTTTTGATATCCCAATGTGCGAATAGCGACCAGTCTGCTCGCCCCTACAAACTAACGTTCGGATTGATTTCAGATTACTAGTAATTTTCCTTAAAACATTCAAATTTCAAAATAAACAGGAAACAGACTTTTAGCTATTTTAAGTTACGATTTAATTTTGATTTTAAGCTAGGATGGTAGAACGAAAAAAAGAACTGGCAAGAGTGGGCGTCTCTTATTCATCACGAAGATGAATGTGTAATGCGTTTCTAGATTGAAATAATATTCTTATGTTATAGAAAGACCACATTGTGGCAAATGTCGAACTAGTAATTGTTCGACATTTAATGCGGTCTTTGTACATAGATGTTACTTGAAATAACTACTGAAATGTTAACAGTATAATTTCATAATTGACGTTGATGGCATTTATTTCAATAATTCAAAGTTATGATCCAAATTTTATTAATGTTATTTGTCGATTATAACCCACGATTTTAATTAGAAATATATTGCGTAAAGGTTGTTTGCTCACTCATTGATCATCTATTGCTCACTCATTGATCGTCTATTGCTCACTCATTGATCGTCTATTGCTCACTCTTTGATCGTCTATTGCTCACTCATTGATCGTCTATAGAGAATTGAAGAGCAAGAGGGAATCACCTAATATTTGTATTGTTTGCACTTTCATAGGATAACAATCAAAACACCTTTTCGAAAAGACCGTATACTATACAGAGAGTATACTAGCACGGATAACGGAACAGTATTAGTGCCTAGTCCCAATTCCATTATAATACTAACTGTACCCGCGACTTCGTCCCTGTGAAATAACTATTTTGGGAATTAAAATATTATTTATTTCTGCGAACAACCTCATGTTAGGTTAGGTACACGTGTGTAACAGCTTTTCAAATCATAACTGTTACACAAGACGACATCCGCCTCCCGTCTTTCTAGTGAGGTATCCTTAAGAGATAGGCATACAACGTGGTGGAGCTTTTTCATTTCAAGGGAAATAATTTTTTCTTACATGTTTGTTTTGTATCTTGAACCGTTTTCGTAGCGCTCCAAACAGAAGCCATTATAAAATGAATACTTTTCCCGTTTTTACATTTGCCTCTGTTTCTTTCCCCTTCTATTGGTCTTCCGCGATACATGGTCCAATAAAAACAAATTTTCAATATAAAATAAGTACTTTCAAAAATTAGTGAATATACCATAAACTATTGCTATAGACTAAACTTTATTGAAATCGCCCTAACTCGACGGCGAAAGTTACTAAATACATCCATTCAAAAAATAAACTCATGCGCAGCTAATAAATCATACAAATGTCCTGGATAACTAAAACCTGTCTTTTAAGAAATATTGGTGGGGCTGAGGAGAATTTTTGCGAATTTCGCATTTCGGTCAAGTGACTGCCATGTTAAGCCTAATCTCGCGACGTAGGCAGCGCGAAATAAAACAAATATTATGGCGTAGCGACTTAAACCTTTAGATTATTATTTTATAACGTTATATAATTTAACATTATTAGTGTTCTTTGTGAAGTGATGTAGTGCTGTGTAAGCTCCGAAATGTCAGACCAGAAAAAGAAATTATTTTCACCTTTCGTTAAACAAGTGAGTTTATTTGATATTATTCTTTAAGACAACAGAGACGTTTTAAAAACATAATTAAATAATCAGAACTGTGCATTATAAGCAAATATCACCTGTCCTCTATTCAGAAAATATATTTATTTTATGTAAATAAATAAACTTTAGAAAATTGCTCTAATGTTATTATTATGCACAAATGTCTTTTATTAAATGTAATAAATAAAGTAATATTGTTATATATTACATTTACAACAGTTTTAATAAAATGTAATATAAGCCACAGTCAGCTGCTTTTAAATGCACTTCGATTTACAATAGGAAAATATAAAATAATAAGGATATGTACCACATTCACATTTCACAATAATTATATAATACAATCTTATATGATTGTAACACCACATTAAGTGCGTATTATTTTCGCTCTCGTAAAGAAACCACAAACGAGTTACAATTACGATGAAAGTTCCACTTACACATTTTTATTTCAAAAAAACGTATTTTTATATCACTTGACGTAATAAAACGTTGAAATGTTTTTCTCAAACATTACAAGTGATATGAAAGATCTTTTTCACTTCATTCAGCAGGATTTGAACACACGCTCTTAACGTTCCGTAGTATTGCTATACCCGTAAGTTACTGCGAAGCTCTTAAAGTCCATTTTAAGAGGTTCGCTTAATATTTTTGAATATTAGTTAAAAGTAATTATTTTTGTAGAATGTAGCATAAAGACTGGTAAAAAAAGTGAAAGCCCGTTTCCCCCTCGTGGGGCATGGTGCGAACACCCTTCTATGTCCGTTCTTTTAACTGGCAAGTAGTTGAGCAGACTTTTGCGCCCTGCCCGACCGAAACAATTTTTTTTTGTTTACCTGGCATTCGAACCTAGGACCCCTCGCGCTCAACGCACTGGTAGGCAATACGTTTAACCATTTGGCTAGAGAGGCGTGCAATAAATATAAGACTCGTTTTTGGATAAATTAACAAACTTATTTGGAATCGGACACATATTTAGGTATTGTGTATTTGAAGCTAGAATTTTATTGTGACTAACCAACCATTTTAATTTTTGTCTTTTCTTATATTCCTAGTGTTTTGTTACTGCAACAGTATGTATGAACGTGTTGAGCAACGGTGCCGCTTATGGCTTCCCAGCTATACTGCTTCCACAACTCAAGCAGCCAGATTCACCTATACCGATCAGCAAGTCTGAAGAGTCATGGATAGGTAATATAAAGACTACCTACATTATCCTTTAAATACCTATTATAATAAATAAAGTCCAAGATTTAAAAAAAAATACCATGTCAAAGTCATGTTAATCATCAGGTCATGTCGTCAGGTTTAATTTCCGCATGTACCCTCATATTTATTTTATTTATTTAAGCTTTTTTATATCTTTTATAAATCATCAAGTTATTATAAGCAAAAGATTGGGCATATTATTTTGGCAAAATGCCTAAACAACATGCTTCAAAGTCAAAGTCAAGTTGTACTATAAGTCTGTACCAATCGGCGTGTAGTGTAAATAAAGGTTTCAAATGAGAAATATATTTGTTCCCTAACACGGATAGGAACTGCTGACTATATGCAACGTCTGGTTATAGTTATAATAAGTGCATTTCGCGACCGAGCGAACCCGTTAAAGTGTTTTATTTAAATGTGTACTACTCGCGTCAACTATAGACAGTACGTAAAAATATTTTATTTAAATGCTCAATTATACTTAGAACAATTATGATGAATTTCCATCCTATATCTTATCCCAAAAAGTTAGTGCTGTCTCATTATCAAAATACAAATAGACCAGTGTATACAACGTATGATTCTTAAAATTGATAAAGTTATCTTCCTTATGTCTATCGTCTACCGTAAACATACGTAATCTTATTTCGTAACTTTTTGCCACTTTAATACTCTTTATATAAAACACAAGGAAGTCTTTAATTGACAAGACCATGAAGATTCACAACAAGTTTGATAAAATTGAAAGTTTCAACAAATTCTTCTTTATTAAAAATTCTTCGTCAATCAAAGATATTATATTATAGGTATATAACAAACTCCTTAAGCTTGGCGATACACAACGATACTACATTATTTTACATAAGTCAATTTAATTGATTTGCTCAAACAGAATGACTAGTTACATTCGCATATCATAATTTACTTTATTACTTATAAGAAATAACAAAAGTCGCGCTAAAAATATCGTTCATCCATCAAACTATTGTATACTAATCTCAGGACATCCAATATCTGAAATTGAAGGAGAGCTCTTCAGAATTCCAATATTTCGGAATTACTAGAATATTATAGGCATTATATCTGAGCTAGGTCATATCGGTTATTGATTTATCGTACATTAATTCTAGTTAAAGACAACGAACTAGGATTTATCCCTTACGTCCACGTCACTTGTGCACTAGTTTCTTTATAAGGTTTTAATACGATTTATTACTACTTCTGTATTAGAATATAAATGTTACAGCCCAATAAGATAATATCTGTCTTGAATGAGAACAGAATAAAAAATCGTTGCGTGTGTAGCAGCCCTTATTCGCTCCATAACCGTCTGGGCCAGCTAACGGTGCCGTCTCACACGACGGATTACTTTCCATCGGTAATGGATTATGAGATTTTGTATCTCGTTTACAGCTCCGAGACTAATTACGAACGCGAAGTGTATTTAATAGACTTTCTCTACTATTTTGTTAGTTTACATAGCGTTAGTTTAAATTTGGGGTATTTAAAAATAAGGAACATTATTACATTTATATTATAAAAATATTTATTGAATCATTCTGTTAAACTAAATCTAAATATATATTTCTTGTTGACCATTTAAGTCAGTTATTTTTTGTATATTTTTTTACGATTTTGCGTTCAACCACAAGGTAGCTGTATACCGTTGAAGAGTTTCCTAAACTTTCCCACGTCTTCATCAACAGACCGCTAATGATAGTCAAAATCCATCAAGGTGTTAAGTTCTTAACAATACAAATCTTTTAAGCTCGAATACAAGCATACAGAAACAATACACTCAAAACCTTTATAGAATTGTAGTGATTTGTATTATATGAAAAACGATACAAACAAACTAGTCGTCCCTACGATTTCTAATAGTCTCGACGTTGGCTGAAAATTACGAAATATTTTTTTATCCTGCAACTTTCACCGAATATTTTAACAATTAGGTATAGATCACGAACGATTATTTATTTTTATTGGAATATATCGTAATACGCAAAGTATTACGATATCGCCATCTTCATTGAATGCTTGGTCATTGATAAGAATGGGTAAAAGCTGATCTTTATCCTTTATCAGTGTGAACGTGCCCTGCATCGCTGAAAAAGACCCGTAAAAATCTATTAAGGAAATTAAGAAATAAATGTTAATTTTGTCATAAATACCTACTACTAATATAGTATTTTTTTATTGAAACAAATAAACATTTGTGATGCGTTTTTTGGGTTGCCTGGAAGAGATCGCTTGTTAACGATTGCACTCCATATTTCTAATATACCTATACATAATGTGTTAATAAATTAAAAAAATATATGTATATATAGTTTCCATGAGTCACTGAGTATTCCCGTTTTCTATCGAACTATCCTGTACACTGTAATTATATATTATTTATAAGTTAAACTTTATAAATTTAAAGATGTTTATCTGAGTCCTAACAGAAATGTAACCTCTATCTCTAACAGCGGCAGTGGTGACGATAGCGATGCTGGTAGGGAACTTCAGTATGCCAATCTTCATGGAAAAGCTGGGACGGAAGAAGGCACACTTCATGGTCATGTTGCCGACAGTCATCGGTTGGTTCTTAATTATATTCGCTACAAGCGTACAGGTATGATCTGGCACTTATATGAAAAATATTGTTCTATGTTATATTTCATAAACACGTGCGTAGGTCAATAGTTATGTATTGGCTAGCATTGTTTTAAACATGTGAGCCACTGGATATAAATTCTGAAAAAACTATGAACACAGAAGTACTCACACACACTAGTGAAGTTTACTAAACTAACACAGATGTTGTTATAGTTAGGTTAGTAAGCACTTCTCAATTATAAAATAATAGTAACACATATTTAGTCAATGTAACATATAAATTTAATAAAGTTATAGAATTCAATGTTCTCTCCAGAACCTGATAATAGCCAGGATCATGCACGGTCTATCTCTCGGCCAAATTGTCATGATTCGCGCCGTCATTATCGGCGAGTACACGAGCCCGAAGAACCGTGGCGCTTTCCTCACATTAATATCCCTCGCTCAGACATCGGGAGTTTTCGTAGTCCATCTAATGGGCTCCTTACTGAAGTGGCAGACCACGGCCGCCATAAGCGTCGTCTTCACCGTACTTAGCTTTATGATGACATTCTTCCTACCAGAGTCTCCCAGCTGGCTGGCTAACAACGGAAAGTACGAAGAATGTCAGAAACATTTCGAATGGCTACGTGGCGCTGATGAAAACGAGGAGTTGAAGGAATTAATCCAAGCCCGAATGAAGCACAATGCGTCCAAGAACGTCGACATTAAGGCAGCTCTGAAACAGCTAGATTTCTACAAGCCGATAATCGTCAGTCTGCACATCTCCTTGATAATGTTCTTCGCTGGAACAATAACGGTCGCAGTGTACGGAACGACGATTATAGCGGAAATCATGGGACCTGATGTAGACGCCCATTTCTGGCTTCTATGCTTGGACTCGGTCAGAATTGTCACCAGCTTTTTGGCTGTATACCTCGTCAGAACCTTCAGGCGACGAACGGTGACTTTCGGTTCAGTTGGCTTATGTCTATTAGTTCATATACTTATTATAACCCACGTGACCTTGATAAAATTTGGTGTAAGAATATTCGATTACTTTTGGATCCCAGCTATCCTGATGAACTTGCAATGCTTCTCCTTATCGGCAGGATTATTACCCATAAACAACGTTATCACAGGAGAAATATTTCCTTTAGCACATCGCAGTGTTGGAATAAGCATAACCACAACTGTTGCAACGGGCTTTCATTTTATCGTATTGAAGACCTTCCCATATTTGTTGTCAGAAGTGGGAATCGCGGGTGTTTACGGTATTTATGCGACCGTTATGACCTATGGTTTAATTGTAACATGGGTCATTATGCCTGAAACCAAAGGACGGACATTGCAACAAATCGAAAATAGATTTAAGGGAGTGAAGGGCACCGCGCCTGAACTGGAGAGTTTGAATAATAACAATAAAGCGTAATTATCCAAGGAAATATAATATAGTAGCTGTGCCCGTAACTTCGTCCGCGTGGAATAGGGACAGTGATAGTGGGATAGAATTTTTAATTATTAAGGCTGTTTATTAATTTATGTAAGGTCGCATTTAAGGCAGCCAATCTATGTTGTAAGTGCTACTTTGCCGCAACACTCACCTCACATCACTCCTAATCTAACTCCCACTCCCACTCCCACGCCCACCCCCACCTATCCCCAAAAAGCCAGAGAAGAAAGTTTCATTCATCTAGCTCCAAAAACCCCGAATTTCCATACAAAATTTAATCCCCTATCAACCCTTATTTAAGATTAAAAAGTAGCCGGACAAACAGACAGACTTACTTTCGCAATTATAATATTATTAAAATCTATAATTTATTTAAATAAAAATTTATAAATGGTATGGATAAAACGGTTTGATTTTGTTCGGCATTGCTATCAGTTTGTTAAAAGTAAAAAAGTAGTGACGTTACTACACTACTTATACATATGCTCTCGTGATGTTATTTGTAGATATATTCTATAATATTGTCGAACATTTTTTTGTCCTATCATTAATACTCTTCGCAGCGTATGCGATGAAAGACATTTTATGGCCATTTACACCTTCCGTTGGTTTTAATAGAAATTTCTAAAGATTTCTATCGTAATCTATTACTAAGTATAGTCTATTTTACTCAATCTTAAAAGATAGATATATAGCGTCGCGGACTTTTTTTTTAGATCATTTAAAGGGGAATCATTCTTTCATACACAATTTTTAGGTATCTTGAACCGTTTCCGGAACGTACGCATCTGAAACCTACCGAGATGAAGAATTTCACCCGTTTTGTTCACATTTCTCTCTGTATCTTCGCTCCTATTAGTCACATCGCAATGTGTTATAGCCTATAACCTTCCTCGATAAAAGCTCTTACAAACACAAAAATATTTTTTTAATTCGAACCCGTACTTCCTGAGATTAACAAACAAGCTTTATATATTAGTATAGATTACATGAACCGAGTTAATAGCCAAAAGCATGTGGTTGGCGGAGAAATTAAGCGTCTGATAATAATTCTTTGCCAATTTAATTTAGGTAAACGTCCAGTGATCTTCTTTGTAGGGAAGTACCCAACTTCACTAAATATAATATATCATCCTCAATTGCGCTATTAAGAATACTATTATATTATGTAGTTTATGCCGATGAAAGAGGATGCTAACTATGGATAGTAATATAACAGTAAAGTACAAATTATTTATTTTACATAATAACGTACAAATTCAACAAGTTGAAATCATTATACGAAATACATTCAGATTCAGAATAACTCATTAACAAACATACACACAACCATTATTAATAGATTAAAAATATATTATTCTAGGAACTATAGCTATTTTTAAAATACTTAATGGAGGCTGTATAAACATTATCGAAATTAAAAATAATACTTGTTAAAACGTGTTTTGATTTTATTTTGAACACAATATTTACTTGCAAAAAATAAAATTGTATGAACTATGTGTAGTCCGTTTTTAAACGGACATTTTATTGTCTTATACCTTATTACCAAACACTCAGTCTAAGCTTTTCTTTTCAATCATTATGATGATGATGATGAATATTTGACAAACTTGCTGATGTTTCTTTATCAACAGAAAATGCTTGTATCACATTTTTTTACTATGTTAAACATTTCTACACATAAATGAACATATGGTGGATTATTTAGTGCATAATACGTGGTTTAATATTTTTATATTACCAATGTAAGGCAAATATTGTGTGTGTAATATTAGATGATTTAATAATTAGATATTTATTCAGAATAGGTACTCCCTGACTTGCTGCTTACTTATTAAAAAACTACCACATTGTTGACTTTCATTTGCCTATTATGTATACGGTATGTGTGTGTCCCATAGTTAAAATGACTACAAAACTTTTAAATAACTCACAATTAACAGGCTTTGGGCGGTGACCTTCCATTGACAACTGCTGGGCTATCCTTCCACGACTTTCCTTTTGGTTTTACACCAACTGTGGTGACTTTCCTTCGGGTAACCCTCTTCATGGTCACTTCTTCGTTTGATAGAAGCCGCTTCTTAGGTTTCTGTGACAGTAAATAAACATTTTTAACACACAACTATATTATCATACACATTAAGCCAGTAAAAACCAGAGAAGTAAGAAATGTATACTTCTATGTGGCCCTGAAGCAATGAAAACACAATTTTGTTCACTTATAATATTACAGGGAAAGGTAATGAAAATTTCAATTATTAATAAGTTTAATTTCCCTTAAGGGTAAAGCAAAAAGCAACGTTGATACCTGGATATATATGCGTAATCTTACCTTTTTGTCCTCAATGGTAAATGATTCGTCGAACATGTCTGCACTTGTGTTGGCCGCGTTGTTCCTAGAGTTTTTTAACGTATTTTCACCTATCACTTCGCAGATTGGGCTGTCGAACGAAACCTATAATTTAATAAGAAATAATCATTTTTGTTCTTCAACCACATCATTCAAAATCACTTTTTTTTTCTCATCAACGTAAATTGGTAAGACGAACGCTATAGGACTCATACACTTTCAAAATATGATCAAATATAATAATAATAAAAAATTATGAGTAGCACGTGATTAACTAAGTACATATAAGAATTTCATTTAGCTGAGTATTCCCCAAAGACATCATTTTGCATCAGTATTCTAATCTTGTCTTGGATGTACTGTTGTATTGTTATGGATACACAAAAGACCTTTTATTCATGAACCAAATAGATTCTAAAAATTGTCAATTCACCTGTCGCTGTACACTCTGATATTTATCAGCCGACGTCTGCGTCGATGTGTTCGCATGATTTCTCTTAGCGGGTGGCGTCCTCTTAGGCGCCATCTTTGCTTTCTTCACTTTAACGACGTAGGACGGTTCCAACGATTTCCGTTTCTTTAATATACTCTTGTTTTTCTCCGGTTCAGTATTCTCTGAATTATCGTTTTTCGCTTTTCGTCCTCTTTTGGATTTCAGTTCACCGTTCTTAACTTTCTTCGATGGTACATCACCATTCTGTTCAACTTCATCACCATTTGGATCAGTACCGTCATCACCTTTCTTGGTTTTTCGTTTCTTAGTTGCTGAGAATTCAAGTTTGCTACTTTTCGTTTTGCCTTGTAATTTCAGGTAACTTTCAAAAAGTTGTCGGCATTTTGTGTGGTCAACTTCTTCCTTTGGTTTTAGCGAGTTTATATATTCAAAGAATTTTATGAGTTGTTCTGAAACATCATGATTGGCTCATTAATAACTAATAATCACAGTAACATCATAGTTATGATAACAATGGAAATATTAAATACATATTTAAAGGTATTTACCAGGTACATCACTGTATTTAGATTTGATTTCTGTCCGCACATTTTTCATAAAGGCTTCCTTCATGCTTTGAACAGTTTTTGGCTGTTTTAACATTTTCTCCCATGGCAGCTCACCAACAATCCATTGCAGCATATTGTAGCCTAAGATCTCTAAATCGCCACGCATTGTCGAAACTAAACATCAAACAAAAATAATCGATTTTTATTTATTTCATGTTTGGTTTTCAGTCCACGGTTTCTAAAATTAACAAAGGGTTTCGGAGAGCCACATTTAAGGAAAAATGAATATATATGTGCATAATATAAATATTAAGCCTACCTTCTAGTTACTAGTGCTTCTTTTGTTGTAATCTAAATTAGTTAGTTTTAGTCTAGTTGTTTTTAGGGAATTATGAGTGTGTTGTTAATTTCTTTGCTATCCCTTCTGGTTTCATTTAATTTGTTAGAATAATAAGTTGAGTAAAACTAAACTTTTAAATAGTTTTACAATTAATGTTATGGACAAGTAAGTTTACAGTGCAAAAATTGGGCACCGTGTATGTAATAAAAAAATACACAAGAAGTTTCGGCAATTTTAAGACTAACTTCTCTCATAACACAAATAATGAAACATGAAAAACATACCTCCTAAATGTGCATCCCTGCTTGTGTATTCAATAGTGCCGTTATGTGCACACTTAGGGTCTGGTTTGAATTCCTTATCATTCACTCGTGATGCAAGCCCAAAGTCAACAAGATATGCTTGGTTCTCTGTCCCTTTCTTCATTCCTAATAGAATATTTGCTCCTTTTATGTCTGCATGGACATAACCTTTACTATGAATATATTCTAGAACATCTAGCTGCAAAAAGTGTTGCACAACTATTAATAAATAATAATATGGTTAGAGATTCAAACCAGATCAACAAGATACATCTATCAATGGATTGGGACCAAACACAGTGCAAATTATATACTTAGTATTATTAATGAAATTATCAAAACAAACCCTGCAAGTGACTCGGTAAGTAAGTTTTCTTTTATATTCAGAAACAATTTAAATGGGGATAGGTAAATGATAGTCTTACAAGAATATAGTGAATATGTTTGTTCTTTCCTCTCCATGTAAAATTTTATAATGATATAACATTTTAAACTAGACTATATTGCGAAAAAAATGCTTACCATTTGCAAACCTATTTGAAAGACAGTTGCTGATGGAAATGAACGTGCCGAATCCTTGAACAAACTCCACAAGTCTTTGCCATACCGCTCAAGTACCAAATATCTATACTTTTCACCCTTAAAATTGTGAGATCCATTTCCATAGTAAGATGGCATTCCAAAAGTGGATAATTTTTTCTCTTTCATGAATTTTGCAACTGAAAATGTGTTAAAAAGACATGATTTATGTTATAGGAAAAATGTACCAATAAAAAATAGAACAATATGTTCAATTTATTTTCTTATTTAATTCATATTCGTATTTTGTTTTACTTTTGTCAGTGTAATAGAAGGTATATTGTCATAACCATGTGTTAAATAAACTGGAATGTAATGTAAATACTATAATATTTTACACAAAATATGGGCTAGGCTGGTTGATCAATAATCTTAACCTTACCATATGATACTAATCGATGTCGAGTCTGATGTCGACTCCTCGATTGCTCGAAGAATTGATTCACAATTCTTCGAGCAATCGAGGAGTCGACCTCTCCTGATGATGCCGTCCACATGTGATGGCGAAACATCGAGAACCTCTTCGCTCACATCGGCCGAACAGCTCAAAAGACAATGATATGCTGATCGATGGCCGTGAAAGCCTTACTCAATTTATGATACTAAATTATTATTTAAATATTTTTTAAAAACATTTATGTATAACTTACTGTCATCTTTATTTGCATTCCTAATATAAAAATGCTTCTCCACAAACAGTGGGCCATTTTCATGTGGCTCCTTAAAACATAACAATCAATGTTAGTCATAAACTGAACAATCCAAAAGTAAATTGTCTTTTATTAATTTAATGTGATGCAAAGCTTACTATTTTTATAACAAACGGATATTCCGAGCCCTTCTTGGGGGAGCCTTCGTGGTTGCAAGCTGAGTATATTTCCCCAAAGCCACCGACACCAATAGAAGGACCGATTCTCCATTTCTTTTTAGCTATTGTATCGTGTATAACTTCGCCAGCCGGAATAGGAGCTGGCATTTTGTATCCATTGGCTTTTTTCTTCGGCACTGCCGCTTTTCTTCCTCTTCCACTCATATTAGTTAATGCCAATCACGGATAATTATATCCTAAAACTAACTATGTCAACACAAACTATTTAACATTAATGCTTTTACCTTTTTTATCAAAGCACGAGATTTATTTATTGTAGAGTTCGTTAGATTTACCTTTTGATTTTGTATGTTTTTTTGTCGGCCGCCTTTTGAACTTTGACAATTGAGTAAGTAATTAGTAACACTACATGTCAATTATCAAAACTTTGACGTTTATAACTACAGAGTATCGAAGAGTTATTTCTCTATCTATAGTCAAATGTCAATTAAAGCAATAAGTATAAAGCAAATTTTCCTTTGGGAAATCCTATTACCAGATCCATTTAGAGCTTATTAAGAAACAGCGTAAAAAAAACATCAAAGGACTACAATATGCGCAGGTAATAAAAAATACAGTTAAACAAATACAATTTTATTTTAAACATGTATGTAACAGTCATTGCTTCATAATACATTATTTTTGTAGGTATTATTTACATTTTTAGTCAACTTACAACTTCACTAGCCTTAATATTACATTATTAACAGAAATAAATAACTATAACCTAAATTATAATTGTTTTATATATTTTATTGTTAAACATAACACAAATCTACTTTGTTAACTAGATACCACCTTATCCATTAAGTATAATGAGAACAATTATTATTAATGATAATGAATGTTCTATGGCTTAAGAAATATATTAAGTTTTACAGTTAAATCTAATGTTAATTATGAAATCAATATAAAAGTTAAGACAATACACGACTTCTTATACTTGTCTTTTAACAATTTTAAAATGTTAAAAGACGAGTATAAGAAAATAAAAAAGACAGTGTTCAACTTCGGAAGGTGTAACATCAGTCTTTAAAATTTCCACCAATCAAATACCAAACATACTTCAACACACGCACACATAACTAGAGCCTAGAGCGTTACAGTCCTTTTGAAAAAGAAATGCAGAAAAACTATAGTGGATTTGCTACAGAAAACAGAACTGCAAATTATATAAAAGGACATTCAAGATAAAAATGTCAGAATATAAAATGTGTCAATTATATACAAAATATAACGTTTCATAATACACGATAACTCGGTAGAGATAAATACACACTTATTCCGATATACCACTTGACACTACGACATATTTTCTGTTTAAAATGTTTGCCATTGTTATGTTAAAATTAAAATACTCAGTCAATAGGTTTTCACTGTGATATAGTATATAAATGAATTTTTGATGGCTATCTGTACAATGGAATACGATGGACGGTTTGACAGTTTCACTTTAATTTAGTTACTATCAGTAGAAGTCATCATCATCGTCATCATACGATAGTGAATACCAGTCCCTAGCTACGTCTTCATAGATGATTCTTCTGACGTCTTCGTCGTATTGGGGGCGAACGATCCTCGGTGACCGAGCCCTGAACTCCAAGGGAACGTCATAGCATTTGCAGACGCAACAGGCTGGGAATTTGAACCAGTCGGCGAAAATTCCGCGACATTCGTTCCGCGGATCATACGCTAGCAGGCGGTGTATTCGGTACTGCTGTTCACATCTGAAAATAATAAAGTAATCTCCATAAACACAACTCGAATATATTGATAACTAAATAACAAAAAAAAATGATTATGTAAATTTTATATAAAACACTTAATAGGTACGTGTTGTGGATCAAAATTATTTAATAATAAAAGTATCATTTACCTGCAACCTTCTCTACAATACATCTGCTTGTGTTCGTGAACGCATGTCTCTAGATGTATGTACTGCTCGAAGGGGTACATATTTAGCAGCGCTAGAACTTCGCCCCGCGTACTATTGGCCCAAAAAGGGGCAGCCATCTCTTCCTTCGACTCACAGGCATTCCTGAAATACAATATAGGCTCATATTTTAGCGTCGAAGAATTGCGTGAGTTTGTGAAAAGTATGTTATAACAACAGGTGAATTTCTATTTTATTGTCTTATTCTTAACAAAAGTTGAGGAGAAAGTTTTGCTTTTGGTCTGCGCGTTCTAAATAAGGATTGAAATTCGGTAAACATGATCTCATCCTTGTGGGCTTGTGGGTGATGTCACAGAGAAAAATGATAAAATTCGAAATAATTTTAAAAAGCATGTGGTACATTATCCAGCTGGTTAATGGAATAAAGTCCCTGATAGCAAATTATAATCCACTGTGAATACTGTATTTCTTATTAGATATTAATATTTAACATTGTTTTATCTTACAGTAATAGGCCTATTACTTATGGATCCACCTTATATTCATGAAATTTGATGATTAAATTCTGATTAAAATTAGGTAAAAATAAATAAGCTACAAAAAAAAAATCTACTCACGCTCCTCTTAGTTTAATAACAGCGGGTCGCATTGTCTCCTGGGGTTTGGGGTGGAATTCCTCTTTCTTCTCATTAACTTTAGTATCTATACGATCGATTTTACCTTTTTCATGTTCAGAGAAGAGTAAAGTAGGTGGTAAGGTTGACGCTTCACCCGCCCTTAAACCGTCCTTAATCTCTGTCGTTGATTCATCGAATTGGTCCGTTGTATCTGTTACATTAATATTTTCTGTGCTTGTTGTTATATTACCTTCATCACTTGTTTTGTCTATCTTCTCTGAATCTATTTTAGGTATACTAGAAGGGTTTGGATAAATACTGTTTGTTTCTATACTCTGTTTAATCACTGCCTCCAATGTTATAACATCTGGGTCTATATTATTAATTTCTATATTAGCTATACTCTCTAGTTTAGTTTTGTATGAAATCCCTGATTCGTCAATAGTTTCATTTTCAACAACTTTTTCAACTTTCTTATTCTCACTTTTTGTTTTGTTAGTAGATGTGAAATTATCTAATGGTTTGACTTTAAGGGTATCGTTGTCTTTCTTTTGTTTATCACTTTGTATCGGTCTGAAGTGAGGTTTATCTTTGATACCGCGATGCGATTTCTTAGTGTACTTAATTTTAGTTTTTATTATATCTTCGGCGAATCCCTTGGACTTATCATCGTCATCGTCTTCGATGAAGTTTTCTATTTCTGCTTTGAGGACGGCTATGTGACGTTCTTCTCCATACATTCGTCTCATTAGACCCTGTAAAATAACAATGAAAAGTTACTTATAAAGGAACATTTTGTCAAGGGTATATAACATATGACCAGCATATCTAACCAGAAAGTAGCTAGATGATTCTATAAGTTTGTAAAGATATGTTATTGAAAATTAAAAAAAAAAAAGATTTATTAGGATTTGACTCTTATTATGACACTCTTACGTCCTTTATGCCTACCCTTATTATGATGTAAGACTTTACCTGGTTTTCACGCACGAATCGTCGTATCGCGTGCCAAGGGTAGCTGTTTCCAGGCGTTGTGCAGTAGCTCTGCTTGGTAAGGTCGCAAGGCGCGTCCGGGAGGTAGGCTCGGCTGGTGCGGTGAGGACGAGCACACGCAGACGCGTAGTCCAGGCACCAGGCGCCTCGCCATGTCACCTACTTGCGAAGAACAGATCGTACTTTAACAACTTAAATAATTTTCAATAGTAAGAGTGGAAACATATGAGTAATTTTGACGTCGATTCCCTCACAGAAATGAAGATTTATTGATATATGGAAAAGAACAGAACGACTTTTTTCTCTCGACTTATGCATTTAGCATCTTTGACCATGTGGCTGATACTGCGCAGAGCAGCTCTATTAGAGTTCTAATTTATTGTAATTCATTGTGTTTATTTTTAAAAGTACTTTAAACTCGACGTACTAGATTGTAGATTCAAAATAGTCGACTAAATCTATCTAAATACAAATGAAAGTAAGCAGTTGTTGCTAATAGGGATAGGATTGTTTTAACGTTCACTTTCTCACTTTCTCGCGGAAGGCACGTCCAAGATTTAGGATCCATTTCTATGTGATAACTACTATGACATCCATAGCGTAGGTAAACATGGGTAGGTGAAACTGGTGACATAAGAATTTTGACTTTTAAATCTTTGAAGTTTTATGGGTGTCGACATACATATAAATGTAATATCAACTTGTACAAAAATAATTTGGGTTTTCACACTAATTTACATAAACTCGAAAAAATCAAAGAAATGGAAACCGAAGGACATTTAGTGATATATTCTTTATTTTTTATGCAAATACCAGGTTAACCCCGAAGTAAATTAGTCTACTAAATAATTATTTAATATTGTTCTCTTGATAAAAACTTCTAATTAAAACCTCACGTATTTAAAACAATTTAAAAGGTTACAAAACCGTCGTCAAAACATTTATAAATAATGCACATAGATGATTTTCAAGTCATTGACATATCTTTGTGGTTAGTTTGCTAATAAGCCCATATTTTTAGTCATATTGACTTATTGTAAATGTTAAATAAGAAATCACGACGTTCTTTGTTTTCAATTGAGGTTTATAATTTGATTTGAAAAACAAAACGCCTTAACAAAGGAAAAGAAAAGAAAAAGGCAAACGCCTATGAGCTCTTGTGGCAAAAGTCTATAAAAAGTTTATGTTATTTGTATTTAATATATTTACTACTAGGATTAATGAAATATAAACAGATAGCGTGTGATCGGTTGTTTTCGCGAGAGTTTTGAATTTTAAAAAAATACACTTTTTTGTACATTATCACAAAAAAGTAATATTGTGAGGGTAACAATGACAATGCAGTAGTTACAATATAATAAACCAAGCAATGTCCAATGCCTCCGTGGTCCAATAGGTGTGTCATTGTTGCTTAGGCAATATTTTCAGCACAAGAAGTCTTTTGTTCGTATCCCGGAAACAAATATTTAGTCAGACAGGGCGTAGACAACTGATTAACACATTGCCTGTAAATAATATCGATCATGGAAATAGGCACAGATATATGTCCTCGGGATTTTACTCTCATACTACTAGCCTTGGAATATGACATAATAATAATATTTCTATCTAATTAACGTAACCTAGATGTTTTTCCGATTCACACAAACTGTTGTTACCCGAAACTCATGACCCGAAAGTGGTACGTGCGGGCTTGCGCTACCGTTATTATTAAAATTCGCTTCTACACATCTCTACTTCAAGTATTTTCTCTTAATTACATTAATACATAGTGGCTCTAGTTGCTAGTACCTCTTAAGTAACACGCAATGCAACGTTCGCAGGGAAATATTAAACACTATCTAAAGTTTACGCGAGTAGTACGCATTTAAATAAAAAAATATAACACTTTAAAACGCGAAATGTATTAGTATTACTTATTTGCAATATATTTTAGTATGGCGGCTCCAAAGCAACTGAAATGTCGTGCCGTAGTTAAAATTCATTGTAAATAAGTTAACAAATATAGGTATTTCGCTTTGAAACCGTTATTTTTTTAAGCTGAAATATTATTTGTAATATTTTAGGTGGAATATTTTAGGTATTCAATAATCTATAACATAATCATAACAAACTACTTGTAGGTTCATATTTCTAAAATAGCTACTTATAGAAATGAATAAAACTAGGGTTGTATACCTAACTGCATATTTCTAGTCTCATCTAGTTAGCGATGGTTAAAGAGATACATATTATGAACAGAGACACTAAAAGACTTTAAACAAAAAATCGTCTTTACAAAATGACGTCTAGTTTTGCTTACTTATATGCACAAAAGATTAAAATTTGTCTTGTCAAAATTTTAATTCCATTCACAATTTTCCATACATACAATAGTCGATGTATAGCATACTGCATAGATATATAAAATACGAAAATGGATTGACAACTGAGTGAAAGTGTTGGTATTTGGGAGCAGGTGTGACGTCACCGCTTCGCGACATGACCGCGAGGTGGTTGAGTATATGATTTACGTCTATTTTCAGCTATCTCTAAGTGTAAAGACAATATTGAAGGTTCAAAACGCGAAATGCATTACTTAACTCATTTACAATTCATTCTAAATACGGTGAGACATTGCAGATGCTTTGCAGCGGCCGCGGTCACGTGGGGTTGTAAATAAATTAATAAACACATTTCGTGTTTTAAACCGTTAAAACTGTGTTTTACTTAAATTTGTACTACTCGCATAAACAACAGACAATTTGTATAAGTCTTAATTAGTTTACAACGATCAGCTCAAAGTTTATTTTCGTTGTGTTATTATATCAGAATATGAAATATGTCATTTCTCAATGGTATGCAAATACATATTTTGTAATATAATCACTAAATGCATTGATAAGCGCAAGTATCAAGAAAAGCTGAACCGATTTTGATAATTTTATTAGAATATTCGAAGAACAATGTACAATGACGGAGAGAAAAATGTAATCTAACAGCGCGTGCGCCCTGAGCGGCGTAGACACAATTCTGTGTCCGCTTAAAACTCGTTTTTTAAAAACTGAACCCTGCGCACGATAACAATGAAACCAATACAAAAGTAATGCGCGAGCGCACGCTCGCCTAAATAAACTGTAAATAAAGATAAAATCGCTTGATTACAAGCAAATAGGTAGAAATAAAACGACTTAATAATTACAAGTTACGGCGAAATGATCGCAAGTCTACTTTCTCTGTCGAATGTAGGGTAAATGGTATAAATAAACATTGTCAGCGATCTACAGCCTTCTTCGCAGATTTCGAAAAGTTTTCGCCTCTAATATTTCCTAGAATCTCCGCCAATCAGTAAAGTGACCCTGGGTTCGGTTTTGGGGAAGCATAAGAAATGGACTATGTCTTGATTTATTTTAACTTCCGTTCCGGGTATGGAACACATTTTGGTCAAACCGGCTTATCTTTTTAAGTTTTGTCGTATACACGAGTACTTCACATTTAATAAAACGCCTTTAACCGTTTAAAAAGCCAAATGTATTAGTTAACGTATGCTTAATTTAATTTACCTACGGCTCGACGTTTCGGGTGCTTAGCAGCAGCTGTTATGGATAAATTATAGATAAGTTAACTAAAATATTTCGCGTTTTAAACCGTTAAAAGTAGTTTTTTTTAGGTTTAAGTATGTCATAATTTATAATAGAGCAAAAACATGTTTCTAAAATTCAGGTAAATAAAAATTACTAGAGCATGCGATTTCGGTAGTTGTTTAGCATAAAATACAGATAACACTCCTCTGTAATTATTGTCATGTATGCTTGTAAAAAATGGATGTGAGCTTATTTGGCCCACTTCCCACGATGTCTGTGAACCTCGATCGGGGCTGTTACTATGTTTAAAGTTATAATAAGCTGGTTAAAGCTTATTATATCTTAGATCTATTTATTTATTTAAAAGAGGCTTACCAACTAAATACATAATAAAAGCTTAATTAAAAAAAAAAAAACACTTAATATAATGTATGTGGCGATTATGTATTTAAATTAAAAGCAATCACAACGTCTATCAAATTAGATATAGAATACATGAAAGAAAATTTAGATCGTTCTCTTCCAGGCAACAGTTGTTTGAAATAAAAGATATATCATGGGAACATGCAGGTTGTGCGAAGCTTAAGAAAATAATAATAAAAGTTTTATTTAAACGTTTTAAATAAAACTTTTATTAGTTAAGAGAGACGTGTTAAGTTTGTAGATGGGATATTTACCAAAAAATGTTTATACGGGAGATGCTTATATTATCTATACTAATATATAAAGTTGAAGGCTTGTTTGAACGCGCTAATCTCAGGAACTACTGGTTCGAATCGAAAAATTTGTTAGAGCATTCATCGAGGACGGCTATTTAGGCAATAGAACATTGTCCGGTGACTAATAGAAGCGAAGGTACTGCGAGAAATGTGAAAAATATTGGAAAAATTTTCCGCGAAACTCTTTTAAGATTAACTTGCAAAAACGTTGGGACCCGAACGACGGGTCGCGAGCGACGGGACGCGAAAGAGGTTTGCAAAAACTAATTTGGATGCCCAAAATAACGATTCTCGCGGACGAAGTCCCTGAGACACCTAGTTTTATATAACAATCAATTTGAAAATCTCTTTAGTCTTACTTTACTTTGACCGGCAACACCGAACATATTGTATTACTAGAACTAAAAAAAATGTATCTTTGATAAGGTTAAAAAGTAATTTCTACAATGGTATGTTTTTGTTTCGTTTCCTGGAAGGACAGTTGAAGATTTGCATAATGTATAAATATCTATATCTTCTTAAGCCCAGCATGTAGAATTAACTATTATTTAAAATAGTGAGACTTTGACTAGGTTACTTTAAAAATAAAACAGTTTCAACACAGCTTAGCTGGCTTAAACATATTCTCGTCAATGAAACAATGTATTCGCAAAATTTAGAGACGTATTAATTTAACTGCCTTGTAAATTACAGAGCGAATGTGTGGCAGCCCTATCGCTATGTAATTGCATACATCACATTCGCTGGATCCAGGAAAGTCGCATAAGGCATAACCACGATTGGAACGATCCATTGATTTCTGTGTCAATGGATACAGGTTTCCTTTGAACTGTTATCTAGTCTAACACTGTATCTCACCCGGTAGCTCATACCTTATTGCATTGGACTATACATAAAAAACTCAATTTTCGCTTTTTAAATATAAAATCATTTGTAATACCAGTAGCGAAGAAAAATAATCGCCAGAATTAGTTGTTATAATCGGTTAAAAATTTAAATAAAACACTTTAACGGTTTAAAACGCGATATATTAGTTAACCTTTTTTGATAATGATTTTTAACTTCGGCCCCACGTTTCGGATGCTTTGCAGCAGCCGTGGTCTCGCCGTGACCGCCGTGATAATCGATTGAAATTTGATGAAGAGGGAAAGACTCGGTTCCTCAATTGGTTAGAGTAACGGCACGGACTATTGTGGATATATGTGGAGGTTCAAGTCTGACCGGGTCCCCAATTTTTGTCTTTATAGACTTAAATTATAACATATTATATTGTTGTAATATTATTAAAAACGAACATTAGTTTAATTTAAGTTAACCGTATGAAATAATGCAAACATGTTTAATTGTAGAATTGATTGATATGTCATAGTTTTAATTAAATTGCCTTTTGTCACGTTACAAAAATATTTAAATTCATGTCTATTAGTGAGAGTAAATTATTCACAGATCTGTTAATTTGTCATTTGACCCTTTTGATACAATTAGTAGAAACTTACTGGGTTATAGTTTCAAATGTTACACATTTCATAAAACCTTGTAACAATTTATTAGTGAAATCATAAGGCCATGGTCACGGGAGATTTATTTATGATGACAATGTAATCATTGTATTAAAAAAAATCGGATTCGGGTTTCTATTATATCGAGAAATTTACTTTCATTACCCAAATATTTAAAATGTTTGCTTTATATTTCAAAAGATGTATTTTATATTTTTTGTTTTTTTTTTTATTTACATAAACTAACAAAAAGTAAACTACTAAAACATTTCGATATTTATCATAAAGGCTTGTTTGTAACACGAAACACTGCATTTATGCTCATTGAATTATGTGAGAATTGTTCACTTTGAGGTCGAAGACCTCAATACTTCCTAAACATTAAACAATAAACATATTAGTTATCTCTACAATGAGGTAAACTCTTGTTTATTAGTTAGAAAACTGTTACTTTAGTGATTTCCTTCGTTAAATTCCATTCAACTGACAATATCTAAGAATATATTAAGTAGGTATTAGTAGACTAAGTAGAAGTAGTTTAGCAGAAAATTTCACGATTGCAGCGATTGTGTTATATAAAAAATAAATCCCGTATTTTCTACACTGCGCATAGGACATACTTGTGTGTCCGTTTTACTAATCAATTGTATTTACTACGTAGTAAGAAGTTCATAAAACTTCTGTGCCTGTTTTCGTGGGATTAGAACCCACCTCTTGCAGATAACGCTGAACACGTTTAATTATTGAGCTTAGAGTGTTATACTACAAAATACCTCACGAGTAATGCTATACGTTTTTTTTTTTGGAGAGAAAATGACAGGAAAAAATACTAAGTTTTATTAATGCAATACAAATTAGTATAGGACTAGATTGTGATTCTTTAGATTTTAGTTCAAAAGTTGGCCGTTGCAGCAAATAAATATGAAACAGCTGCTAGACTACAAATATAGACTATATTTGTAGTCCTGGTTTAAAATCTATCTTCTATTGTTGCTCATTTTTTGTATCTAGGTATTATGGGACTAAATTGTAATTACAAAATGTTTGACTCGGTGTCCTAAATTATCACTACATAACAAAAGGGTTTCACTGCAACTTTTTAGGTTATTGATTGAAAATTAGATCTAGATATCTTTTGATTGTTCAACTTTCTAAAGGTTTACCTGACTTTTCGCATACTCACGTAACCGAAAGAACTTATTTTAGGGAAATCGTCAATAATGACAGAAACTCCAATAAGACACAGCACTTCGTGTAATTAACACTCACCACAAATAGCAGGGCGAACGCGAAACGCATTTCTCTAAGAAACTTTCACTACAAGTGTAAACACTCTCATCGTGTCGAGCGCACGCGACGGCGTCTTGCAGACGACTGGGGCTCCGCCATTATCACTCGGTCAAGGACTGCGTCATTGGAGGGCATTCGAGCCCTATCAAGGTTGTCTTTAATCAAGGGGGGGGAGGGCAGAAATATAGGGGGTGTGAAGCGAAAAATGTGAAAGATGTACATTTAAAAACTGTCTGTAGTTTACGCAAGTACCTAGTACACTTTTGAAAACACTTTGACGGTGTAGCCGTAGTCACAGGAAGACTTCTTGTGACCACGGCTGCTGCAAAGCATACGAAACGTCGGGGCGTACTTAAAATAATTTTAAAATAAGTTTAACTAATATATATATTACGTTTTAAACCGTTACAGTGTTTTATTTCTTCTCGTAATCTCCAATCATCTATCTTCCACGATAGTTCAAGAACATTATTTGTAAAATTAAATGTGATTTTACAATGCCAAAATTGGTCGACAGTGTAACAATTGGTATTTCACCTTCCATCAAGTGATGTCGTAAAAAATCAAAATGCAAGTCTGATTTCACCAGTAAGTCAGAGGAAAATTAAATAGCGTTTTTTTGTAAGCTGCTTATTTGTAAACTAGTACTATTTACTTTAGCTCATACATTGTCCAGGTAGGAATGCTTAGTTGATTGATAGTTTCAACAAAAATTACCTCACTAATAGGGTAAACATTACGGTAAATGGGAGTCTACGTCTTATGCACATATTTAAATTTCACGCTTAATTTACCTTACGGCTTCTTGTATTATTATTTGTTTTGAATTATTAATGAGATGCACTTACTAGGGCCTACTGTCTATTCTCTCACTAACGGTTTAAACCTTTAAATTTTTTATACATTTCTCCCTTTACCACTAATTAAAATTATCCTTAGTGTCATTTAAGTGTTGAGTATTTGTCTACTATTTTATTTATACTGTCTATTTAAATTCGTAATACAAAGCAAAGACTTAGTTAAGAAACATAATTATTTATAACTCAAGCCATTAATGAAACTGTATCATTAAATTATTTATAGATTCACGGCGAAGAAAAATTAGGTTCCGTTGTGGTCAAGAAAGAGTGCTACAATTCAGTAGGTCACTCATTCAACGCGACGCCGGTATGAATGGTGCTATCTCTGTCTGATTTACAGCGCATTTGACTGTGCGAGCAAGAGAGATGCGCGCGCACACCGTTACTACAATTTCAATGGATATGGTGTTTTCTCCGCGCCAAAACAATGGCTACTTTAAAATCGAAAGGTTGATTAAATTTAATGAATCGTTTAATTAGCGATCTTTAATCGTGTAGTGATGCTTGTAAAGTTTTATTGCGATGCTTTATGATGGCAATTTATTTGTTGTCGAGTTAACGACTTTATTTGGAGGTTTTACTGTTATTATTTCTTTTAAAGACAAGTTATTGCAGAATGGTGCAATTGAGATTTTTTTTACGTTGCGCTGAGAAGAGTACAAATTACGATGAGTATACTATTTTATTTATAGTATGTAAGCAATAAATTCTTACTGCTAAGAGGTTATATTATCGTACTTAACTTTTAAGCAGTATGTAGTACAATATGACAAAATAACTGTATTTAAGCCAGATACTTATAGAATGAGAAGTTGAAAGTACTCGAAAGCGAAGAAAAACGGGATCGGATCCCGGGTAAACATAAAATGTGGTTAATACAGATTAGGAACCGAAAATATCTATTCCTTCTGAGTATATTACTAGTATATACTTAGCTTAACTCACGACGTCGTCCGCGTCCCGTCGTTCTTGGCAGTTAATCTTAAAGAAAAGTCATGTACATTTTTGTCGATTACTCCATCATAATTTTTTTGGTTTCTTCATAATTTCGCCCCATTTTTCCACATTTTCCCCTATTCTTACCCCTCTTATAAACCTTAAGCCTTTCTCGATAACTCAATCAAACTTTTTTGTCTAACAACTTCCAAATTAAATACTGTCTATAGTTTACGCGAGTAGTACACATTTAAATAAAACACTTTAACGGTTTAAAACGCGATATATTAGTTAAACTCAGTCTCCCCGTGACCACGGCTGCTGCAAAGCATCCGAAACGTCTGGTCGAAGTTAAAAATCATTACCAAATAATTTTAACTAATAAATCGCGTTTTAAACCGTTAAAGTGTTTTTATTTAAACTTCCAAATTTTTCAATACCAACCAGTTATTCCTGCGAGTAAACAGATGGGTCGGAGATTAAATTAAATTTTGAATGGTACCTTTTGAGGTACCAAGTAGATTAATTAAAGTATTGTTAGTATGTACGTATGGTGACAGAGTAACGAATTAAGAGATGGAAAGTAACCTTGTGAAAGTATCAATCGAAGCTGAGTACATCGATGTTTGTCTGCCTCCGCACTTTGCGCTTTCTATTCCATTGACGTAGGCATAAGGAATCATATGTTAACGACTGTACTAACGCGTCGGAACAAGGGAAGACCATATCCGACGGTGTTGCCTTAAGAAAAGATTTGCCACCTTCCGAGTGTTCCAATCTTACATTTTACTTTGATCTTGATGTCCTTGCAATATACAAATGTACACAATATAGGTATATGTGTGTGTTAAATTAATTATGATTAATTTATTAAAAGCTTATTGTATGTTGTTATGATTTGTATTTTAAAAATCCGCTTCAGAATACATTTTTCACAAAAAATTCACGATAAACTAAAAAAAATCGGTTCTATAAAACGACTCATTCCCTTTCACTATACAGTACATGACAAGTAGGTAAGTACTTCAAATTAATGCAGTTCGGTAAACCGGGCGAATTACTTTAGCACTTTCGCTTTAAGCAAATGAAGCTTAATTTTATTTATATCGGCCCATTTGAAAGCGGTGAAAGTTTTCGATTTTCCCAGAAATCATCATAAAAAAAGCATTCGGTTGTGAGTATTTTATTAAAGAAAACATTATTTATTTTTAATCAAAACATTTCTCAGCTTTCTAAAGAAACCCTCCACGTTTTGTCCATCCCACGTATGATATATCTTCGTTTTCAGCAGGTACTTGAGTGTTGTCGTTAGGTATTTTCTCTCAACTTCTCCGATCTTTATGAGAACTAAAGGATCGTACGGCGAGCCATCTTCTAGAAATAATCTGTGGTATTCAGCTAAATGTGTCTCCCATCGACACCAATGAGATTTCGCAAACGCATTACTTATGACTAATATAATATATCTACTATCGTTAATGCTACCTAAGATCGCTTCCGAAATGAAAGCGCCGATTTCGAAGTCTCTCTCATAAATACATAGCTTTAAATAAGGCGGCCTAGATTCTAATTGACTAATCATTTCGAAGACAAACTCCCTATCATCATTACAATATGAAACGAAGGCATCATATTTGTAGCCTTTCTCTTCTTCGTTCCGTGCTTTCAGCGATCTCCTTAAAAACTTACGACCTATCGCAACTTTTGCTAGAAACAACCAAAATCGAATGTATATTCTATATTTATATAGCATAATGATTAACAAAATAACAAGAGATATCGAGACTAGCGATGGTGCAGTCCAAATCAGTAACATTATTGTGGAGAACTTATGGTACACCAAGCAACGAAGGTTTTTGATAGATGAAATGTAATCAGATACTCTCTTGTCTTCCCACAAATCGGGGCTACTGCAGAGTATATCTGTATTAGCAAAGTACTGTTTCAGCAGAACAGAACCATTCGCGTCTAACCACATATAAGTTTTGTACATTGAGTTACAATCACACACAAATAGATTATCAGCCAAATCAATTTCAACGCTCACGTTTCTCTCTTGCTCCAATAAAAAGTTGATATCTTCAATCATACTTAACGTAAAATGAGTTATCTTATTATTAGTTAAATACAACTTTATAGGTTTCACTCCGGCGGCTAGAAATAACGGTTGCCACCATGACACAAATAAATTTTCACTTAAATCTAGAACTTTCAACACCTTTAAAGGTTTTAATGTCTCTGGCGTGATATAAAACAGTTGGTTATGAGAAATTATTAAATGTGTCAGGTTCGGCATCATCTCGAAGATATTATCGCCATCATAGAAGCGTTTGATTCCACAGCCTTTGAGTATTAGCACCTTTAACTCGTTTAGTCCTTCAAACATACCGCTAGTTAAATTCTCGTTAGCTGTGAGTGGGTTATTGCCTAAATTTAACATTTCCAAACGCTTCATTGGCTTGAAAGATCCATTTCCAATGTGGAAAATCGTTCCGTTTTCCATATTTAGAATTTTTAAGTTTATTAAACCTGTGAAAGTGTGATTATATACGTGTTTTAGTCTATTAAATGCCAAATTTAGAAATCTTAATTCTCTACACTCGCTGAACACACCTTGACCAATTTCATAGTACATTGGCCTCTTGACAGTTCCTTTATTTGACGACAGATCCATTAAAAACACCTGCGGATTTGAGATGTGCTTAAGATGAATGCCTGGTAAGTTATTTTCGCTTAGTAACAGTATCCGAAGTCTCGGAAATTTGACTGGATTGAAAGTGTTAGGGCCTATAGACATAACGAATACTCTTCTCAGATCTAATATCTCCAAACGAGGCATCCTCGGAAAGTCATCTTCTTCGAGAACCTCAAACTGATTGTCAGCTAGACTGAGGCGAGTTATTGTGGAATTTGCTATAACCTTTAAAAGATTCATTGGGGGTCGTTTCCTGAACCCCGTACTCGATAAGTCTAGATATGTTAGATTGATATTGTTGTTTTGTAGCCCTATAAGAAAGTTCACTATCTCCGACGCGCTTAGGTCGTTTTCACCAATCAGCAGCTCTTTTAAGTTCTTTAACCTCACAAAACTATTTGGATGAACGTAATCTAGCCGGCATAGATTTAAATCAAGTCTTCGTATGCTAGAATCTTTCATTGGCTCAAACGCATCTTCGGGTATAGCTCCAAAGGCATTTTCAGATACGTCCAATACTTTTAGAGAAGGCAAATAGATAGGCTTAATAGCTGGTGTTAGAAGAGCTATGTTCTTTAAACCGTTATTAGCTAAAGTCAAATTATGGAGGTTGATGAGACCAATGAAGGTATGTTCCTGGATTGAGTGCAGTTGAGTGTTATATGAAATCGATAGTTGTTCGAGATTTGACAAATTCCTGAAGAGACCCGGCTCCAAATAATCCAGCAGACTGTTGCTGTCTATCTTCAGTACTTTCAAATGATAAAAGGAGTCTAGATCTCCCACCGATATTTGTCTTATTACAGTTGTCCTTACTACTAATACGTTGCACTTTCGCATTTTCATCTGTAATAGAGATTTTGAATTCATGAATACAGTCTTCAAATAAAAAATGATAACAGTCATCATAAAGAAACTTCCTATTGACTAAAACGACGAAATGTAATAAGAATAGATACCTATAGATTCTCTATAAGTTTGAAACGATATTATGACATTTTATCTTAGGAAGATACGAATGGATATTAAAAATAAAATTCATACAAAGCTGAGGAAACCGATTAGATTGTCGTAAGAGATCCTAGAACATACTGGGTATTTTGATGAAATGTTCGCAACAAACACTGTAATTAATGGGATTATTTATGTTTTCTTAGCGTTTGATAACGATTTATCTTGTTTCGTTATAATAATTAATAAATAACAATACAGTACACTAACAATAATATGTACGTTATAAATAATAAGTTAGGATTTTTTACAAAATATTTTGAAAAGTACTCTAAAATCGAATGTTATTTATTTACTTTTTACTACGACTTTTCCTTTCGCATGCTTTTCAGCAGCCTTTTGTCACGAGCAGTAAAAAGTAGTTCGCGTTTTAACATGTTAAAAGGATATTATTTCATAAGTACTATTCGAACTCTATTAATATTAAGTACACTATGAAAACTGACTACACTATGAGAAAATTATACTTTTTGAGTGTTTCTGATCCGTAAAGGTAAAAACTATATTAAGTATCATTAAAAGAAAAAAGACCCTCAATAGATTGGCATACAGTAATGTCTATATTATTGCATATCTCTTAAGTTTTTTACTAGACACGGCTAAGTAGATGTTGACCTAACTTCTTATATCAATGTAATTGCTTTTAACGTTCGCTTAAATGTCTGAAGATAGACTGATGAAGGCTTTGTGTAATATAATAGGCATCTTAACATACCCTTGGAAATCTCTTGCATTCGTAGTTCCCGAAGCAGACTACCACTTCCCTATCTGCTGTTCCCCGGCAGAGGCAACCGTATGTCTTGTCCCTTCCCAGGTCGTAAGGCAACGCGAGGCTCGTCTTGTCTACCGGAGGGGACAGCAAGCTGACGCTGATTGCTTCATACTCCTGGAGGAAGTTACTCCGTGCGTATTGTGCGACACAGAGCAGCAACCATAGGTACGTGACCATCTCACGAAGACTTTTCAGCTGAAAATAGATAATTGACTATAAAAAAGGTTAAAAATGCATTATGAGTAAAAAAAATTGACGATGACGTGTAAGACTCGGTAGCTCAATTAGTTAGAGCAACAGCACGCAACGCTGTGGGTGCCGGCTTAAGTCCTGACCGAGTCGTTTTTTTTTTTCAATTTATAATCGATTTTTAATATATGTTGTCGTCATGTGAAAAATATTAAAGTTTTAAAATAAAGAAAAAGTTTTCATAGAAACTATCTGGTTACATCTACAAGTATGTGTCTTTGATTTAGGTGCTATTTATCAAAAGGTTTTATTCGTTATCTGTACTTAAACACTGTCTGTAGTTTACACGAATAAAACACTTGAACGGGTTTAAAATGTAAAAAATAGTTGTCTCCCCGTGACAGTTGCTGCAAAGCATCCAAAACGTCGGGCAGTTTCACGTTTTAAAGTTAAGGCTGATGTAGAGTGGTAGCGACACCAGTATGGGCAATGTCCTAGATTCGTCGTTATAATAATAGTAACAGCTAAAAGGCGATATCTAGTGCTTATTAGCTAATAATAATTGAGAATTATCATCGAACTTATAAAATGTAAACCAATGAACGGCTGTGCCCGTTTTGACAGATTTCAAGAAGGGTCCCTAGACAAAATTTGCTTATTAATATTTTTTACATGTGGCACTATATAAATTAGAAATCGATTATAAATTGAACTAGCTCAATTGGTTAGAGCAACAGTACGTAACACTGTGGATGCCAGTTTAAATCCTGCCTGAGTCATAATTTTTTTCAATTTATAATCGATTCTTAAGTAGTCTATTATTTTCGTTAATTAATGTCGTCTGCAATTATGAATGAGTGTTTCCTACCTTAATATTTTTGCTTTTGTCACATGCAAGTTACGAGAGACACATGAGCACGTTTGATAATCGCAATTATCTTATCTCGTCGTACATCACGCGAATTTTATTAACTGTTTTTTAAAGTAATTAACTGCGCAAAAACCTAAGATTTTCCACTAACGAGGTGAGCAATTCTGTCTAATAGTGCTCAAGATCATTATTAGGCATGTTATTCTTAGTTTATAGATGTTTGCACAAAGTGACAGATATTTAAATACATTATAATAATTTTATATATGTACTTGTATAAAAATATTTTGTAATTAAAAGTTGACACACTGCCGCGCAATCTTTGTGGACTATTTTGACACTTTTATAATAGAGGGGGACAGCCATATAACTACTAAACAAAATGCGCCGTTGACCTATTTTGGCTTTGGATATTGGGAAATCCAGACTGAAACTGAAACGCGAATGAAGTTTACAGCTTTAACATCAGTGGACGGTGATTCGTAACCGGGACAGTATTTCGACATTCCTACCACCTATTTAATATCCAGATTTCCAGATGAAGTTCAACATGTTTCAGAAAAAAAATGATAAGATAAGTGTTGGACTCAGTCGGGATCGAATGCGTTGCGTTACACCAACTAATTTAAGTAACTATTTGGAATTAAAACTTGGTTTTATTATATATAATTATATACTTACATAAGGATACACTATTTCAGTAAAGCTAACACCGTTCATATCGATTCAGTAGATACATTTGTAACGAAAACTCTTGTATTCGGATGTTTAGGATTTTATAAGACGTACGTGGTTGTGGTTTTTTAATAAGATTGACATACATCGCGAGCACCCTATGGAAAATGACAATAAGCCGTCGTATTTGTTAGCAATATTTAGCACATTCCTATTTAACTTGAAAATTAACATTCGTGTGACTTTCCTGTATTTAGTTGAAGTAAGAAATCTGTAATTTAAAATTTTGTTTTCGTACTATCCATTTTAAGTAGGTAGTAGCATTTATAGTAGAATTTTTGGGTTATAGGTACCTCAGAGGTCAATTATAGAATTTTCTTAGTATCTTATATAATAATATATTTTTATGTTATTATATATTGAATTTATATTTAAAACCCTAACTTCGCTATTCGTGATTGAATAAGCTGTGTTTTTTTATTTCATTAAAGTAGAAACATCTTATTTATATTGTTAATTATCGGGATACAATTGTATATATATTCAATTTTAAATTCCACTGACAGGACTCAAATCCACCACCACAGCTATTTTTGCTGTTGCTTTTATTAATTGCGCTTTATAGCAGCTATGATATATTTTATGTATAAGGAGTAGGGATTTATGAATGGCCAAATAAGAGAAGCATTATAATTTTAACAATGTCAGGAAACGCTATTTGGTTCACGAATTGCGACTGTGGGTTTGAGTCGTACGTAACTATCATAAATTTTTATATCAAAGTGCATGTGAAAATCATGATGTTTCCGGTTTTATCTGGCGATATTTCTTTATATTCAACTTTATTGATAATATTGTATAAGCGAAACATAACCTTTTTAAAGAAAGTTAATCCATAATTCGTTTATAAACGTCTCATTCGATCTCTGTGTGTTAGCAAGTAAAAAACTCTTTAACCCAAAACTTTATTGCTATCGTGTTACCTATTGATTAACTAAAAAATACCCCCTGGGGCAAACACCTGGGCCATGTCATAGTTTAATATTATTTTAATGACGTAGGAAATCAGAATTATTTTCCTTGGTACTAAATGTTTTATACGATTCTGGTGCAATGTAAACTGTAGTTTTTGAGAAAAACTTTGTTCAGGATTAAATGTGATAAATTATAACTTACCGTAATAATTGAAATTGTCAGTCGTTGCAATCTTTAATTCTCAAGAGGTAGAGAAGATGTATTTGCCGTGGCCAAAACATGCTATACACTTAACACTAAACTGTTTGCATCCTAACTGCTGTAAGCCACTGTGTTCTTCAATAATTCTCCGTCGACTCCTATCAAATCACAGTTTAAGCCACATCGTCACGACTAAGAAAATATTTGCTCAACTGATAACTCTACTGTGGTAACGCGATTTGATTTTGGTACTTTGCTCTACGTTTTCTTAGAAGTGTTTGCGTGAAAATCTTGTACTCATGACTTTCATATTTCCTCGTCTGGAGGCGCTTCAATCGATTTTTAGGGTTCCTTATTTAAATTTGGTCTAATAAAATAAATTCTATAGAACAACGTTTCAATGTGACGGGCTCACTACTGTGATGTTAGCAATGTATTGCTAATAAACAACGGGTCGTGGGTTCGATTGAAAGATTAATATTGTACAACTAATTTGTAATTAAATAAATGCATTTATTTCGAACAAAATACATTACCATAAAAACTGTTCTTGCGAGTAAATAACACACATTTTTTGGAGCATTTAAAGAGGAATCATTCATACATTTTTTTGGTATCTTGAACCGTTTTCGCACCTCATAACGAAAACCCACTAACGTATTATTCCCAATTTCCACATTTTCTCGTGATGTATTATAACCCCAAGCCTTCCTCGAAATAAATACTCTAACAAATACAAAAAACATTTTTCAATTCGAACTAGTATTTCCTGAGATTAGCGCGTTAAAACAAACACTATTCAACTTTATAATATCAGTATAGATTGAATCCTAAATTGCGATAATCACGAAAAGAAAACGAAGAATACAGATTACAGAGTTGTAAGTAGACTAGAAGGACCAATACATAAATAACTACAAAAATAGTTCAGCGAACTAATCTCGTACTGCTCTTCTCGCACGCCACTCAGAAAAAATTGAGATATTTGAAGCTGGTTTGTATATGTTGGCCAGCGTTTCCTCGCATAACGATACAGTTAGTTGTCATAGTGGACAGTTTCCGAGAACCAATAGTGGCCCAATTAAGTGAATATAACTGGATTGAGTGTATTCTGCGCACGATTCACTCTGCATCTCGCTTACGCTGTGCTATTGATACTTGGGTGTAACTAATGCCAAAATGTCTGACAAGTCCTGTATATAACTTAATTTACTAGAGAATTCACTAATACGGTACTTAGGCAGGTCTCTTGTTAGAATTTGGTAAAGTTAAATACTGTCTATAGTTTACGCGAGTAGTACACATTTAAATAAAACACTTTAACGGTTTAAAACGCGATATATTAGTTAAACTTATTTGGAAATGATATCCAAATAAGTTTTACTAATATATCGCGTTTTAAACCGTTAAAATGTTTTATTTAAATTTGGTAAGGTTACTACTAAAACATTTTGATAACAATCGGTTAGTACGCGTAAGCTTTCAAAAAAATAGAAATGTGAAATTTAATAAGCATTTTTCGATACACATTTGGTGGATACGTCTAAATATGTTTCAGTAAATAGTTGTAATCTATGTATTAACGTAATCTTGTAATTTGGCCAAGATTACTTTTACGTATACCATTTATCATATAACGTTCCAAGATGCCTGTTAGACGAACTAAGTGTAGTTTTCTCAGAAATTTTTAATCTTTTATTATGCAAGACTTATTACGTTGTATGTTGCATATATGTAAAAACAAGATAAGTCTTGTCTTGACTATTCTGAAATGATAAAGAAGATCTTTTCATCATCCCTTTAAAATCTGTCAGTGAACCTATTTTTAACTTTGCTGTCAATCTCCAATTAAATAAAAAACATAGGTACTCTTCACAGTGTAAAGTCGCAACATTTTTACTATCATTGTAGTAACAAATGGTATACAATATTTTTATTGAAAAGTTTCTATCTATAGTAATATTTTAAAAGCTGAAAGTTTGTTCTTGAAAAATCTTATGCTTGATTTACTATTTATCGGAAAAAAATATATTCATCCTTAAGAGGTATTCGTCGCGTGAGCTGCGAAACAATCCAAAAAACAGTATTTTTCTTTAATATTTACTCGCTAAAACTACTGGACACGATCGATGTCGTGGTTAACAGCTATAATTTTAAAAGATTAGGAGCCTTGCAAAAATTGAATTTAATGCCCAAAATGACAACTCTACGCGAACGAAGTCACGGTCACAGCTATTGTAGTTATATGAACGTACAACGGGCTAGTCTTCTACGAATAGCAAAGACACTAAACGGTCATTAAAAATACTTTAAATAAGTAAAGAACACTATTATTTTTTAATCTACAACGGTGACGGTAAAGAATTTGATAGTTGCTGTATGAGGTCGTCCATTTGCACCAGATTGATCCTTGCTTGTCGGGAAATTTGGCCTTCGGGTAATTCTGGTGGTTCATGGCGTAGGAGAGTCGCTGATTCCGATAAGATCTTACGGGACTCCTGAAAAATACGACCACGTTTTGAACGCAGCGTGACGTATTTAGTTCTCAACATTAATCTGTTGACGGGCTCGTACACGTAATAATGTATGAATATTAATCAATGGGCCATGGGTTCGATCCCCACCGAGTTCAACATTTTTCAAAAATTTTCTGAAACATGTTCGTCTAGAAATCTGAATGTTAAATGGCGGGATAGCGATAATCCGCCCGGGTCACGAATTTCCACAGATGAAAAAACCGAGAAGTACAATGCGTGTCAGTTTGGATTTCCGAATATACAAAGCCAAAATAGGTCGACAGCGCTTGTGTTGAGATGTTACATGTCTGCGGCAGTTCACCTTCCATCAAATTAACCCCACGGTTGTCTGTCCTCCTCAATCATAAAAGAAATAGTCCTGACAGTTAAGGGTCATTACTTCTCATTATCTACCAGGTTTTAATGTTCTACTTGGCAAAATCCCGACGGCATTTGGGTGTGACATTGTTACAAACATACTTACGTATTTTTGCTTCTAAAATTAAATTGTCATAAAATGTATTTCAAATAGGTACGTTAGTTTACAAAAGGACTAATTCTATGTTTACAGCCAAGATAGAATAGTGAGTGAATGAGCTGGTATAATACTCACGGTGACATAACCTAGCATGACCAATGGTCCATCGGTTAAAGATTTTCTTCTTCCAGTCTCGGCTATTGCTGCGTGCAATTCGAATAACAAAGTTCCCCGGAGACGAGTTTCAGCTTCAATAACAAACAAATGAACTATTAGCCAATCAAAATATGTTATATTGTTAAAGAAGGCGGGATCAAATGTATATATTTTCATTATTATTTAAATTTACTGACCTAAATACTTAAGCAATTTTAAAAGGTATGTAATACAGATGAACCAGAAGGTTTAAAAGCAAAATTGCAAATATATCTTACTACATAGTGACAGTACCTGGAGCTAATGTCTCAAGTAAATTATTGACTTTCTGGCACAGTTGTGTCTTCAGAAGAAGTCTATCATCTGATACAGCAGCTAGACCGAGCTGGTCTTGTTGGCCAATCATCTGCGCAAGCGCAAGACCCACATCTGACATGTAGTAATGGGAGGGGTGAAGGTAGTTGCTACAATGTTCGATAAACCTGAATATCGAAATAAAATGTATTAACAAATATTGTGAAATTGTATGTATTATCAATATACTATAGGCACATTTAAACAAATTTGTCAGCTGTAACTTTGTAATATTATAAAGAAATATTATATTAATTTCTGTGCCGTACCACGTAGTACCAAAAATTTAAACATTGTGGAAAAACGGTGAACGAAACTTAAACGATTAAAATTATGACATGTATTTTAGTAGCGGCGAGAGTATACAATTATTGAATAAGTAAAAGAAAAGTAAAGAGAATAAAAACAATAATAATGTATACTGTCATGGCTTTGTAGGTAGGTCATACGTACTTAGGTGGATACATTTTGGAATTTCATTAATATGTCGCGATACTTTTTTTTAGAAATCGGTTACTCAATTTCGTATTCTTTTTATTATTCTAAAGCCGTCCAATACTTACTTTTCACAAGCATCTGGGTCCCCTTTGGGCATAGCACTCAGTTCTTTTCCAATATCCTGCAGCAACTGTTGTATAATGGCGTCAGAGACGGCATCCTCACATACAGGGCATTTCCAGAATTTGTTATCCAAACCTCGAGTCTTTGGGTCTGGAGAAGTGGTCTTATGAAGAATTGGAAGAATGAATGTCTCTGGTAAGAGGTAGCCCTTGCAGTTTCTGTGAAATATGAAAATATTAATAAAGCTGAAGAGTTTGTTTGTTTGAACGCGCTAATCTCAGAAAGTACTGATTCGAATTGAAAAAATATTTTTTGTTAGTTATTAGAGCATTCATCGAGAAAGGCTATAATAACATTGCGATGTGCCTAATAGGAGCTAAAAAACAGCGTGAAATGTGGAAAAAAAAACGGAAAAATAATAATCATTGTGTATTTCAGAGACATACGCTGCGAAAACTGTCTATCTTTTAAGATTAACTTGCAAAAACAAAGGGACGCGACCGAGGTCGTGAGTAACTGCCATAATTCAAAAAGATGAGGAGGTTCTTATAACAATATTATTGCCCAAAATAATTATTATACACGGACAAACTAGCTGGTTCAGCTAGTTAAGTATAAAATCTATTATATTTCTATAGACAAATTTTGGTCTTTGTCTGTCACCACCTGAATTTTACTTACTTCTTTTTACATTTAACAGCACTAAACATAGTTCCGAACTCAGTGACATCAGAGCATCTCTCACAGGAGCACTCGAAGAATTTGGAGTCAGCAAGGTGATGTCGTCTTGCCTCTGTACCCCAAAGCGGGTCCGTGTAGCAAACTGATATGTGAGATCCAGCTGGTATGTTGGAGCCCGCACAGAGACTCTGTTAAAATTAAAAAATTAAAACTCTTTTTAGCTATAAAGCTTTCCCTAAAAACTTTTGTATCTATTTATTAATATTGTGACATATCAAAGCAGCCGGTAATAAGTTAATAGATATGTACTAATTATATTACTAAATAATTTTGTGACATTTTCCGAAAGATTAGACGCTGAATCCCTTAAAATTAAATTCGTAGTCTATTCCATTTAGCCGTGGTTTTAAAAGGTACGTTGAATAAAATATATTCTACTCGTATTCTATTCGTACCTCTTTACAATATAGACAAAACAAATATATAAAAACATGTCGTAAAATATAGGAATTTTGCGGAATTATGGCATAAATAACATAGGGACAAATATAAGTAAGAGCTTAGCGTCAAAAGCAATGTCTTAAAAGAAAGCGTTACAATATCTCCTTGTGATGTGAAACTCTTGTTGCAATTGGCTCGACAACTGTGCTCCACCATGGATATCCTGTCAAAGACTGCTACGTACTCTGGTTCTAGCAGAGGTACCTCATGGCCGTTTATCTGAAATTATATTTAAGGCTTTTTAAATTTTGAACTCTTGAGTGGGGCGATTAATTTAAGGGATACCTTGCATAGCCCGAGGACTTTTCGAACTCACTATGGTTTTAAAACAAGGATTTTAACTTCTACCATATCTTTTAGTATTTATTAAAGAATACAAGATAGACCAAAGTATGGTCTATCTTGTATTCTTTAAGATCAGAAGGTAAATTAGCAAATTAGCCAATTGTAGCAATTTTTTATTTCTATTAATAATTTAAATAAAGACACGATGATATGATGTTATATACTCGTTTGTCTGTGCATTATAGTTTATGATTTTTAGAAAGACATAACAATAACCTGTATAATTCCACAGCACTTCATAATCTCGTTATCACTGAACGTCGTCTCCAGTTTAAAGAACTTCCAAATGAATTCCATTATCATCTTCCTGTCGTTGTTCCACTTGTCTGTTCCCTTTCGTTCCTCACAATGCGACTGCAAAGCTTGGAGCTTCGACCACAGCTTCTGGTCATGGTCACGTTGGTATAAACAGCGAAGGACCGTGATGCATTGGTAATTTGGATGTGGTGTACCGTAGGTTGAAATTTTTACCTATAAGTGCATAAAATATTATCTTAAATAAAAATATAGATAGGAAGCGTTGTTTGTAGAATGATAATAAAGTTTGAAAACATTAATATTTTTCACATTTTGCACATGATGGCACTATGTAATTTCATCTTCAATGATTATCCTAAGGTGCAAAGCATAAGAAGTTGAACCTTAACATTCAAATATTAAGGTTAAAATTACATTTCGCGGAATTTTAAAAAATCGACAATGAGGTGTAACACTCTGTAATAATTGGTAGAGCACGGCACGCTAAAAATGGCGGTTCAAGTCCTGCCAGAGTTGAAATTTTTTCATTTTCTTTTCGATTTTTAAATAATAATAAATTGACATTAAAAAAAAAAGAACTTAATGAAATTACCTTCTCTCCTCGGTTCTTTGTATAAAAGCATTCTGGATTGTGGACATCCTTCTCGGAACATTGCACACTGCACATAGGCCAACCACACTTTTCACAGGCCACAGTTTTGCCTTCTTCCAACAACTTGTAGCAGCCGAGGCAGACGGGAGGTGTTACCTATAACCATATTCATTTATTTCGTTATAACTTAAATACTCGTTTCTCAATATACGAGTAGTTTTAGAGAAATTTGTTGTCTGTTTGTAATGCGTGAAAAGTGTAAAATAAATGATAAGCGACACAAAAATTACGTATCTTCATTTAAATTAGTACGATCACAACTGGATACAGAATGTTCTATCTCAGTCGTATTGTCACAAGGCGACAAAGTTTCATTAAAGTCAATACCATAAAAATCAGTAAAACAAAAGACAACATTTAGCATGCGCATGATTAAGTTTATAATATGATCAGTGCAAACCTGTGCAGGCCCAGTGATTAGCGGAGGCTCTTTCAAAATGATATCTCCTGCTTTAATATTCCTCGTCGCTTCCAAATACCTTCCATACTTCAAGTCTTCTTTCACCCTGGCTGGAGTACAATGGTTCTTATGGGATTTCCAATGCTGTTTTTGATGGTCCCGAGAGCAGTAATGTACAGACTGACAGTTCGAACATTTCTGTTCAGCTGGCGCCAGGCAAATGGCACAGCAGCTAGATTGAGTCATGGCTGGAAGATAATCAAAACATTGGTCAAAAACGAACGAAAAAATAAATTTATAAAGTTTACTGTCTTCCAGAGATTCAAATTAATTATCTATCGCTTCTAGCGCGAGACGAAAAAATAGATAAAAAAAATTACATTTGCTATGTGCATGTCTGCAGGAGATACTGTATAGTACAAGAATGATAGTTTATTAGATAACTATAATGTATACAAAGTAGAGTGTAAATTTAGTAATAATATATGTGGGGGATATTAATTAATTAATATATATTAATTACAAAATTTTGTAGCGTAAAGATTTTATTCTAAAAATATGTATATTCAAACTGTACCTACAAATAGGTAAAAAAAATAATAATTGGTATTATAGGCACTAATTTCTGCCAAACACAATATGTGTAGACAGTTCATACACTGATAAACATAGTCTCTTCTCGTGGATTCTACCACAATATACACCTAAGCTATATAATAGCTAACAGTCAACGGTTTTTGTGGAGTCTATCTATAATATCCCAAAGACACAACCCTTGTTCATTTATATTAAAAAAGCAAATTACACTCACCTGCAGTTTATTCTGTTTTCTAACCAAAAACCTAACAATAACTCTCAACTCCCGGCTGTCAACTAGAACTGGCACGCTGCGCGCGCGCATGTTGCGGTATAAATAAACTCCCGCCTGAAACTTGACGCTGTATAGAATTATACATATCGTAGTACCGAGTACTGACTACTAAACATTGTTGGTACGATGAATTTTATGTTCTTTTATTCCCGACTTCGGTCGCACAGTAATATCAGCGACAGATAAAATTACTATTGAACAAAGAATAACTCGGTCAGAGAAGAAAACGGGAAATCACTTTTTCTGACAACCCTTAAATAGTTTTTCTTATTTCTTTTTAATATTACTGTACTATTTTTTGTACATATATATTTTTTCGAATCATTTATAACAAAATGTAATTATTATACTTTTACTAAGTGACAGGTCTTCTTTTAAAGTGACATTTATTTTAATTTATTTATTACACTCTAATTATTATCTTCGTATAAGTTAGTAAACATGTAACCTTTTTTTAGATCTGTATGTTTTTATTTTAAGTTCTGTGTTTTTTTTTGTTTATGATTAATCATTTATTGTTTGTATTAATTTGTTTCGCCTACTTTGCACATCTCATTTTCTTAACATTTCATAACTTTACGTTGGCTGGAAGAGATCGCTTGTTAGCGATAAGGCTGCCCGTTGCTCTCCGTTCTAGTGTATAAGTTTAATTTGTAATATTATTATGTTTTGTGCAATAAAGAATATATAAATAAATAGTAGATTCTCTAGGATTACGATTAGATCTTAAATTTTATTTTTTATTTTAGCACAAGGGTAGAGTTACCACAGAAAGATACCCTAAGAAAGATTTAAATATTTAAACGCAATAGGAAATAAATTTCCTATTGCGTTTATGGTATAATAAATATAGGTTTATTATTCGTCTGATATGGTATGAAAAAAAAATTTAAACAATCGAGTAATTTATTAGAAAATGTTTACAATTGAATTATTATTAACTATAGAAAAGAATACATAGATTTATTATAGAAAAATAGAGTCCCATTTATTGTAATGTCTTTTTGGTGCAAAATACCATAATTTTACCATAAATTAAAAATCTATAATTAATTTTATCGTACCTGAAATCTTAACGAAATATATATAATTAAACGAATATATCTACATAATTTTGTTTATGGTAATAAATGAACATAAAAACAACAAGATAACGAATACGATAAGAGACATTAAATTTGTTATTTAAGAAATTTTCCCTATAATCTGTTCCCAGGTCTTGATCTTCTTAAGGGCGTCCTTAGCTGCAGTCGCCATTAGGCCTTCAGGGGACTGCTTTGGTTCGAATCCAAGTATAAGGGCGGATTCTGTTAAGTAGCTTACAATCTGTAAGAGATAGAAATGAGTAGATTTTTTTTTGTATATTCTTCGTACCTACTACACGGCACTTCTACATGTGATTAAGAATTCTAATTTAATGTTTAGGGTCTCACAATTTACGAATAAATAAAATAAAAAAACATATCGTAGAAATAATTACCTCTTTTAACCTATTCCTAAGGCTGTCTTTGGAAATAGCTTTCCTTTCAAAATCTCTTGTTGTGAGCACCATCAGAGGGGCGTGGAGTTCATACAATGTTATACCTGGTACAAACATAATATGTTTTGTATTATATGCAGAAATAGGATCAAAGTTTTTGATAGGCCCGCCGTGTTTAAATTCTGAAATATTTCGAACTTTGTTTGGAGTCTGTGATATTTGGCTATACAAAGCGAAAATAGGGCGACAACGTGTTTAGTTTAGATGTTGTATAGTTACGATATATCACCTGCAATTAAGAATAGAACAACATGGGGGTCAAGCATGGAGTTCTTGTCTGTTCCCTTCTGTCATACTATCACGAATTACCTCTCAACCGGGAATACCCCGGTTCTATCACGTCAAAGACCTTCATGAGATCACGACAGATGTCGATCTTCCTGTGCAGCTGTTCCTCCGGCATCTCGTGGATCATGTAGCCGGCGATTTTGCCGTACAACTGGCTGAGGGAGTGCAGCGCCGACAGACAGAGGTAGTGATTATCGTGAAGCACGTTGCGATATTTGTGAAGAAACTTCTCGAAGCCGTCTACGTCATTCGCGTCTATTTGCTCGAATTCGTCTGTTAATCTGGTGAAAATAAATGAATATCACTAGTTGAGTAATATTAGATACTATAAGTCCCCTTGTTACTCGACGTTGAGTATCGATTACTTAATATAACAGATACAGAAAGTTATACAAGCGAAAAGGCCATGAATTTTAATTGTTTTGGCTTCAGAATGTGGATCTTCGAATATCCAAAGCCAAAATAGGTAATGCGGCTTGGGAATTTCACCCTCCATAAAATGAATTCCATGCTTGATAGTCCTCCTGTATATTAAATAATAATAATTAGTAAATAGACCTTCACCTCTTAAGCATAGCCTGAACTCCACCGGAAGTCATCGTATAAAAACAACCATTGTCTGTACAGCGCCAAGGAGCAAGTGGCTCTAGTGGTGCTGTAGAGAGGATCCGACCAGCGCACTTCGGACAACGGAAGGCACTGGCGTACGTCCCTAGCTCTGTCGGGTCTGAACAACGCTTGCAGGAGCACTCGAAGAACTTGCTGAGGAGTATGTGTTCCCGTCGTTTTAAGGTGCCCTGGAGAATATTATTAGATTAGATAGAGTTTAATATCTTCACCACAGTAGATATTAAGCTAAATTCAAAATGGATCATAAGTAGGAACGATTACGACACGGGCAGGATTTGAACCGGTATCCACGGAATTCGGTGCTGTTTCTCTGACCAATTGAGCTACAGGAACGTGGACTCCTATTAGGCACAAGGCGATGTTTTTTAGGCTATAGCTTTCCTCGATAAATGCTCAAACAGAAAAATATTTTTTCAATTCGAACTAGTGGTTTAGAGATTACCGCGTTCAAACAAACAAACTCACCGGCTTTATATATTAATTTGGATTGCGCAGTTAACTAGCAGGTGCTAGTTCACTTATAATAAACTACGCGATAACTTTACTATATAAAGTATATCGCGTCATAAGAGAACTCTAACCTGAAGCGTATAAGCATAACACAACGATATGACATCCCCAGCTTTATGTGAAATAGAGGCTCGAACAGTTAGTGGTCTGCCGGGAGCTTTCTCGGAGTCGGTATGAGTGGTCGTAGGGGTACAGTCATGGGCTAGCAGGAACGCAGCGTCATATAGGGCACGGGCGTTGGCGCCACTTCCACCCACTTCAAAGGCATTTACCTGGAATAAATATATTAAATATCAATAGTTTTCAATATTTTAACGGTTTAAAACGCGATATATTAGTTATACTTATTTGAAAAATGATTTTTAACTTCGGCCCGATGTTTTGTCTCCCCGTGACCATGGCTGTTGCAAAGCATCCGCATTAAGAAATCCGAAAAATCCGAATAAGTTTAACTAACATACCGTGTTTTAAACCGTTAAAGTGTTTCATTTAAATGTGTACTACTCGCGTAAACTATAGACAGTCTTTAAATAAAACATTTATTTTGTATTTGTCTCCAATTAACAATTTAATTTGGACCACCATTGAAGACTACCATTTTATATCAAGCTATGTTTGCATGATATGTTTATCGCAATAAAATGTTATATAAAAAGCCCTATCGACCCATTATAGGGTGGTAAAATTTTACGGTTACGATGGAGATTGTATTGACGAAACGAAACAAAAATAGAACCTTCCTAACAAGTGGCAAGTAAATAGAATACGTTTTTATAAAGGTCGTAAATTTGGATTATGGATTTACTTTAGATATTGACTAGTGGTTTTATACTTCCGACCTTAGATTATATGGATGCTCGTAAATTAGGCACACTATATACTGAGTAAAACAGACACAGAAATGTGTCTATTCCTGACTCGTATTAGGTAATTGAACAGCAGCTGCGAGGGAAGTATTGAATAATTTGGGACATTTCCTCAGATAGGATGAAAGCCTACTGTCCGTTTTTAATTTGAATTGTATGATAGTGTTGGACAAATAAGCATGGGGTGACTTGATGGTAGGTGAAATATCCCAGTCTTATAACATCTAAAATAGATGCGCCTGACAGTCGAACAGGAACAGGAATTTCGATATTCCTACAACCCATTTATTAATAATTATCCAAGTTTCCAGACACAGTCCAACATGTTTCAGAAAAATTCATTAGAAACGCGTTGGTCCAATGGGGATCGAACCGGTGGTGACCCGATGATTCCTAGCCATACATTGCTACCACTAGGTACACCAACGAGCCCATCTTTGAATATGTAAGTTACTTATGTTTTGAATAATCAATACAGGGCATAGTATATTCACAAACGCATAATACAATTTCTTCAGCTTCTAATAACTTGGTAAATTTACTACTAGATAAAAATTTACCTCCAATATTCCGCACACAGTATGTATGTCCTTTTCATCGAAGTGAAACCCCCATTTCTTTAATCGCTGCACCACATTCCTTTCGTTCATAGGGAAGATATCTCCTCTGGCTTTTCGTAAATCGTTGTGAGCTTCCATAGACATAATGGCGGTCCACTTCTCTTGGTCGGCCGTTTTTAAAAGGAGACATCTGAAAGTGTAGAAATAAAGTTTGTAGAGTACATTAGGTAAATAGTATTTAAAAAGTTATAGTTATTAAGAAAAAATAGGAAAGAAGGTTCCTAAATCTATCAACAAATTATACATACAATTCGTACATAGTAACGGTATTAATCTTCTAGAAAAATATAGAAACGGTGTATGTGTACCTGCCTCAAGGGCATAAGGGCGTGGTAGTACTCCTTCAATTCCTCAAGGTTGTTATAACTTGGGGAAGAGTTCTTCAAAGCTTCACACTCGTAGTTCGAATGACCTGTGTACTTGCCAAGACCTGAGCAAGAGGTGGCGCACAGCGGCCAGTTACAACCGGGACATCTGAAATAGTTCTGACAGTTACAATGTCGACCCGAGTACGTAAAATAGAATTTTTAAAAGAATAGGTCAGTAATTCAGTTTAGTTGCGTCCTGAAATTGTTAGAAAGGGGGGGGGGACTGTTTGTTCTTTATACTATCTATTTTTATATCATACCGCCTAGCATTGCGTTCGGCGCGAGAGGTCCTGGGTTCGAATCCCAGGGAAACAAAAAATTGTTTCGGTCGGGCAAGGCACAGAAGTCTGATCAACTATGTGCCTGTTAAAGAACGGAAGACGGAACGAACGGAAGTAACGGACACAGAAATGTGTTCGCCCCATGCCCCACCAAGGGGAAACGGGATAACACACATATTTATATAATTAAGCTAAAGAGTTACTTTGTTTGTTTCAATGCGCTAATGTAACATCAAATTGAAAAAGCTTTTGTGTTGAATAGGCCATTTGTCGAGGGAGGTTTTAGGCTTTATAACATCACACCGCGACCATCTCACATGCGACCAATGGAAGCGAAGAATTAATGAAAAATGTGGAAAACAGAGAAAAATTATTAATCTTTCAGGGCTGTCGTTGCGTGCGCTGCTAAAACGGATAAGAAATCAAGATATATTACAAAATTACATGATCTATGATACACAATTATTTTCAATCACCTACAAAAATAAATGCGACAGTATCTTTTCTCATCAACTCGCAAGAACAAGTAAATTATTTATAATATATCCATACTAACTTTACTAAATTACTTTCATCCAGCTCCCTGTAGCAACCGAGGCATATTAGGGCACAACCGCTGCAAGGCCCCACGGCCAGCGCTGGGACCTCTACTATCACCTCTCCAGCTTTAATATCGCGACTTGCCATCACATACCTAAAAGTGAAAAAAATTCAAGAAAGTCTCAAAATGAATAAATAAGTATTTTCAAGTAACGGATGCTTTTCCGGGGTCAAACGGACTAAATTGATTGAAATAACAGATTACGACTCAACATTTCTTGATTTAATATGTACCTATTTATGGAAATTATAAAAACGTAGTAGGTACTGTTATTTATCTTACGTCAAAGTTTTTGTAATAGACAATATTAAATTACAAATATTGGAATTTAAATAAAGTACTTATAACTTACTTATAGATTTAATTTCTGTCTGTAGTTTACGCGAGTAGTACACATTTAAATAAAACACTTAATAAACAAAATATAGACTTACCGTCCCATAACATCCGAATGTTTTATTTCGTAACATAATTTATTTTCTTTTACAGCTGCATCCTTCTCGGCATCCACATCACTCGCGAGAGCATTTTCTACGTTTTCCTTGTTTTTCACTTCTTGTTTCCCACGTTTCTTGTGCTGTAATAATAGTCCCAACGTTAAACTTTCTAATTAAAAATATATTAAATTACTTTTTCAGCGTGAGAACGTGCACTTCTTACACGAGCTTATTTATTTATTGGTTTAGAAATTATAAAGTTTAGAGACTGTTATTAATTTAATGTTAATAATTATGAACAGCAAAGATTAAATTTAATTGTTATTTAATTACAATAGTTGTATAAAAACATTTTAAACACAACACGGCTTAAAATTAAAACACGATATATCTTGTCGTATTTAAACTTAAAATCTGACACAATTTTAGAACAATATATCATCACTGGCACGATTTTATCGTATTTAAACACGTAAAAAAACTTGAGCAACATCCAAGACGAAAACATACACAAGCGAGGCATCGTAACATCAAGCTGCTATGAATGACCGGTGTATTCTGTGACGTATTAATGAATGGAGCATTGGATGGTATTTCTGTCCAGCACTTGACGATGAAAAAATCATAAGTCCGTCTCTAACGGCAGACTGTAATTGTAATTTCATTAGGAGCGCTGATAAGTGCCGGAGATAATCTAGCATTAAGCTATCGAGAAGCCCTTTCTAGAAATGGTATAAACGGCCTTGGATTCTTGATTTATTAGACGTTCACTAACTACCCTCATATGTCTAATGACCTTTGGGAAATATCAATTATAAAGAAAAGCCTTATAAAACTTTTTCTCAGTTGTTAAATTAGATGCCCACATGACAACCACATGTGGAAACTCCACATGTGGTTGTTTTGTAAGACTTTTATTTAAAAAACCTGCACTCTAATATCTAATATCTGCATATCTAAGTGGAAATTTATCGGTCAACGACAAAAATTGAGAAGTCATAAATTAATGCACATCGTCGAACTATATACTTTAAAAATAGATTATAATTAAAAAAATTATAATCTATTTTAATTTAAAAATAGATTATAATTAAAAAGTGGCCAGTTCAAGTCCTGGCCGTGTCATATTTTTTTCCATTTATAATTGGTTTTTACCTATTTATTTAGTTTCTTAAATTTATAGATTTATTCGGAATACTGATTGGAGAAAATATTTGAAGGAAAAAAGAAAATACTGTGAAAATCTAACTATTGTCTAGACGGTTGTAACCTGGAGTAAGCGATAGCTCAGCCATGCGGTATTCTCAAAGCTGGTAACTACAAAGGTGAGTAATTATAAATTATAATATTACTCCACAACTGCCACAGATGTCTTATTAAATCAGACGTTTTGGCACTTAGTCTCGCAGTCAATCATCCGAACCGCTCATTTCTGGCCCACCGGAGAATGCTTTATGAAATCATTAGTCTACCACTTGAAATAACTGATTAATTTTACTCGACTGCACCTATGGACTTTCTACGGTATATTCGTAAGTTTTTAGAATAACTTACCTAGGACGTCTATTAGTACTAGTAGACCAGTTGCAATATTTATTGTATTTAATAAACACTAAATATATTTAAAACGTACATGGGTAAACATAGTTATGTTACCAATTTTATGCTTCTAAAATTAAATCTTCGCGCTTCGTGAAGTTATAATTTATTGATTATCCAATATGTCAATATTTCATCACAATTGTCGATGAATTTAAAATCGATTTTAGATTGAAAACAAAATTACGACGTGGGTAGTACTTGAACTGGCATCCACATACTTCCGTTGCCCTAATCACTTGAGCTACACGTCATCGTCGAGTTTTTTCAATCTATTCATTGACATGCATCTCTCACGTAATGTAATTATAATTTTAATGCTTGCTTATTAAGTTCTGATGATATCTTTATGTTAAGATGTTATTTGACACATGTGTATATATGACATAAATCACAAATAAAAGCTTTGGTACAACATATAGGAATGTATACGAAGTTGTAATACTCGTAATAAGTCGAGAATATTTTCTGAGATTATCAGATAATAAAGTTCACGAGCGGTCAGCAGTATAGAACTTGTAGGGCTTCCACAGTCATATAATGTTACCAAAGGTATTACAAGGAAGATTTTCCGCTTGGGGCATTGGTATTGGGAGCTTTAGAGTCGTACAAATGTACAAACGCTGGTGGTGTGATTAGTGGTTCTGGTCGGCTATACGATTTGCCACACTCCCCATGTTTGTATTGCCCGACGTGGGCGTGCATTAGACATTCACACCACCAGTTAAAAAAAGGACTGTCCTGTGTTACTAAAAGGTTCATAAATAGTAAAATATGCATTAACTTCGGAAGGTGTTATATGCACTTATAATTTAAAAAAAAACAATCAATCAGAATAATATTTTTTATCTATTTATTTATTCGTATTTACAACAGTCTATCTCCTGTAGTACAATTAATAATAACAATATACAAAGCTATAATAGTAAACCACAGATTAAGGATAAAAAAGGCAAAATAACAAACGTGTGTGTTTGTATGTAAGCACTCTCAAGACTACTCTCAGACTTCACTAGTGTAAAATAGCAATTAAATTTAATAAAATGTGTGTGTATACTTGAAAACAACTCAAACTCAATTTATAGTATAAATGTTCTTCTGTTTTGAAGTATAAATTGGTTTGCAACTAAAACGTGTTTGCGCTAAGAGACGATCTGGAAATCTTTGTCACATTAACCACTGAGTCAAAAAACATCTGCCTAGTGATAGACTATTAAAAAATAGTTTGGCACATCTCGCCATTAATGTATTAACGCCGCCGAAACTATTGTTTTAACAATTGTTGGAGCCTGTTCAAAGCACTAATTTCTGAATTCTTCATATCGTAATAACAATAAATTATTTAGAATCCGAGTGGAACGCGGAATTTGCGTCTGCCTTTATTGTTTTCATAAAAGCGTTTCGCTTTCATGTCTCAGCGCAATTAAAAATGCATTAAGACTTCTATATTATTATGTAGGTCCATAGAAGTAATATTATTTACTAGCTAGCGACTTCGTCCGCATGGAATAGTTATTTCGTCATTGCACAATTAAATACTGTCTGTAGTTTACGCGAGTAGTACATATTTAAATAAAACTCTTTAACGGTTTAAAACGCGATAAATTTTAATTAAACTTGTTTGAACTTGTCACGCGGAGACTCCCCGTGACCACGGCTGCTGCAAAGCATCCGAAACGTCGGGGCCGTAGTTAAAAATAATTTTCAAACAAGTATACCTAAAATATATCGTGTCTTAAACCGTTAAAGTGTTTTATTTAAACATTGCACAATTTCCACCCTCTTAACAAAAAAGGCATTCTATTCTTATTTTGATATTCGATTGTCAGCAGTTTGACACCCAGAAAAAAGATTAGTTTAGCTCAACAGTTTTCATATTAGACTGTAACGATTATTTGATACAGTACTTATCGAGATAAGTGTCTTTACCTTTTTTTATTTTATTGCCTATCGGGCGGCAGCTAATGGTGTGGACTGATCACCCGGCCTTCTATACACGTATAGAAGGCCGGGTGATCAGTCCACACCATTAGCTAACCATTTCCCCATTTCCTGGTTGCAGAATCTTACTTTTCGTTCTCTAATTATGTATCTTTAATTCTTTGATGTCATCTTCTGTTACTTTGTCCGAACCCATATATGCTTTTATCTTAGTTTCGAGTAGACAGAGCATTCAGTGAGTAGATGGATTCTTGTTTGACATAAGGGGTCGTTACCTAATCCTACCTTTATCAAGTCACTATTTTCCTCGGGTCTCCATACTAAACTCGTGCTATAAAGTTAGGTAAAGGTACTCCAGTATCCATTTCCATTTGAAAAATCTGCACAATAATTGTAGACACCCGAGCCCAACGAAAACATATGATTTGAAAAGTTAACGGCTTAAATGACAGCATGTTTGGCTATTAATCGCTTATTCGCGCCAACTAACAATCAATATATTTATGGACTGAACAGAATACATTAGTTTAATGGTTCTGATGACACACATAATCCTTACCATCTATACTAGATATTATATAGTCAAATAGATTGTTTGTTTGTGTGTTTGTGTACGTTAATATTGGGAACTTGATTTTGAAAATGCAATTTATATTTTTACTATTGTTCTTTAAATGTTATACTTTTCTTGTACTATACTTAACATAACGCAAAATGTGATTAAGTTTATATGGTAATTATTAAATTAAAATAAATGAACTTTTAGAATCGGTATATAAATATGAGCCTGCTTAATCATTACTAGCACTATATGTCTACTTAACTTAAAATATATGTTTTTTTATTTAATTATTTCTGAAAAGGGTGCTGTCTGTAGTTTACGCGTGCACATTTTAGTAAAAATACGTCACGGGTTGTGGTGACGGGGAGATTAGTAATACATTTCGCGTTTTAAACCGTTAGAAGTGTTTTATTTAAGTAAAAACGGATGGTTTAAAGGGGCTTACTGCTGGCTAAGCCACAGCTAACACCGCGGGGCATATAAGTATCATAAAGATTTAATTGGCATGAATTCGAGCAGTGTTTTGTTTTTAGAAGACACTGACCTAGCTTCTCTGGTAATCCACATAAATGATCGACTCGGCTGCTTCTATACTTATAGCGTTATGTGTCCTTAAGCTCAGATGCCATTATTTGTTATGAAATTACTACGGGCTTACAAAGACTCGGGATAACTAAGATTGTTCTGTTAGTTACTGTTTAAATCAATCTTACGGTATTTGACAACCGAAAGCCTTCTTTCAATATAATTATGAAATCACGATATTGTATATTTATTACTAAGAAATAGTTATTCCGGGACATGTTAATTTTGTTAAGTACTTGTGATTTTAAAATTAAGTGTAAATCTGTTATAAAAATAAATTTAAGCCTCCTGTAAATTTTTTGTCTTTAGGTATTCTATTGTGAACGGTCGTTCGTGACCCGAACGGAAAATCGATGTCTCTATCACTCATTTTAAAATCCTAAAAGTGGGAATTGAACCCGAAACTTCTATAATCACAATCCCGTTATTACATTGCTATGAGCATGAGCCACTATAATAAATAAAAAATTGCGCAAATCGTGAATTTTTAAAGTCATGTTTGCCATATTTCGTAACGTGAGAAAAGATTTTGAAGTGTTACAAAATGTTTTAATAAACTATTCTTATCCCGTATAGGAATTTTCCACTTCAGCAGAGCGTCAATTGACACGTGGCCAAAGCCCAATGACAGACTGTTAACACCTTCCAAACTCAACTGTGAAGGGCAGAAAACTAATGCAGGAAGGTAATATCTAATAAAAATGTTATATTAAAGTATTTCTCGTACACAGTTAAGCCTCGGATTAAGGTTTAGACTTTAGAGATATATAGATTAAACCTATCCCTTTGTTGATCCGCTATTGTTAAGAAATAATTTTAAGTTTTTAAACAAATTTTTTGTGATACGATGGTCACTTAGAACACTAAGCTACTAATATGAGGTAAAATAAAGAAAATAATTCGGATTTTTATTTACTTTAAAGTTTTGTTTCTAAAAAGGATGTAGTGAACTGTAGTTCTTGGTCACTCCTTCTTCGGGGGCTTCTTTCTTACTGTTAGGCCGTGAGGAATATGAGGAGTTCTTTCTGCCATTTCACATGCACTCAAACTTATTTTTCTTCGTCTTTTTTTGTTTATCAAAAAAATAATTAAGCATAATTTATGTAGTTCTTAAGTTAAAATTTAAGGTCATTTTGTTGTATTTTTAAAAATACTTCCAGATATTGAGGCTAATTTGTACGCAAGCACGCACGTGTGACATTTACGTCACTATTGGCATCTCAGCTCTCTCATCATTCGATTGTCGAAGAACAATTAAACACGCCGAACGAGGTATGGGAACCACGCCCGATTGGCGTTATGATATATGCGGCGTCTACGCATGATGCTACGTCAAACTAAAGACTCGACTACAATGGATCTTCCGTTTAGACTGAGTTCTTACTACTATTAAACAACTTTGTTGTTTGAAAACGTTATTATTTTTCTTCATCGTATTAAATACTAGCTGGTGCCCGCGACTTTGTCTACGCAGGATTAGGATTAGGATTACGTATTATCGCGAATTTAACCTATTTAAATTTTATTTAAACTAAATGATGTCTATCATATCATACATTACATAATTATATGTAACTAACGTTTATGGCAGCGCACGCCAGAATAGCTCGCAGGAAGGTAGGGTTTTCCTTGTTACTTGACACTTAAAGTCATATTTTGGACAGCTCACACAATATCTTTATAAATTGCCTAATAGCCTATGTGTTATTCTGATTTATAATGATGTATGCTATGTTATTGGAAAGTTTAATTGAAATCTATTCAGTAGTTTTTGCGTGAAAGAGTAACAAACATCCATCCACACATACAAACTTTCATGTTTATAATATTAGTAGGATATCGAAATAGTTAAAAATCAGTTTAGATATAAAAAAAATACGACTTAGACCTGGACCAGTTCCCACAGCGTCCCGTGCTGCTGCTCTTACCAATTGAACCACTGTGTACAGGCCACCGTGGATTTTTTTTACCTCTCTTTAAAGAGATGCAACTCTCGCGCAATGAAACTCCTAATTCTATAAGTTCTACGTATAGCGGAAAATATAACATAGACAACAGTTTTCTCTGAGAACAGAGCGGTATATAATTAATATTTAAATCAAATATCAAAAAGGTTAAAATATTAAGTTAAAAAACATCACAGTTACCAACATAATTAATATTGGTAAATGGTGTATATTTTAAACATTTGTTGAGCCGCATACAAAGTAGAAAGAGATCACCGGATTACAGATAGTAAATATAGTTCCTAGATATACAAAGTATTTTCCGCAACAATAAATCCCTCTAAACCGTTTATCCACTAAGCAAAGATCCTATTAAGATTTACGGATGAGAAACAAAAGCCCTTGGTTAGAATTGAAATAGATAAGTTCTATTTCGAGATGGTTAGCATTTTGCCAATATATTACATGTACAGAATGAACACAATCAATTCCGCCCATGGGCATTAAACAAATATAGCGAACCGCCTAAGTCATGTTATAGACTATATGAATAGGATTTTAGAACCAACCTTCTTTTACTCTGTAGAATCACGACAAATAGACAGACAAACAAAAAAAAATTGACGAATCTAAATAATTTTAAAGAGAATAAAGTATATTTTATTTTATTTAAATAAAACCCTTTAACAGTTTAAAACGCGATACATTTTAGTTAAACTTGTTTAAAAATTATTCGAAGAAAATATTAAAAAATATCTTTCAAACCAAGTTAACTAAAATATATCGCGTTTTTAACTGTTAAAGTGTTTTATTTAAATGTGTACTACTCGCGTAAGTTACAGACAGTATTTAACTAACCTTCTTCTTATGCGATTTCTTGTTCATGTTGATTGGTTTAGATCTGAAAAAGATTATAGATAATTATTATCAATTATTTAAAACTTACGATACGTATCAAGAAATAATACGTGTATAAAATTGAACTTATATTTATATACTAGCTGGCAAAGATTCTTTCCGCCAGCTAAAATTTCTTTACAACAAAAACGGTTCTTGTGAGTTCATCTTAAAAGGTAAACATATACTGTCGCAGACAATTTTTTTAATTATTAAAAGAATATTATTCTTTACTCTTTCCAATATATTTTTTGGGTATATTAAACGAAAACTCTAATAGACGAATAATTTTCCCCATTTTCCTCTGAATCTTCGTTCCTATTAGTTACAGCCTGATAGTTTATAGCCTAAAACCATTTAACGAGGTACGTGAAAGTAACACAAACACAGAAGAAGCGTTACTTAACTTTCTGTATGTCTGTCTGTGCGATAAACGTGCTCGGCAATTTGCTATAAATGCTCCACTGTTTTTTTTTGTGACCGCCTTCGTAGTGCTTTGCTTTGAGTTGTGTATGTTAAAATAAACTCTATACAGTACAACGCAATAATTTTCACGAACAAGTCGCGTAATGGAGACCTCGCGTCCGAAATTTTCATTTTCACAGCTGAGCGTTTTACGATCGCATAAAGTTTATGTACGGAGTTATTACAGCGGGTACATTGCTAAATATTTTATCAACGGATATTTTATAGCCGACATGTATTTTGTATCGCAAGCTTTGATCACTTTGTTTTATGGAACTCGTAAAAACGAGATGAAATATTTGTTTATAGAAAGACAGAAAGATGACTAGTTAATTGACGACTCGAATGTATCATTCAAATAAATATGTCTTCGTCTATTCGTTGTTAATGCAAAAAAAAGGGCTCGTCGTGTCGAATGAAAAGCTACTTAATTTGGGTAACGGTGTTTATCTATACGAAACTTTCTTTAAAACAAATAGAAGCACTAGAGCTCTCTAACAATTTTAAAACTAACATATTTTCATGTGTTCGATATCTATCGTAACTTGTGCACATTTTCACGTTTATTGCACAAAAAAAGATTCAAACAAGACACACCTATGTTAAAAATATTGAGTGCAATGGGCGGCCTTATTGCTAACAAGCGATCTCTTCCAGGCAAGACGAAAGATTATAAAGTTTACAGGAAATCGAGATGTGCCAGGTGGGCGAAACAAAATATATAATATATTTATTATTACTAAACTTATCTAGGGAAATGAAACCTAATAATTTATCGCAACTTATACAAAGTAATAAATAGTTATTCTTAATAAATAGGTGCAGCGACCCAAGGTGGATCTTAGCCTCCAGGACCATTACAGTGATAATAAATAAAATGTGAAGCATGTCAGGTGGCAAATAAACCTAACAGGAAAAGTTTATGATAAACTTTTTTGGGAACTGTAGTGTTTCCAGTAACATTCTTCGAAACTTGGCTTCCATCAGATTATTTTCCTATTAAATTACGTAAACATCGTTCTAATATAATCCACCTTAGTCGATACTTTTCGAAGGAAACAGGATATGCTCATTATTTCTCGCAATCTCGCAATCATTTTATATTTTTAACCGTTTGAATCACATGCGGATTTTGGAAATTGTACGTCATTTACACGAACATGTGCCCACACCAATCAGTTAACAGAAATCATGTGGTATTGACTAAGACTTTAGAATATATTTATTCTATGCAAACATTAAAACAGTATTACCTGTAAAACACGGGCAGCCTAATTGTTATCACAAGATTTCCTCAAACCAGCCAGCTGTTTTGGAAAATATTGTAATTTAGTGGATTACGCGAAAATATATAGTGATTATTAAATTTTGATTTTCGACATATAAAAGTACGCATAGTTAAAAAATAATAATAAACAGTACAATTTTATGAAAAAAAACTTCTTTGTTTTCTTAGGCAGTACTAGTGACAGAATATGCTGCATATATAAATTGTTTATTATCATCATAGAATATAAACGATATAGAATCATAAACGTCTCCAAGATGGTTAAAGGAAATTAGAGAAAATTCTTGCTATCCTATATATATATAATACTATGCTGTTTTAAATCTCGCGTCGCGTATTTAACTCAAATTTTCGTTTGAATGCTAGCCAATATGTTCAATAGTTGAACCGTTTGGCTGAAAAACAAAACAAATACCGCTGTACCATACGTTTATGTTTCTCGTTAAACTAATTCTTGTTGCCTAGTGATGAAAATACTCTTAAGCTATTTAAAGTTTTATTAAGTAACATTCGTCCATTGAATATCATATCATTTTCAAAAACCGGGTGTTGTTGATCATTTTTATGTTGAAATTAATGCCGGGTACACACTCATGGCCTAACGTAGCATACATTTCTTGGGAATGTACTGCGCCCTTACACAATACTTAGATGAACTGAAATAATAGACATATAAAATTAATGTTCAGTTGTATTTTTTATTTATTTAATCAATAAATGCTAGTATAATAAGAATAAAAAAGACACTGAAATGTATGAATCGAAACTAATCATAGAGACGACGTGTGGTAAAAGTTTTTTTTATCATAGAGAAGGACAGACCAGAAATCAGCATAGGGATCACTTGATAGTAGGTAAAATACCACATATAACATCTAATTATTATATTATGGCGATTAAACTCGACGGCTTTTTCGACTATGGACGGTGGTTCGCAACCCGGGAGGAATTTAGAAATTTCTGCCATCCATTTAATACCAGATTTCCAAAGTCTTGATTAGAGAAAAGTGTTGCACCCGGTGGGCATCAAATCCACGACCCGTTGATTTTTAGCCATACATTGCTACCATTACACCAACGATCCCGACAAAGTTTAGTTTTAGAAATATTTTATCCTTGCATGAATGATGAAACATTAGGTATCGAAATATATTCGAAAATTTGCAGTTACGTCTTTCGAGTCTGTACGCTGCATTTCATCTGGGAGATTTCACAACGAGCAAAATGGTGGATATATAGAACGACACCCGTCACGCTTCATTAAAGTCGGACGCGGCCCATTTGTTATTTCACAAAACCGCCAAAGTCAAAATAAAATTATTACATGTCTACGATGTGGTATCGCGTATTTATTTACGTCATACATATTCGTTGGATTATGTTTAGGTCGAATAAAAAAATAATACTGGCTTATTAAAAAAAATAAAGTAAATTCGTGATCTTTCTCTATTACATAAAGCCTTTGTAAATTTAGGCAACACTTAATAGCAATAAATCATTTACTATGGTTGCACTGGTTGTACGTACAATTAAAGTCTGGTAATAAGTTTATTTTAAAATACGCACATCAAAAACAAAAGTAAGTTAATTTTTGGTAACTTTATTAGGGTATCGTTATTATGGTAACTTTATAAGTTATTCCTCGTAGATTTTAAGAATGACGCCTATTTCAATAATGTACCACTAATAAAGTAATTTTCGTCTAATGTCAATGATGAAACTTTGAATGTGTAGTTGAAAAACTTATGTATTTAGCTACTTACATAATATTTGGAAAGGAAGAAATATTGGAGAGCAGTTCGCCCTAGCCCTTAGGTATAAATTACAATAAAGACTGACAAAGAAAACATTTCCGACGACGTAATCAAAATCTTAATACCAGTGATACGATACGACAATGTAAATAGAGTCGGACAATGGTATAAATATAGAACTGTCCAAATACACGTGTATAGCGCACAGACAGACAGACAGACATAAATCCTCTACTATGCAACGCTTGGCACTCGCTGCCACTGCATTCTGATCGCTTGATAGTCCAATGTATCATCTGCATAAACATTATAATGTAATTTTTTGGGCTCGCATTTGTTGGTGAACTTCGAAATAAGTTAATGCCATGGTGGACACATCTCGTATCCTTATAGGGTGACACAATTTTTTGAAAAATACGCCGTGTAGCTTGAGCTATAGTCGTGTCTAGTATAAATTAGTATTTGACAAACACAATAAGTACGATTAAATAAGATTCACTCACAGGATTCAAAAAAAGTAAAGACCTACTTACCTAGTGTCATAGAATGCTATGCTAAGCAGAGTTTTCAATGCAGTCTTAAATATTGTAATTATAAAGTAACATGTTTTCTGCTGACCGTACTTTTAATCAGTCCATATCGCCCGTCGTATTGGAGCAATGTTTACATGAAAGCTATTACCGTTTGTATCTGAGCGGATCACTGTGTGCTATTTATTAGGTTTTTCGAATCCACGACCCTGATAACACTTATTGGATGTACGTACAAATTTAAACGGCTATACTAATTTATTTCTTGGCTTTTAATCGGCGTATTTACAACGTAGCAGTGAACATAATTTGTTTATATGTATATAAACCACGAAGAAATAATATAAAAAAAAACATTATATTGATAAATTTGATAACTATTAAATTTCATAGGTATTAGTTTGCTGCCCTAGCAAAGAGATTGAAATAGCACACACTTTCCAAGTTTAATTATAATTAATCTTTACGAGCTTCATGATTTATTTGAATTTCTTTCTTCTTTATTCCCTACGTCTTAACATTCAATAGAAAATTAGTAGTACTTATTAGATCTGGGATACTTACCACCAAGATTCTTTCTGTCAAGCAAATATCACAACTAAAAACTTTTTACTTTAATTATTAGGAAAAATTTAAATTTGACAATTACGCTAATAAATGGCGGGAAATGATAATGGCGGCGCGCGCGTTCGTTTCCCGCGCATACGTTAACTGCCGCGTTTGGCTTGACACAATAAAATTAAGCATCCAAAATGCTGGGCGTCTCGCGTCTTTGCACTGAATTTCGTAATATAACAGATCCCGATATGCGGGACATTTCTTAAGAGTTAATTTGGCAACAGCAGAATGCCAAATGGATTTAATGGCATCAGACATAAGATTGTTATTTCTCGCTTTCCACGATGATGCCAACAATACGTTTGTTTTTATTTAGGATCCAAAATAACTGCAAAAGGACTTTATAATTTATTTTCAAATGAGTTAGTCTTCAATTATTTTATTTTAACGTAAAGTACTGATGTAATCACTAAGTGCATAACAATTATATAAACCTCGTAGATCATTTTTTTAGCCCAACGATAATATTTTAAGATATAATAAAAACTAAAAATTTAAATACTATTAATAAAAGCATCTAGTTGTCAGCAAATTGCTGTGCTCTTTTATTTCGTCTGCGCGCGCGCAAGAATAATAAACAAAGGAGGGTAATTAAAATGGCTATTTTCGCGCGTATTATGAGCGCATCCAACTAGATATGTCCACTCTTCTAACGTTTGGTGCAAGTAAAGAGTGATTTCTTTAAATACATCTGAAAATTTATTTTCATACAATTTGATTTTAATAATAATTTTAATTTTAATTCATCCTAGTCTCCTTGAACTTATATGGGATTTTAAAGATTTTCTATGTGGTGCTAGGTAGAAGGATAATATGAAATGAAGTTAAATGTTGGTTATAATAGTGGAGCACCCACTTCAGAATTGTTTAATTTAGTAAACTCTTTTTTCTAACTATTCCACACTTACAAAGTTGTTTCAGTTGGTAAAATGTTTACATGTTTAAGTAAAATAAAAGAAGAAATATTAATTCCCTACCTCTCGCTAGTATTACCTAAGGAATTATTCACTTGATACATTATAATCTTGTAATAAAGTGTGTCTTGTTTAAAAAATGATTTATAAATTATAGTTAAAATAATTATGTCTTCTTTCCAGATCACGAATTTCCACAATGTCTGTCTTCAGTCTTAATTTTAAAATCTCCCGCCATATAGCTTCTCTATGCTCTTGATTTGTGATGCCCATCCGAAGAAGAGTATTGTCATTGATGCGTACTAAAGCTCTTCCAGTTATATCATGCTGAAATTACAAAGCATGACTAAGTAGGGGGCATCATATTTTAATAATTATATGATTCTACCTATGAGATTCAGTAGAGATGCATACAATAATTAGATACGTCCAAACTAACAACAAAATAAATAAAAACATTGAAAACAAACAGAACTTGACTCTAATATCACTGGTGTAGTAGTTTATAAAACATGCAAGATCAATTTAAATATATAATTTCTCCACTTAACTATAAACCTGAGTATGGCATAAGAAAACACACCTCGTGAAATCTTTCCCAATATAAATTGTAATAGTCACAACAATGCCTTCTAAGCCACTTTTGTACGTCAGTTTCAGTCCATAGATATACAGCTTTTGGGCGTGCAGTTTTTGTCTATAAAGATAAGATTTTCAATTAGTACATCCAAAAAATTATAATAATCAGTCACTATAATCACAAGTTTTACCTTAGATTTGTTGGAATTCAAGCTAGAATCCTCCACCATTTTTGTTAATATTCTTGAAGGGATGTAACATACTATGTTTACTTTACTAGTTAGAGTTGAGGTATTTTTACTTCTTATTAGATTTTCATTATTTTTATTTCTAAGAGTATGTAATTATCAATAAACTACAATTAAACAATAAAACTATAAGAAATAGAAACAATGACAGTCAATGTCAATGAAAGTAGAATCTGTTTATGAACAATTGGTACGTCTCTGTGACAATAGTTATTGAAAATTTAAATAATGTTTGATTATGTATCTAATTCATCTGTAATTTTTAATTTTTTACTTTAGTTTATTATTGACGATAATTAACAACATTGCTTATGTTTATTTAATGTTTGATGCCGTTTCTTTTTTGACACAATGACGGCAAATGTATGAAAGTCAATTGTCATTTCCAGTTATTGCAATAAAGCAAAGATGTGGGGAGGTTAATTTTTGATGAAAAGAATAATATCACCTTTATTTAATATTTTATTTCAACTGGATTAGAATTTTCGTTTAAACTATGGCACAGAATTTACAGAAAAAGCCTTCCAAAGGAATTTTGAAAACGTCTCGCAGTGTAGATGGCCAGGATGGAATGCCGTCAACGAGTAAACGAGCGAAAGAACAGAGGTTCGATGAGATGAATATTATGGAGACATTTCACCCTCCAAATAAAGATTATGGCCATATGAAAGTGGATGAACCGAAGACTCCTTACTCGGAGGCGGTTGATAGTGATATGGAGCCAGGGGATGAGTTAGATGCAAATATCTTAGCAGCTAAGCTAGCGGCCAGTATGAATAAGCCACCTAAATGTGTTGATATGAGCGATAGTGATGAGGATGAGTCTGAAGACGCAAGACAACGAAGGTTAGAATTTGAGAAGAAGAGGAAAATGCATTATAATGAATTTCAGGTATGTAGCGTAATGTGAAGTTGTACAGGTTTTTCCTTTAAAAAAGAGTGAATATTATTATTAGACTTTACTATGATATGATAAATTTATTCTCCTTATTATTTACTAAATTTTTGGAATTTAGGTCAAGTTTTTTTTAAATATTAACTAATTTAGACCAATTCAATACAATTGAAAGTATACAAAAGTAATAAAAAGAGATGGGGCTGGGTAACTGTGTAACCACAATGGATTATAATTTAATTTGGGACATGGTCACATCAATATTTGTAATGGTTCACTTTTCCAAATGTTATATATACCATATTGATATCATTTGCAAATTATAGACAGTCGCAACCTATACATACAAGCTACATACTTATTATAACATGTTGCTAGTTGTGTCTAGTGTTGCAGGCTCTTTAAGTGGCAATTAGCTAATTGGTCATTATTTTTCATCATATGAGACACCAGTCCTTGTAATACATACATGCTTTTGCAACTAGGAAACAAGTCGAAATATTACAGTTGAAATACAAGTATTGTTTATCTTTAATCTATATATTTATATTGAACTCATCTTGCAACACTTTGTTCACCCAAGAATAGAAATAAATAATGCTGTAAAGCTACCGTTATATAATGCAATAACTTTGAAATTTACAAACTGAAATAAAAATAACATCCATCACCCATACATACATCCTCCCAAACATTTGCTTTTATAACTACTAGCAGAGAGTAGGATAAAAGTGTCTATACAAAATATTATAAAATAAAGTGTGGGTCTTTAAGACTTTCTATTACATACAATAGCCATTATCTTGTCAAGGATTTGGAGATTTTTATCAATTTGATGATGTTGAGATATTTCAGTCATATTGTAGTACATCTATAGTCGGACTGTTAATGCTATTACAGTTGGATTGGATTAGCCACATTGGATTAACCTAAAGTCCTAATCTTTGAAATACAAAAAGTAGATTATACTTTACTTTTAATATTACTTAACAAAAACAAAGCAAAACACATATTTTTCAACACACGTTTTGCGAACACATTATCCGTTGTCAATAAAATTTATGTCCAGATGTTTTATCTACATGCAGCATTTCACAGAAATAAGTAATGATAATAATAAAAATGAACAATTTTTTACTTAATGGTTTTGATACTTTTCAGGCCCTGCAGTTAGCGAGACAATTAATGGCACAGGAAGAAGAAGAGGAAAATGAAGATAAGGATCAGGCGACAAGCACTTGACTGAAGTACCTACGGAGTTTATGTCACACCTACTGTTGTCATTGGTAAGATTTATGCAACATATAAGGGTTCACTTGATGGGAGATTTTGTAGAGCTTTTATTATTCCACAACCTATTCTTAAGCTATTGCATAGCTTTTATCGCAGGCCTCGAGCGAGGGGACCGAATCCAGATATTCCGTAACGAAAAAACCTCATGCTTCCCACTCCGACGGGCACGGAGGTGTGGCTTGAAGGCCGGCCTCGTCTAACGTCGTTTCAGTTCGGCAGTCTTCGTTGTGTGCGTGCGATTAGACGTATTGTACGACTATACGAATCGAGCCGAGCTGCTCCAAAATCGGACGAATACATAAGCGGCTGTTTATGAGAAAATATACACGTGCATAGGCATTTACGTACAACAGTGAATAGCTGTATTTGTATGATGCATGATAATCCGATTGCAATACCTAATTTTAATTGTATTGTTCAGTTCAAACGAGATACTGTTTCAAAAGGTGGGGTAGCTATTTACCAAAATGAAAATGATATTACTAATATTATGACTCCGAATATTGAAATAAATATTGCACACGTTAGCGATGTTAATGTTAGGCGCTCAGTTGTTAGAGATATTTGTGCGTGCTACAAATGGTAATAAATTTCCACTTATCTTGGCTGACGATTTCAACATTAACTTCGCTGATAAAAAATCAGAGCGGTTGACAACTTTTCTACCAAAAAAATTGAATTTGAAGATGAATATTGATCCACAAGAGTCCACAACAAAATATGGGACCACCATTGACGCGGTATTTTCTAGGTATTTAGAGGATATTAAGTCGCAAACTTATGTTTCTTATTTCAGTTATCATAAACCTATAATATCAATGATAAATATTCTTGATTAACCAACAGCTACTGTAAGATAATAAAACCTATATGTAATGTAAAATAATAAAAATGTTTTAAACAATATTAACTTTTTATTTATTTAATAAAAGAAAAATGTACCACGCTCAAAAAGTGTAACTCGAATTAATATCGAAGAAAAAGAAATACTGCATGAATAAAAGGAATAAATAATTATAATTGCATAAGTTGATACAAAATGCTATGCAATAGCTTTACCGCGGCAGTCCCCGAGTGCCACACGTCTTTTTTATTGTTTGATCAATACAATTATGATACTGCATCTGACATCTTAAATGAAGATTTTTTTTGCCTGATATTAATGAAATCTATTATTTCTATTAATGTTCTGTCATTAGGTTAAGGAACTAGTGACCTTCGTCATTAGAGAGTAAGCTTAAATTATTGAAACCTTTTAAAACTTTGCTAGTACCTAGTTTGTGATTGATGATTTTTTGATTTCAGGATAAAATCGTTCGTCACAAGTTGAATTGGACAATAATTATTTTTGCCATAGATGTTCTGTGTTCCTTTTTCGGCTGTAAACTTTAAGATTTATGTATTTAACTGTAAAGGTCAATAATGATCTCGAAGTTACAATCTTACTTGGGAGTAACTCTCCATGTTTTTTAGAATTTCGTTATTTATAATATCAATTAAAATCAGGGCTTCTTTTGTAAATTATTCTGTTGATTACATAATATTGTGTTATGGATCTTTTAATATTGAAATTAATTACGTAAAAAGCAATTTAATGTTACTGACTGTTGGAACTAACATGTATAAAGATCGCACAAATAAATTTATAAAGTAGGTAGTGATTTGGCGATAAGAATGATAGTGATGAGTTGAAGGTGTTAGGTGATCAAAACCTTAGTTTGTGAAAAAGTAGTCTTAACGCAGCGTGTCAATCAGTCAAATCGAGCTATGTGTGTGTGTTTTTTGTGTGAGACCCAATTTAATTCAATTGAATCTAAAAGTATATACTTTATTAATTTTACACTTATTATTTATTTCTTATGGTAGACAATGGTTTATTTAGACTTTTTGTGTAATTCGCAGTGTGCTAATGTAAGGTTTATTGAACACATTCTCTGGTTTACTAGACTTGTAGTGATTGTTATTAAAATTGATTAATACGTAAGGATTTCAGAAAAAATATGACTAGTTTGGCTTCCATTGCGCTTCGCGTACATTATTGGGTCATTAAATAGTTACTATAATTAAATGTATAAATGGAGCTATATTTTATATATTGTAAAACTATAATAATATCATTATAGTTAATGTTTTGTATTTATGAAGTTTAAATAATCTTTGTATTTCTTGGGATATAGAGCAATATGTAATTACAATGTGCCCCAAGTTTTAATGTTCTGTGGTGTGAATTTACATTTAAAAATATATTGTATACATGTGTATATCATGTGATGTATGTGTTAATGCATTTAACATATAATATATTTTTTAAGCAGGATATTAAAATTATATTCTAAAATTCCAAACATGAAATTAAAGGACTGGTAATACCAGAAGTTCCTTACTTGATTTGAAATGTCAGGTTGTTTAATGTAATTAATAATTATAGATATGCACCAATGCTTTCTAAAAAAAGGGTAAATAACTGTTAAAATAGTGGTAAATTACTTGGTGTATTGAAACATTGTTTGTTCTGGTCAGTGTCATTTTATATGAGAAATATTTATTAATATACTTTTATTTTTGCACTTCTAGTATTGCCCTTTTACACTTTTTGGGTTAGATTTTTGAAATAATGGCCAAATTTTATTTATTTTTTATGTGTGAATGAGGGTGGTTAAAACGTAGTTTCTATCTCAAAGTCATAGAAATATAAAATAATAGAGATATGACGTATATGCATTTGCTTATTCATGCAATCTAAAACAAATCGTCATAGTATCATTAGAATGAAAATGTGTAAATAACAATAAAATTCTAATTTGAAAATATTGAGTTTCTTTTTTATAAGTACTAAGTTTATGGCTGGGTAATTCATAAGAATTTGAATACAATTTTGGTTGCAACAATGTCAATATATTTGGCTTTAAATTATAAGTCATTGAGAATATGTCAAAATATGTCGTTATGTCAACAACGTAGTATAATTAAAAAAAAAAAAATACGCTAAAACGCGAATCCGTTTATACAGCTTAGCCCATCGTGTTGCAAGTAAATACTAAATAGTACAAAACTCTATAACTAGAGGACCCCCTTGTCAAATGTCACTTTGATCAACCTAAGACATTATCTATGGCAACATTTCGTAATTGTCAATGGCGCTTGTGCTGCTGTTTTTGCTATGTTTTGCGTTTCTATTTTGTTTGAAAAAACGTAGTCTTGACAACAGAATTTTTGAAAAATTTATAAACGAATTAAACAATGGATTTAGTATGACTTACTCAAATAATGGATGAAGCTCACAATTATCCAGCTCAGACTTCAGAATACCATGTAAGCTTATTAATTTGTAGATTACCTTCTAACAACTTTTACCCCACCAAGAGTGCGCGATATATACTTTTTCTAAATGAAAAGCTTATTTTGACGTTGATCAGAGGCTTTCGAAGCATAAATTGCGTAAGAATAATGCAAATTCCGTGGTTTCCAAATGTCGCGCGTCAAACTTTTATAGCCACGAATTTTCGGTACGAATAATTTATTACTTTGTGTATTTTTAGAATGTCCTTCCGGACGTCGTTCATTTTCAACAGATCGCTACTCTGGAGAGTGAAGAGAAACCATCCGAAATAGATACGGCCCGGAATAGTGAACTCTCACAAGATGCTATACAAATGGAAAGTATTAGTGATATGGATTCTGTCTCTGAACAGATTCCCTCCAAAGTTGAATATTCCCTTTCTGATGCTGATGTGAGCCAAGGAAAGGCAGGTAACATTCTCAAGGTGGATGTGGACCTGTCAAAGAGTGCCTCCCCAAACTCACATCATTCAAATTCACCCTGTATTGATAAAAAATCATGGAGCTTTGATGTTGAATCTTCTGAAATACACATTAGTAATGAGAGTCCAGTTAATTTACCATCTTCAGATACATCAAAAGAAGTTGAAAAAATTAAACCCAACTCAAGTGAACATGAAGTTGAATCCCCCAAGAGCTATTCTGATTCATTGAACGATCAGCCAAGTAAAACATCTCTTTGTGACCAGTATTCAATTGAACATAACAGTATTAAAAATGAATCTCCAGATAGGTTTAGTTCAGGGTCAGATGAGGTAATTAAATTAGATATAAGAGGGCAAGGTGCTCCAAAGTTTCCTTTAGAGACGGCCAAAATTATATTTGGACCACCACCAGACTCTGAAACTGTTATTTGTCCTAATATTGGGATTCCATCTGTTTTTCCGCTACTGACACCCATAAGCACAGATGCTATGAACATGGGGGGTTTATTTCCTGAGCAACCTATACACTGTACAGAAAACATTATTATAGAGGAAATATTTGATGAGCCAGAGAAGTTACTTTCAGAAAAATCTAGTGATGGTAGTGAAAAGGATGTGTTGATAGAAGAAGTTACAGTTAATTATGCTAAAAAGCAGGATGAACAGCCAAAATCCTTTTTACCAGAAGAGACAATGTCATTTAGTACAATCACAGATTACAAGACAATCTGTGAAGAGTACAATGTCAAGGTATTATTTGCTTGTGTGCTGTGTTTGCTTGATGTGTATTCTATGTGTATGTGTAATAATGCTACTAACACAAATTGCCTGCTACAACTGCATGTTGCACTTGCACTATCATACCTTTAAATGCACTTATGCTTTGTGAATTTTTGTCTGAAATAAATTATTTTGGTTTTTTATTTATTTTTTAGTAATTAATAGGGAAACATATGAGGCGTTTCTAAGTCCTTTAAAAGCCTATAAAAAGATCCCATAGACACTAGTCTATAATTAAAGCAGCTATAAAGGTTTCTGTGTTTGTACTTGATAATAATAAAATCTCCAAGCTGATTTGACTTGCCAGCTATTGCTGTAATGCCACAATTAAAATTTTAGTACTTTTGCCAGTCTTACTTTATTTGCCTGCATTGGCTATGATGTTTCAAGCTTTTCATCGTTTCAGCTTGTGCATTTGGAAGAAGCTATAAACCAGCGCGAACAGCTTATTCAGGAACTCACCATCTCATTGCAGAAATCAAATCATGATCGCAAACAGCTTAAACTTGAGAATGATCATCTGTGTGCAGAGGTACAGCAACTGCAACATACAGTAGCAGAACATTCATTCTCTGAGCATGATACAGTCAAAGGACAGCTTTCCGACTTCATTAAGTATCAAACCTTAGTTAAGGGCGATAGTACAAAATTTTACTCTGCTGTAATGAGTGGGACGACGTCGCTACAAAGTTCGAATGACGAAAAAGATATGGTACGGGAGGAGATAACAATCAACCATTCAAAATCCGAAGATTTTCAAACAGGTTTTGAGAACAAACTATCCATATTGCTCAACAAGTTCGAAGGCTATATAGAAGACAACTTGAAGAATAACCTTAGAGAGAGTCTGATTCAAGTGTTATGTGATGAAATTGGTATCATGAGATTGGAATTTGAAACGGATATGAGGCAGCTGGAGAGTCAATTGCAGCAAGATAAGGATGCGTACGCAGCTGAGACGAGACGGCTTAGGGAACTATTGTCATCTGTTAAAGCTGGCAATGCCGACATTGATGACCTCAGAAAGGAGTATGAGAAAGAAATGCAAGATTTGCGAACATTCTTCGAAGAAAAGTGCTCAGATATTGAACGAAGGTGAGTTTAAATGAAATTTTAAAAATATATTGTTTACGGTGTTCGTGTTGAATCAAACTGTTTTACGCTTTGCTTTTCAAGACATAATTTTTTTTTATTAATATATACATTATATTATAATTTTGTCAAGCTGCGTCAGCGACTTCGTTCGCGTGGAATAGTTGGGCACTTTGGGCATCCAAATTTGTTCTTTGTGAACCTATTTAAGCTTTATAAATTTAACAACATCAGATCGGGTCCCGTCGTTCTTGCAAGTCAATCTTAAAGGATATAAATATAGTATTGCTGTCATTTTTTTAGATAATTTAAAGAGGAATAATGCATTCATACATATTCTTGGGTGCCTTTAACCGTTTTCGCAGCGTACGCATCGGAAACCCAGAGAGATGAATAATTTCCCCCGTCTTTTTTTTACATTTCTTGCTGTTTCTTAGCTTCTGTTAGTCACGGCGCGATGTTTCCTTGATAAATGCCCTAACTGGCACAAAAATAATTTTTCAATTCGAACCAGTAGGTCTTGAGATTAGCGCGATCAAACAAACAAACTCTTCAGCTTTATATATTAGTATAAATATTACGGAAGGGCATATATTTTTTAATACATTAAACGCTTTTAAAAATATGTAAAAATGTTTTCAGCTACTCCGAGGAGGTGTTACGTGACCGTGTGTCTGCATCAGCTGGTTCCTCGGAGGAGGAACTTGGGGCTGGTGATGCGAGACGCCGTCGGTCGTCTGCGTTACCTTCTATTCAAATGGAGGTATAAAATATCTTAATTAAGCTTATAGTTGCATAACTGAATAATATTCGTGAGTTAGAAAAAAAATGTGCAAGTTGTATGTTGCAAATGACAATCAGTCTATATAATATTTTCACAGACATCGACACCAAAAGAGCTGATACACAGACAAACACACAAAAAACATGAGCAGCAATTGGAAGAATTGAAAAGTGAGCATTTGGCATATGTCAACGACCTTCAAGCGAGACATAAAGAGGAGATCGCTTCCCTTGAAGAACAGGTAAAAATTAACTTGCCACAATTTCTATTCTATGCTGCAATAGAGTCATCTACATCATAAATATATCTTTATTTTGTATATAAAGCATCAATATTGTCATCTACAGATTACAGACCTAAAAGCACACATACAGACTGCAGAGAACACAGAGGGAAATCTGTCATTTCCTCAGGACATTGATTCCGAATTGGAAAAGGTAAAAACATTATGCAATATTATTTGGCCTCTGTAATTATAGGCTGCTGCATCTTTTCTCTCTCGAAATAAATAATACAAATTTAATTTCCTAAATATATGCCTCCTATTGCCCTTCTCGGTCTCAAATCAAAGATCGATATTTTCTGCATACATATGTTGTTTCAAGAACAGATAAATATCAAAAAGTTTTGAGAAAAGGTTGCATCAGCTCTATATATACATTAAGCCCTGTCCCATCATGGGTGTTGTTGAACCCTATTAACTAAAATGTATAGCGATCCTCGAGCTAAAAAAAACGGTGAAATGGAATTTGCATGAAACTACATCATTCTGGTGTTTTGGTACCTTGTTTTGTTAAATCACTTTACTTAATAATTATGTAGGGTTTCTAAAACTTAAAATATATTTTTTAGAAGTCAAGTGAAGCGGATAATCCAGTGAATGATTAATTTCAAAATTCTTCCATATAATCATCGCTTATCTAGATCGCCACCCGGTCCCCAATATATTTCTAATAAATTCATATTTTTTGAAATATGTTTGATTTCGCCTGGAAATCTGGATAATAATAATAATGTGTCGATTATTCCGCCTGGACCACGAAGGACCGTTCCCAGGTGAAAAAGTCGTGAAGTTATTCGCGTTTTGGTTTCAGCCAGTGGATTTCCGAATATCCAAAGTCAAAATAGGTCAACAACGCATCTTGTTGAGATCGTTTTTACAAATTTTGTAAAAACAAGATGCCAAGAATAAAGCATAACTTCTTAAAATTGTTTGCTAGGTACTTTGGAGAGAAATTCTAGTTTCCCATTATTCCAAAACAAAACATGTCATAATCAAAATTTCCATTGTAAATATGTACTAAATACAACCATATAAATGTTATTGAGAATCAAGACAATTCTGTTCATAAAGTTGATAAATATTTTAGTATTTTTACAGAATACCTATAGAGGAAGTAATTTTTAACGAATTATCTTGAGGCTAAATTTATATACACAATACAACAACTCTTTTGTATGACATGCAAAATTATATTAAATGTGCAATATGAAGCACATTCCATTCTTTGTTACGACTTTAAATACAGCGGTTTACTAAACTTAATATGTAGAATAACCATTTAGAATAACTTTTGCTAACGTGTTATTTTTCATCATCTTTAAAATACTACGATACTATTACGTGTTACTTTTCTGGTACATTAAGTTATTGTATTGTTATATTGTCTGTGTGTAAAGTACATTTATATAACATATGCATGGTATGTACTAACCGCTCGCGTGTGGCAGGCCCGTATCGACCGAGTACGACAACAGGTGCTACAAGAGTTTCAAGATCAAATTCAGGTATGTATGGACTCTCACAATGTAAAAGCTCTAATATATCTGTCACATTAAAAGCATATCAACTATATCAACCTCAATCATGTGTAAATATTGCACTAATATGTTTTTACCTGGCTCGAAGGACCATTTATTCGCATATTTAATAATACGACTTTAAATGGAGATTATAATGCATTAATTGACATTGTAATATAGGTAGGTTCTATACGAAATTACGCACATTTTCAATATGACCTGCCAAACCTTATATAAAAAGGAATAGATCATTAAACCAGGAAGATTTTTAGTGTTGCCAAATGAATTGGGGTCGCGGTAAATCGCACACTGTCGCTTATACTCTTATCTTTAGGCCAGTAATACTTGGCAAATTAAAAAGGTTACATAAAAACTTTAGTATATAATTGTAATATAACAGGCTCTTAAGTAGCTTTGAAAATCCCACACGATCCTAAATCCTAGTTTCTACTGCTTTTAATTTAAATATGCAATATATTTTTGTTGTGACCAAGATTGGTACTTATGTAATTTATATACTGAAATAACAAAATAACTACATTTTATACAGCAACTAGATATTGTTACTGGTATCACATTTACATTTACTCATCTCCTCTTTTCGCGTAATTTGAATTTACATATATAGCTTCCGGAGCCTTGGTCCACTCCACCTCTAGGCCCAAGGCCACAGAAAGTATTTACTTATTAATTAGTTATCTATGGTTTATAAATGTCGTATATAATCGGCCCATGCTGGCCAAGCGCCAATGGTAAAAAGTACCATTAATACAATCGAGGTTCCTTCTTCTCAAATGGAGCAAGGTCTGTAGTTGTTGTGACGATTTCGGCATGTACACAACTTTCCCGCGCTTTTATTTCGGATTACAGCGGATTTAAATAATCGATTCGATTTTTTCCATTCAATCGATTAATCGCTAATGGAAAATAAATGAAAATCGTTTTAAAAGAGTTTAGAAAGTGATGCCTGATCGGAATTATTTGCGTTTAAGACAGTTGCGTGTAAGTAAAATATAATTATTTTTTAGTTTTATAACAACAGACTACTTATGAAGCTTAATGAGCTAATATAGCTTAATAGTTGTGCTATCCTTTATCTGGGTCTGAAGGCCTTCTTGTCGCATAAATTAAACCATTTCATTTGAAGGTACAACTGTTTTGTTAAAATTGAACTTGGACTAGAAAATTATAGAACATCCTTAAAAATTTAGTATTTTTTTTTAATAATCGTTGCTTAAACTCGGTTACGGTTTGAAAAAAATATATTGTTACGAGTTTGAATCGTGGTTCACTTCAGTTATTTTGAAGTTTATTTAAATTTTCGTCTAAATGTACTGTAATTAGTATTTTATAGTAGTCGGCGTGGTAAAGTGTATTGTATCTTTAGACGTCCCCACTCATCGGGGCTGCCTTGGCTTGGCGCCAGACTCAGTGACATTTTTCGCGTGAATGACCCGGTTTTTGACCACGCTGTCTCGTTCATTTACTCTTGTTAATACTATATTAGGTCTAGACTGTTTTGCGCTTTTCGAGAGTTATTCATCGATTCGGAAAAAGGTTCGGGTTTTTTAAGTATACAGATAAGAACTAATATTATTATGATGAATATATCAACTGATGTTATCAAATATTGTAGTTTAAAACTGTTAAAATTTTATTGCGTCACATTCTATTGCATTAGTTTCGTCCCACGTTTTATTTGATACAGTAGAGCCCAACTCAAACCCATTCAAAATTCAAAGCTTTCGTCACACTGAGCTGCCCCCATATGGGGATCAATTTTGTGATACAAGATATTTGCAAAATCTTACAAATACTGCTTCTAACGCACATCTTCCTTCTGACAATGTCATGGAACGCAAACAGGACCAATGCTGTTTATTTTAAACAAACAAAGACCGTCAGCTGCGTAATCAGCACTAATTTCCTTTATTAACTGCTAAATCTCCTTAGAAACTTGAATGCCTAATGGAAGGAGTACAATAAGCTATATTTGTTTTACCGTTTAGAAAAGCTTAATCAACACAAACAATAATGTATATAATATTAATGAGTTTGTTTTGAAAATCAGTTTTTGTGATAAGGAGGGTCAGCTGACGGACCTCAGTGTCGCGTTAGACTTGTATACGTTACGTGTTCCGATATATTTAATAATATGGGTGATATTTTAGTGAGTATTTGTTTGGTTATTGCTTTATTACAGAAGGAGGGGGTGGGTTTTTCGTTTATAGATAATTGTGCTTTGTGAGTGGCAGATTACGAAAAATTGGGCCAAATGCGTAATATAGCTTTCGTATTTCATATTGACCTTTCAAATTGTTTTGGATTGTTCAAAACTTTTTTACCTGTGTTAAAAGTTGGTCACTTTACGTTTAGTAGACAAAACAAAAAAATAAATCGACTGTGTAAACTGAATTTAATTTATAACCCTGAAACAATTCCAAACTATACTAAATTTAACAATTATCTACATTTTAATGTATGCACTGAACAATAAAGTAGGTTTTTTGAAGTAACGACTACATTGTAACGAAACTTTAACACTTAACACTAATAAATAACTCCAAGAACTGTTCAATGTTCTTTACCCAATTACTAGTTAAATTAATTGTAGTTAAATGATGTAAAGATGCAGCTTAAAGATTTTTACTTAACACAGGTGCTACTGTCAGATCCTGACGCGGAGTTGTCTAGCTGGCCTCTTGAACTGGTGGCTCTAAGGGACAGAATTCATGCAGACAAAGCACAAGAAAAAGAGGTATGTTAAATACTGTCTATAGTTTATGCGAGTAGTACACATTTAAATAAAACACTTTAACGGTTTAAAACGCGATATATTAGTTAAACTTATTTGGAAATGATTTTTAACTTCGGCCCGACGTTTCGGATGCTTTGCAGCAGCCGTGGTCACGGGGAGACTCCCCTCCCCGTGGGGGTATCGCGTTTTAAACCGTTAAAGTGTTTTATTTAAAAGATGTATGTTAATTTTATGTTCTTCATAGAATCAGGTTATGTCAATGCCAATTAACGACATTAAGACCTACATGGTTACAAATATTTTTAAGACGTTTTATTCAGATGTCGACTCTTGTTTATCTATAGGCTTACATAAGACAATTCTTCTTATGTAAAATGATTTTTGTTTTGAGAAAACAACGGTTGTTTCCACTTGCGAAATCCACCTAAGAAAGATATAATTACGGCCAAGTTTTGTAACAAATCATGAAAAAATCGTAATGCATAATTTTGATTAAAACCTTTATATGAAAACTGAATAAAAAAGAACTGGCAAGAAACTCGCCGCCACGTCTTTTATCGCCAAGTTTTATTGTACAGTCTTCAAGTGATAAGTACACTACATACATTTTTCTTGTTAGAGCGGGTTCCTAGAAATCCCTAGCATTTTCGTCGTTTAAATATTGATAAACGTCATAATAATCCTTTCCAAGCGATTTTTGTTTTTCCAACGATTTAAACTTGTGTATCGATCACTAGGGATTTTATAAAAATATCGTAGGCAATCTTGAAAATAATTATAACTTTTATGAAGTCTTTTGGTTGGTACACTTATTTTGTTCTTATTACGTGTATTGTTCTGATCAAAATTGTTGTTCGTTTTGAAAGTATTGTATTGTAATTTTTACTAATATACAATTACAAAAACATGAATATTTTGCTTTACTAACGTTAGAATATTCAACGCTTTTAGATCATATCGGTCACGTGTGGACAGACCACAGATCTTTTGCGTTAAGCCATTTTGAAATCCTGTCCATCCAAATTAAACGCGATTCCTGTAATCGTGTTAAATTCGTCGGCCACAGTGATTCGTTTAGATTTATGGTTAGAGCAAATGATACGAGTCACGCTGCGAGAATGCGAGGGTGGCCCGTATTTATAGACTACCCTCCATAGACTTATTTGTTGTTTCGCCGGCATGTCGAATTGACCTGCTTGCATTAATTTTCCCTGTGAAATAATGTCAACAGGATCTAAAGTCATGTTCTGGCATGAGCAAATGAAAATGCATGTTTTTTGAGGCCGGTAAATGACTTTAAATTTTGATAACATCATTTCTTACTTGAGAATCGTCCCTATAAACTAATGTAGGTGATAAGCCGCTTTCAACTAAATATTGCTTTCATATACTTACTACGCGTATACAACAATCCTTGGTGTACCTTTAAGCTTGTGTCATTCTATGTGTGCCCCAACTGATTTGCTTAATCTGTGCCCTGTATTGGATTGTTATTTGATCGCTATTCGTATTGATTCTGTGGCGCTAGCTGTGATTAACTTGCCGTTGATGGAGTTTGCCGATTGACAAAGGGGTTCCACAGAACGGATAACTGGGATCTTGCGAATATCTCTATATACTAGATATCTATATAATATTAGTGTTTAGGGGAAGGCTAGCTACATACTTGTTATAGGTATTGCAATATGCTTTTAAATGATAACTCGACTTGTATTGAACTTTGATATCGAATCTTCTTCAAATATTTTGATGTAATTTAGTTTCATCCTTGTTTCTTTCTTATTCGATATTTGTTTAATTGTTGTTTTCAACCCTTTTTTGCGATATATCTTGCTTTTTTGTTTATTAATCTTATTGAAGTCTTGGCAGAACTATAACAAATACTTGTTTCTTTATATTTTACGCGATCAGTATTTTAAAGCAACCAATTTTATTGTTGAATAAATCAGTTTATATACAGAGCTAAGTAGTGAGGGTTCACTCACCGTCCGGCTAATTATAAGTTTAACATTTATTTCCTATGCACAGACGCCGACGTCTAATCTCATGCACTATTCCACAAGCGCACTTCGTGGAGCAAGACATTGTTAAACAGCTAATTAGTGTTTAAAATAAATACGTGAGGATTTCCAAAACATGGCACATGTTCGTATTCGTCTAGTATGCGCGTGAGAAAATAGAAAAACAGTAAAAATTTTCTTATCGGTTATATAAAAAATTATAATGGAAATATTAGATAAATTGTATTATAATTTTGTATTGTATGTCTTCGCTTATACATATTTTTAACGGTCGTTCACAGATATTAACCAATCAATTGAACTTTATATACAACGGAGAGCAAACAGATACCTACATAACAGAAATACCTAACTCACAATTTCTTAACATCTATTACGTGTACTCTAAGAGGAAGTGGGCAATACGCTAATTTAGTTTGAACGTAGCGATAACGACGTTTTGTAACGGCGCTCTGAGAGCCAGATGGACCTAATGCAACTGTTTGATCGTTACATTAGGATACTCGAGATAAATATCGTATGGGTCGTTTATTGCTGGCCGTACCGTGGTACTGTTGAGTGCAAAACTCTTAAGAACGAATAAAACGTCAGAACTGCTAACGAATAGGCGTATGCGCAAAGCATCTATTGCAATCTTACACACACTTACACACAGGTGTTAGCTTGCTAAAAAGTTCCAATTTCAGTTACTTTAAAATGAACTAGGTTACTGTAGTAGATGAACTACTATTGCTGTATGCATATAGTGTACAACAAAATACAAACTAAAAAATATACAAGCAGGATTAAGTTTTGAGAAAACTAAAGATTGCCAAAACGTAGTTTTACACAAATCTTAATCATGTCAAATAACATTTGGGAACTTGATGAATACATTGTGAAATGCTTTCACGGCCACCGTTCAGCATCGAATAATTATGTAATAATAATATAACATAATTCTTCGAGCAATCGAGGAGTTAACGTCTCCTGATGATGCCGTCCGCACGTGATAACGAAACGTCGAGAACCTCTTCTCGGTCACGTCGGCCGAACAGCCCGAAAGACAATGATATGTTTTTAAACGGGTAAATGTAATTGTCAATAGTGTGCCATACTAAACATTAAAATAAATACATTTTGTGTACTTAATTATTTAATTTGATTGCAGTGGCATAATTTTATTGATAATTAGGTAACAAATTATTTACTTTTCAATTCAACTCTCGGGTAAGGCCAGAAATAACGCTTCTCGGGCAATACAGTATTCAAAATTTATCCACAATGTCCTTGTATGCCACAGCTGTACTAAAGATACTGAATCAGTAATGTGTGCACAACCCTAATTGATATTTACGAAACTAATTAGTTTCACATTGAATATGTGATAAAGCCTATTTCTTGAGATTTTCCGTCACTTTTCGTAACTATTTTATAATCGATATTGTTGAACTTATTTGAAAATGATTTTTAACTTCGGCCCGACGTTTCGGATGCTTTGCAGCAGCCGTGGTCACGGGGAGACAAATTTTTCTCGGGGGGGTTTGCTGCTCCCAAGCATCCGAAACGTCGGGCCGAAGTTAAAAATCATGTTCAAAAAAGTTTAACTAATATATCGCGTTTTAAACCGTTAAAGTGTTTTATTTAAATGTGTACTTCTCGCGTAAACTATAGACAGTATTTAATCGACACTAAAATGATTGAAAGAAACCGAAAATTGTTTTACCTACCATTCCTTTCTGTTTTATACTTTAGAATTTTTTCAAATATCCAGGAGAGTAATCCTTTTAGGTAAAGTTAAACAGTGTAGGCAAGTAACAAATTAGGCTAGCTTTACAGAAAAGTTATGTATACCAATTCTAGGAATTCGTCTCATAAACGCATCTTCCGTATGCATCAAAGACCAATATTTTCGGCTTTTTTATAGCACAGACGTTATGCCATATGTGTTTTTTAATACGCCTTGTGGTCCAGCTGAGGGGGGAATGTTGGGTAAACGAGTACGCTATTTATAGATTTATACTACAGCATCTAACGACACTGTACTTAAGTAAAATAAAATACTATATACATATTATGTAATAAACACAGCTGTTTCTAGAAATTAAGAAACGTCCTTAAAATAAGTTCTAAAAAAAGTTCTTAAATCTTGTTTAAAATCGTTAAAGAGTGGTTTAATTCGAGTAAAAAAATAAAGTACTATGGCGTATAATATAAAGAGTTTACTCTTAATATAATTTGTGCTTGTATAGTCTAATCTGACGACAGCGATGTCAAAACAGAGAGAAATTTTGTTTTATTTCTTATGCGAGATTAGTAATGACAAACATGGAGTTCACGTGATGGAAGGTAAAATACACGATCCATGTAACATTTTAACAAGATGATCTGTCATCTCATTTTTGTTTTGGACATTCGTGACTGTGCGTGTTTAAGAAAAACATGATTAAATCTGGTGGCAATCGAACCTACCACTCTATGATTATTTATTATTAGCTATACATTTTCACTACAAAACTCAACTATTAAACAAAACGTTGTGCCGCGTATATTTCACGTTTTAAACAACGGTTTAATAAAACACTGTAACAATAGTGTTTTATTTAATATTAAACTGATGTTATTAATCAAGGTCTCGCAGTAGAGTTTAATAATGTTATACACACGATCCTCATTGTCTCAGCATGCCTGAGCCATCTATGGTTATATCTAGTGTGAATTGCCACGCCATCTTACCGCCCTACACAGCTTCCCACAACTCAAGCACCGGAGACGGGGCCCACAAGTGTTCCCTAGAGGACACGTGTTCGTCCTTTGTTCTTTATCGTATTCAGACCACCTCCTGTGGCGTAGCATAATTGTTTAATGAAGCTTCTACACATCTTTGTTCATTTACAAATATCTTTATGGAAGCGGAAAAACTATTACTTACTCGCGATTACTTACTCAATGTAACAATGTCTTGGGAAAATTTAAATCATTTATCCTAGCTAAAGGAAATGCTTTTTCAATTAATGTAAATCTTTCACCACTCCGCAATGTTCGAACTTAACGATCTGTGTGCGCTAAATTATTTCACTGTGCAATTGGTACCGTCAGCAATGTAATTATTAAAGCGAACAAATATTTAAAACGCATAGCCACTGTTTCTAGACCTTTAATAATAAATGTGTAACGTATGGCAGGACCTATTGTGTAAACTGTAAACCGTGCATGCATACAGGATGTGATCTATACTTGGAGAAGACAAATTTTATGGGGAGTCGATTTTACAGGATACCACAAAGTGGGTCGCGGTAACGAAGAATTTAGAATATTACGTCATCAGCTCCCTAAATTTGGATATAACTTGTATATATTACGTATAATTAAAATATGTGTCTGTATAAAATAGCATACTGCTGACTTTGCTTAGAAAGTGTTGGCAAAAACAATATTGTAACCGTGGACCTGTGGACCCTAATTTTCTTTTAACTTATGTTCCTTACGTATATGTGACAATAATAATGTTTATTTCGTCAGGAATCGATTGACACCCGTTTTACTGATTTTAAACTTCCCAATTAAAGAACAAAAGACTCAATCACGAAATTATTTCATCATTTACCTTTGGGAACCTGTGTTCAACTACAAGTCAAAAATAGGAACGCAACTGACATTTAAACGAAAATACGCCCATTTAAATCAATCTAAGTGTATCTCCGTACAATAAATTTCCATTTGAGACGTGTAGATCCGTTTAGAATACGACGGTGCGGTCTGTCTGCTTCGATTCAACTTCCGTTTGATAATTAGTTCTTTGATAATTACTTACTTCTGTTCTATTAAGAAAGACATCTATTTTACTAACGTAAATTTATACCAATTACTGATACTGATCAGATTTAAATTTATAACGTTAGTATTATTCAGTTGTATTGCTCTTACACATAATACAAACATTTATTTATACTTCCAAGAGGAAGGTAACACTCTTAAAAACTTTTGGATCCATATCATACTTTCAAAATAGCTGTTGTTTGGGCTGTATGTTTTTTGACAAAATTAATTAGTTAGTGCTTAAGTATAAAACAATTTTACATCTAATTACAGAGAGCTTCGTTTATCATTTGCGAAGTATCCCGAAAAATCTCCTGCATCAGACGTCAATAACATAATTTATTAATACTCTAAACGGATAGGTTTCCCTAAACGAATGCGTGTCAGATGCAGCGTCCCGCTTACAACTTTGTAAACATCTCAGTGCACGCCAGGGAGCGTCGGTGGCGCCCGTTCTATTCGTATCATATACCAACGCGATAAGTGCACGCGAATATCTATCGTAGAGTTCTATACTACGATTTATTTTTACTTGCAGTGAACAATGGATATTTATTAGAGTGTTTATATTATTGTGTTCGTGCGTTATGGATTTATAGACCACAGTTTGAATTTTATAAGGAGTTAGCGTAAGGCGTGAGCTTGGCTTAAATTAATATTAAGTGGTGTTAATCCGTCTTTAAGTTTTCATCATGGCTTAAACTGAGGTTACTTGCTCGTAGACGTATTAAGCTTTTTATGTTTTGTCTAGACATAACGTAAACAAATATAGCCCATTGATGTTTGTCTTAAGAAATGTTAGATGCTTAAATCCGATATATAATAAGACTTTTTGTTAAATGTTAATAATTAAAAAAATTTCGACTTTCTCAATATATAAACAAATAAAAACGCGCGTAAGATCAACTTTATAAGGAACCTAATTCTTACTTGATAGTTAAAAAATCCAATATTTGCAATGCTCATTAATTAAAAAAAAAAATTAAGTCGAAAAGGACGATTAAACAAAACTGAATATGAAAATCCTGCCTCCTGAGCGTCTACGTTAGCGGGGTCGTCGATCTAGACTGTATAAAGCTTTGTTTAAAATTAATTAAAACTTCGTTTTTTTCTGTAGCAGATGTGCCGTATTGTCGCTTCCAAGTACCTACTCATATGAGATCAGCATTATAGTGTTATTTTATCTTGTCGAGAGATTACAAAAAATACATATTAGAAATATTTCATGTAACTTATCTAAAAATAACCTTAGCAAAGAATATTAGCTAACTTAATAATAATTTTTAGTAATACCCATTCACAAGATGCTTTTAAACTTATTTAATTACTATTTGATTCCGTTCTGCTATAACATCCTTTTTATCATTCTTCAATGAGTATATTTGGTATCAAGATCATCGTCCCTTTTAAAGGGAATACTTTATGTGGGACATAAAAATCTTTTCCCCTAAGCATAGTTCTCACCGAGGGGAGTCTGTTAACGTTATTACGTTTTATCTAATCAGAGCTGTGATATTTGTTACATGTATGGTCTAGTGTTATGAATGCTTTACTACTAAATAACTTAAATATAATAATATCAACACCATCATATTTATTATCGCTTAAAATCTAAACAGTCAATAAAAATGTATCTCGAATCATTCTGATAATCGAACTAAGTATATGTGATTAAATATTTGTTTAATGTATGTGAAAGTACGCTGAGAAATCAGATTTAAGTTTTACACACGACTTTTTAATCAAACTCTCAAATACTGACGATAAAATTCATTTCTATTATATAATAAAACAAACACACACACACATTATGGCTAATGTAGAATAAGGAAGGAAATAATTATTATTCGTAACAAATACACGTGTTCCGTCTCAAAGCAAATAGAGCTGCAATATATCACTCAATACAGTTATGCTGTCTCAGTCATTTTGTATTATTCAGTTATAATAAATCGTAATGCAATATTATTAAGGAATACATTTCAATGGAAATGACTTTAAGCTCGGGGATGTGTTTACCCTTTACAGAATGGTGATAAGCGTTATCGTAGCACTATTCGTGAAGACATACGAGCTAATTTTAAAAAATACTTTCCTCTAGCAAAGTAAAATTACTAGTAATTTCGATATAAATGACATAGATGTAGCCTAAGTTTTAAAAAGAATTCCCATGTCATGTCCGGCCACACGTAGTCTTGTTTACTTTTGAATGGATTTTATTTCCAACGCAGCTGTTCCCGTGTCGCAACCCCTCCATTGTTTCAAACTATTGGGAATTTTACAATCGTAAACTATGTATAGTCTACCTTAATTTGGCTATACAAATTTATAATATTGTTAGCCAAAAAACAAAATATCAATATAAAAGAGTAAAGTAATTATTGTGAACAATAATTCAAAAGTGCCCTTTAGTCTTAAATTTGAGTAACAATTAATTACTCTTGTTTAACAATACAGTACAGTTTCTAAATTTAAAAATGCTGCTCCGAGTAAATACGAACCAATATGTGTTATACCTGTTACGTTAATTTTTTATATATTTTGAAGGTAGTTGCTTATAACACTAAAAGACGAAGGATACTTCGAATTAAAACTAGTTATACCAGTGTTGACTTACTAAGCTGTCTGTTTAGTGTTTGATTATATATTTCATGCATTATTGTAGTGTAGTGTTTCACTTCTCTAAGAAATGAATAAGGGATTTCAGCATGCGAGTCGATTAGGAGAATTATCGACCCATGTCAATAGAAAATGTTGGTATTTTGTTTCTTTTTTTAGGTTATAATTATGTATGGAATTGTATTTCGTTGTATATTTTCCTATAAAGATTTCTTAAATTGGATAGTTGTATTTTCAGAATGTCTATGAGGTTTTTTTCGTTTTGATAAATATTTTAATCGTTTTAAGATAAAACAGCGTTCATTCAAGAAGAATTAGTTCTATTTATATAGTATTAAGTAAAACACAGTTTTGAGACTTTGTATTGACGAATCGACATTTCTACACATGAGCTAATCTAGTATTCTTCAAAGATTCTTAATAAGAATACATTGTGTTTAATACTTTGTTGTATAATAATTTATCTGGCATTCAAAGCGTAGAAGTATCATCTCTGAAAGCTAATTTAAAACCAAGGTACTCGTATACAATGGAACTATATTTAGACTTAAAAGGAATAAACTAGGACACTACGATACTCGGTTTAAATAAAGGCTAGTATAATTTTAATAATAATGCATTTCATTTTCTATATACACTAAAGCGTCAAACCTTCAAACGTTAAAAAAACATCCACTTTATAAATTGGCATTACTCTCACGATGAAATCATGGCTATTTCGCCCTCATTCAAAGTGGGTCGCATTTATTATTTGTAACACTTGTTATCTTTGCCTTGTTATTGTATTACTGTAACGGTTTTCTAAAATTATATAGGTCAGCCAAATTGAAAAAGATAAATTCCCGATTATAAGTATTATGGGCAGATTTGTTTAGATTGATCTACGGTAATAACAAATATATCGGAAAATTGAGGATCTATGCGCTCTGATTTAAAATACAACTTCCTTTCCTTAGTTTGGATTACAAACAATTTATATCGTGCAAGAGACAGACATCTCATCATTTATTGTCTGTAAATATTGACAGAGAATTGTGTTTTTCCCATGCAAAGCAAAGATGCTGTAAGTTAAACCTTTGTTTCAAATGCTTCACATTTAGTGATCACGGAATGTTCAATATACTTCTCAAAGTATTTGAATAATTATCGTAGCACTAGCTTTCCTTAAATGACGGATTAAAGCCTAGCTCACTTCTTATAATAATATGGTGTATTAAAAGGAGCGATTGTACAAAAATGATGGTTATCTGCTAAAAATTGTAATAAGATGGACAAAATAATAGTTAGTAATTGATAGACTTCAAGATGTGATATCAATATGGTTGTGCTTAGAAGATTTATGGTATGTCATTTACTTAAATCAATACTCTAGATTTTTGCTTGGGCACGTTTTTTTTAAAGAGTAAAATTAATAAATTATTTTACTTCAAAAGAAAACGTCTAACAAGACACAAACTTGTGACAAGGTTTTATTTATGAATTAAAGATTTGCATTGATTGATGTATTGTATGATGTAATTTCATAAACAGTTGTCGGGTCTCCGTGAGGAGGCGTCTGTAGGCGAGGGAGATAAATGGCGACAGAAGAGGAACAATAGCTTCGACCAGAACAGGCGGCTCGAGGAAGTTACTAAAGAAAGGTAGGTTTGAGCAAATATAATTGATTCTCTATAGAATAAACTTTGCCTTACTTAGAAATATTTCCCATAACAATTTTTTATTAAAATAACTATTTTTAAAATTAAGAACCCTTTAAATGTTTTCAGGGACGGTCTAAGGCGTGTAGCTAATGCTTTGCAGCGAGCTGTGGCGCAGTTGGTGGCGTACTGTGCAAGCGCTGAAGACGAGCTTAATCGCACAGTGTTAGCACAACTCCTGCCTAAACTACTACCTAATGAATCGTTAGTACATTAATATTATCAATATTAAAAAAGATGTATGCTTTGCGTTTATGTTCATATACATGTCTAGCATATGTTTTGAAAAACAGCTCCATGAAGTGCTTAAGGTTATGCTTGTATATTATTCTGACTTTATGCTTTATTATTATACTAACAGTCTCTTTATACGAAATTAGTACTTAATAAATGTATTTTTCAATGATAGAGGACAAACGAGTATGGGGTTATAAAATTTAGGTGGACCCAGAAAGGCGATTAAACTTGTCTAAACGATTTCTTTAATCTGTGGACAAGAGCGCCTGGCAGTGATATGAATTGCTCCCTAGGTTAATAGATTCACTTAATGATTCAGTTTATAAGGCAAGTTCTATCATGCTTTCGGACTAAGTTTCTGTGGGTGGTCTTCTCAGTTATGTTGCTCTTTTGAACACAGTAGAATCACGACAAACAGACAGACGAACAAAAGAATTTGACAAATCTAAATAATTTTGGGTATAATTTTAAAGAGACTCAAAGTACAATTTTTCTTTTTTTATGCTACGTTATAGTAGCATATGTGGTTAATAATCTACTATCGAGTCCGTCAAAATAATTAAAGAAAAATTACACTAAACATGTGTATAAGTAAAAGTCTTTAAATGAATACATATTTATATTACGACCGTTTGTCTGACAGTAAATTCTATTTTGCGAAGTTACAAGCGAACCGCTGGACATTCGCCAGGCGAATTATATTTGCGGGTAAATAAAACTGACAGCGGACTCCCGGTGCAAATATTAACTTTGACGTCGCGTTGGTGAATTATGAATATTCATTATTGCATCCGAAATTAGTATTCTTGAAAATGTTTCACTTTCTCTGTTTATTTGAGGCTGACTTATGTTTTTATTTCATTATTGTTAGGGATATTTGGATCAACAGTTTACAAAAATGAATAATGGCGCATGTTATACTTGTTATAATATTAATAATTTAAAGTTATGATTTAAAAAAGAGTTAAATGATTTATAATACAACTTAGAAACCATGTAACTTATGTCCTATATGTGTTTGCCACTGAAATTAATAAATAATAGTTGAAGAATAGCATAACCCTTTACGTTCCCTTGATAATACAACGATGGGAAAATATAGTATGTACCATTCAATTAAAACACGATACTCTTAGCATAAAGACTAGTGAGATCGATATATATAATGACCTTTCTATTAGCGCAACGCAAAATAAAGGGTTTTGTAAACGGGGAGCGACATCATCAGTGATCTATAGCAATAAAGAAATATAATATATATTAATAAGAAACCATGTTTTTAATTTACAGCTCCTTAGAAGACGATTCACGACCGACAACACCAGACCTCAGCACTAGCCTGGTCTCCCGCGGGAAGCATGTCCACTTTGCGCCAGATCTAGACGCGATCCTCGGGTCTCTCGACGAGGACGGGGTGCTAGGTTTCCTGCAGCAGCAGCGAGACCTCAGTGCGGAACTTAAGAGGGAGTTGGAGCATTCTCTAAGGAGGCTGAGGCACGATGCACAAGAACTCTTGGAGCTGACTAGCAAGTTGACTTTGAATAGTAAGTTCTGTGCCTTAAGTATAACGTCTTGCTTCTATAGCCAACGCAAATATTATACACTAGCTGTGTCCGCCACCTCGTTCCTTGGGCCACATCGTTTTTGTGAGTTTGTCTTGAAAATTTTAAGGTTTATTTCATTCTTTCATAAATAATTTTTGGTTTCTTGAACCATTTTTCATGTAGCGTCAAATATGTATAATGTTCCCTGTTTTTCCCCATTTCCCTCTGTTTCTTCGCTCCTTTTGGTTATAGCAAAGTGCTGCATAGCTTAAACCTTCTTCGATAAATGGCCCAATGAACACCAAAAGATTTTTTTTTATTCCAATCATTAGTTCTTGAGATCAGCGCGTTTAAACAAACAAACTCCGCTTTATAATATTAATATAATAAATACAATTTTTAAAATCTAATTGTTTATATACTACGCTTTCAGGACCGAGCAATGAATCGAAGATGCTGGAGTCCAGCTCAATGCAAATATCTGAGCTCGTGGAGGAGATGGACTTGAAGCAGCAACGATGTGAGAACTGCGACATGCAGAGAAAGGTATGATTGTATCTTATTAAAATCAGAAAAGTATTATATACGGATAAATGATGATTTTTAATCTAGCAATGTTTTCATGTACTTAAAGAGTATGGAAGAAGCCATGTCTGAGTGCCTCCAACGGGAGAACCTGCTGCGATCAGATCTTGAAGCTGCCATGATGAAGATAGCGCATCTGATGACGCTCAATGATCGGCCACTTAGCGATGATGTCGTAGAAGGGTAAGAAGCCTTTGATTAGATGATTATAATAAATTGTGTCTGAGTGAGTGCACTGCTTAAAAGTATTATTAAATGTGTGATATATTTGATATGAAAAAGTGTCCTTAAAATAGTATCAATGTGTGAAGTGTTTAGATAAAAATAAAATATTAATTTTCAGGACAATACATGTTTCCATGTACGGTATAATACTATGTATTCAATTCTAGTTATGGCACGGGCGGGGTACGTGCGTCATCTCGTGGTGCGGGGTTCTACTCGCTCGACGAAGCCGCGTCGCCCCGATATGCGCACGCGCATGAATGGGATGCACTGCTGAAAGAAAGAGACGATCTACAACAACAGGTAAGAGTCCCCGTTAATTCCTATCTGTTTTTAATCTGCTTAAACCACTGAAACTATATACATATATATCAATTAAATATACATTTTCTGCACTTGCAACACGCACGCCTTATCAGATCGAAGGGATCAGAAAATCGCCTGTGCACAAAATATGCTGTGAGAAGGTAATTCATAGTAAAGAGATCGTTACTTATATTTTTATTTTAAAAATACGTATGTTTCTAATAACGTATTTTTTAAATGCATTTCATTTATGTATTCACTGCTTAGTTTCACTCATTGAATCTATGTATATAAATAGACCGTTGGCCACGCAGTTGCTTTTAAAAACGTTATCTTTCTATTACATATATTGAACCTCAACGCGTATGTGATAAGATTCATAAACGGTTGTTTTACTGTGTCTAGATCAGATTTTTTTAAATTAAGGATATCAGACAAGCATTGGGGTCACTTGATGAAAGGTAAAATACCCCAGCCAATATAACATCTAAACGTTATGTGCTGTCGTTCTGTTTTGGCTTTGGATATTATAATCGTGTATAGTAATAATGTATATTATCCTTCCCAGTTGGAAGCAGCGAATCGTCAGCTGAAGTCGACACGTCAGTTCGTCGAGGAGCAAGCCAGTGAGCGCGAAGCCGAACGCGATGAGTTTGCCAGGAGACTCGCAGACTTGCGAGAAGAGAACAATCGACTCAGTGCAAGACTTCAGAGCAACGTTAGGATTCTTAGCGAGGTACAAGTTTGTTACGATAGATGGCTTTAATCGCATTTATTTGGTAATTTGATTTACTAATGAACGTCACTAGTTTTAAGATATATGGTCGTGCATATTGTTATTTAAAGGCGTAATGATTTTTCTTAACATAATTTATCAACGTTGTCTTTAGGGACATCATTTGCATTAGGAATGCATGTCTAACATAAGTTTTGGTTTTGGTCTAATACTGGTGTGTGTTTCAGTTATCAGCACAGCTGTTTTTCTTTATTTCACCCTTACTTTCTATATACTAACTCAATATCTTATATAAAATACCTTTTTTATCCATTATATATTCTTTGATATAAGAAATAAGTAAATACGTGCACAGATCCGATGCTTGCGACTTCCACATTGTAACTGTCGGCAGCACGATGCACATGTAAGTTTAGCTTTTTTCTAGCTACTCACAATAAATCACTTTATAATAATTGTGTAGCTTACTACACTTCATCTAAATCTTGATCTGTTTTATGTTTTCATTTGCTCCATACAACTTAATTTAAACAGTATTTATTTACTTTAGTGGTGGTTTACACTTAGTGGTGTCTCGCATGTACTAACTTCACGACTAATAATTAAAAAGTATTAACCAAACATTTTGTATAAACTAACTTTTATGTAACATGTTATAATATATTGCCTCATAATCGATTTTTAATAATTCTAACAGCTGAAATATGTTAATGTGTAGGTGGAGCAATTGGAAAACCAGACACGAGAAATGAACCAAATCATAACTGAACTAGAGAATAAGAAAGCCGAAACTGACAAAGAACTGAAAGTGACCGCGGAAGAGATAAATCTTCTACGTGAAATTATTGCAAAACTAGAAGCTCAATTGGAACAAAAGACAAACAGGGAGGCAGAAGTGTTGGAACAACTGGAGGAAATGAAACGGACGATCGACGAAAGAGATAGCAAGATGAGATTGGTGCTCGGCGAGCTGGAATCGCTGAGGAGTGAGAGAGTCGAGAATAGTGATGTGACGTGCGCTAGGTGTGCGTTAGAAGAGGACAGATATACCGAATACTTAGAAAAGATTAAAGAGCAGGTTTGTTTATTTTAAACTTACAGCTTATTAATGAGAACTTAAAATGTAAGTAATTTTAAATCTTATACTAGATCGTCAATGCTAATGTACGAATGCTGTTTTTTTTTTTAATAATCTTTTCAATCAAAAGCTTTTGCTTCTTTTAAACAGTTTCAAGAGTTATAAATTTAATACGAATTTTATTGATAATGAAGGCTCGTTGGCTGGAAGATCACATCCATCGGCGAACGCGCAAGATGGAGCGGACGCATGAAACCTGCTCGGCGCCCACTTCAGAGCCGAGCGAAGATGTTTCTATACGCGATCAAAAGGTAGCCTTGATATAGACGTAAAATAAATATTAATTGTTATATTATTGCTTTGTACGATTTTAAGTTGTTTTTATTTCTTAATTCTACCCGAGCAACTGGGTAGAATTAAAAAAATCTTATAGACGTTAGTGACGTTAAATTTTGCCGATTTTTATTATCATAGAAAAAGCCAGACAAGCCTGATGTTAACTTGATGGAAGGTAAAATAATCCAACCATATAATTTTTTAACAAGATGCGTTGTTAATAAATAAAACACTAACGGCTTCGGAGCAAAGCATCCAAAACTTCGTAGTTACAATAATTTCAAAACAAGTTTAACTAATATATATATCGCGTTTTAAACCGTTAAAGCGTTTTATTTAAAACATGATTTTCTACAAACATGTCTTACTGACAGGTGTCTTCGCCGGAGGGCAGCGTAACGCCGCGTGTGGAGCGTGTATCGGAGCTGACTCGTGTGTGGGAGGGAATCGAGAGTCTGTCCCGCGCCGAAGATGCCGTTCTTAAGCGGGTCACCGATCTGGAAATGCAAAGGGCGCATCTGAACGACGTTGCGCAGGTATGTACAATTTATTTCATAGTTTCAAGAATTGACGGATGAATTGCGTAGTCAGAAGTAGTTACGACTTACTTTTTTATGATACGTGCGGACAGACGTGCATATTGTTTACTTGATGGTAGGTGAGCCATATAACTTCTACACAAGATGCGTTGTCGATTTTGGCTTTGGATATTCGGAAATCTACAGACTGTAACCGAAACGCGATTAAACACGTCTTCTTCATCTGTGGGCAGTGGTTCGTAACCCTGACGGAATTTTGGTACTTCTACTGGGTGGTAGGAGTACCAAAAACCCGTCCAGATTTCCAGACAGAGTCCAACATATTTCGAACCCACGTTACATTGAATAATAGCCATTCCTTTTCCAATTTATCGTTCGTATCGTAATTTAAAAATTTGCTGAAATAATAATATTAAATGTTAGTGAATATAAACAGGATATAGTGTGTATTGGATGTGATTTTCACCTGACCTTGCTTAGCCTGGCACGAGTCCAAACTGTTTCAGTACCCATTGCCCTCTGTCCACGTTAACGTGCCAACGAACACTACAAAACGATGAGCATACTATGAGTTCAGTTCTGACAGATTTAAATAAGCTGACAATAATCGTACCATGAGGATTATCAAAACTAATCTTATAATATTAAAAAAAAAACAAAAATACACATTTTCTACACGGCTGCTGTACAGTATCCGAAACGCTATCGGTAAAATAAATTGAACATAAGTTAACTATTATATTTGCGTTTTTAATCGTAAAGTCTTTTTATTTAAGTGTATATTTTGTACAAGTCTTGCGTAACGCTTGTGCAAGGGCCTTCCATATAGACTACGGCGTTTTCTGTCAACCAATTTTTGCATAAAAACTCTAATTACGTAGTGACAAGATCCTTTTTTAATATTATGGTCAATGAAAATAACTTTAATTAAATTAAAATACAATTCACCTACATGTTACAATGTCCACTAAAAATAGTTTAAGAGTCTTTTTTATTCTATTTTCCTTTTTTGTTATATATCGAAAGAAAACGTTCAGTTAAAAAAACAGACCAAACAGATATTTTCACTTAAAACTTTAACACCTAAATTGTGCATAGATTGATCATAATTTTCAAAATGTTTACGTTGTTCTTGTTAATATAACATTTTTCACGAGGTATCGTTCATTAATGTGAGCGGTTGGTCCCGTTTAACTGTTTGTTTGGTTTACTCATAATAAAACTTCGAATGTCTAAACCAGACACTGTAAACAGTGTCTTCCGAGGCGTTAATTCGCTCGTAATACTCCGAAACAGCAAAACAAGCGCGTGTTGCAACAATGCATTAGGCCGTTATGACGCTGTAAACCAATTTCTAAAATACACCGCTTGGCCTAAAGCCAAAGGTTCTTCGCAGATTTGGACGTGTACTTATCAAATCGCTTATTTGAACAATCTTAATAATGTTTTAAGTACTAGAATTGCTCCTTGAACTGACGAAAAAAAAAGTTTTTCTCATGGAAAACTAGTGACGTAACGCAAGACTTTAATAATTATCGTACGATGATCACTGTCATATCAATTAGTAGTTGTTACCCACGACGTCATTACATCAAATTTAGCCATTAATTTCAATTCATTCTTGGTTCTACCTAATTGACCCACAATACAAGCGTAGCTTTTCCCTACTAGAAAGAAAGTATTTTCATTTTAATAGTATTTAAAACCCTAGACTAGATTTTTCTGACGCATATACGGATGTAGCTATTTGAAAGTAATCTTTTTAATCCTAACACTCACATTGACACACAAGTATTAGTATAACACGCACACTCCAACAATTCGTTTAATATACACGTAAATATCACTCACACGCGCACACGATCTAAATATACACGAGTGTAAAACGTGAATTTATGGAGGCGGCTCATTGTTCGTGGAATAAAAATTAACGTCGATTTTAACGAATGTTCTATTATCGAGTCGGAAATAGCCCGGTCTATTTTTATGCTGTGAATGAATCGGATGTAAGAATCTGGTCTTGTATTTTTGAGTATTATTGTAATTGTTTATGATAAATATGCTTAGTTGAGATATTATTGTTTTATACAATAAAAAATGGGGTAGATTTTCAAATCGGCTTTATCGGTCACTTTCGGCGTGTGGAGGAACTGAAATAACGTATTATATGTTATACAAGTATATTTATATTTGTGATATCCCAATAACCTATGATATACGAAGTGTTTTCTTTAGAATGTTTCTTAAATGCCGCATCCATTTTCCGCGTATCTCCCGGCGTCGTTGTTTTTCACGGGCTCAGTAGCGAGAAGCCACCGCGCGATTTCAGTCTCCCTAACCCGATGTTTAAAAGCGTCTTCTGCTGCAAGAAGGTTACTTTCTCATAAATTCACCAATCCTCATTCATTAACATAATGTAAGGTCGCTGTGTGTGTGTTTTGGTCCCGAATGTGGGATGTTCTTGTGGAATCACATTAGGAGAGTGTTTGCGATGGGCCTACCCGAATATTCGGTGAGTTTAGAAAATAGAAAATGAATAATAACAATGAGTAGTTGAAAATTGTAAAGAAAATAATGGCTGTTATTTTGAATACATCTCCGATGTCTATAGAAGAAATAGATATGGATTTTAGGGTTTACAGTCAACGGGTCCTAGGTTAAAATTAAAAAGTCTAATCGCCTACTAATATGTAAGAAATCGATCGGTGAGAAAGAAATGTTTCTGTCAACTCAAATTTCGCAATGTACAAAGTAGCAACAGTTTTGTAGAGACCTTATAAAAAATCATAATATAAATTGCAAAATTACAACTAAATTAATTGCACTGGATTAAAATTTACCCTTTGTCTCCATAAATATGGCGTACTACTTGTGACGCATGTAAATATGTTGTTTTCCTCGTCAATAATGTTCGGTATTCCCTATATTAAAACGTAAAATCAACACAGCTTTCAGTATTCACTTAACTGGCTTTTAATAGTATGGAAAACCTATTTTCGGATGTTTGACACTTGTTATGCTGAGGCAACACTATACAAAACTGCACAAATGTGTATATTGCACGAACATTCTTGAACTTTTGAAAACTTTATTATTTTTGACATGTATTGCACATGAAGGCTATATAATTTAAAAATCGGAAATAAATTGAAAAAATTTCGACTCGGGCAGGACTTGAACCGGCATCGTCAGCATCAGCAGACGATGAGGTGTAGGACTCGGTACCTCAATTGTAAGCAACAGCACGGAACGACTTTTCAATTTATTTTCGATTTTTAAATTATTTTTGAACTTATCACGAACAGATAGAATCGGCGGAAGATGTAGGTATGACCTGAAGATAGGTACCAGATTGTTTTTTGCTCGTGGCACTTAGAGCAACGCTTTGGTCGTGATTCTTAGCCCCTCCTTGACATTGATTTTTAAGTTAAATAGAGCTTATATAAAGCTACTATATTGCAAAAATAGGTGAAGATAATAATGTTGTTTTGTTAATCTTTTATATTCATGTAGGAAATTTGAAATTGTAAAATAAACGAACCTACTCCAATTGACCCGTGCTATCGCCAATTACCTCGTTGCTCCGGTTGAGATTGTCATCAATCAGCCTCGTGGAAACCACTCCCTTTAAACGCAGAGCTGACGAGATTTACAGATAATAACTCTTGATCTCTTGAGAACTCAAGATCATTGGGGAGCTATTATTTACGAGAATTGTATAAGTTGAGGTTTCTCTCTAACTATCAATATATGTCTAAAAAATAAATTTCTTAGAAATTAACAAATATTATCATGGTAAATATTGACAAACAGACAAAAACCACCTTAGTTTTTAACATTGGTAAGAAATCTTATTAATCTATTTTTTATAATATTTAGATAAAAACTTTACATATAAACACCTAATGTACTAGTAAAATATCCAGCAGTTGAGTTGTTAGAATTCCGAAACGTCGGCCCGTAGTAAATATAATTTTAAAATAAGTTTAACGAATATATTTCGCGTTTTAAACCGTTAAAGCGTTTTATTTAAATGTGTGCCCGCGTAAACTACAGTCTTTTAGAATTCTTCAAGTTTTTACCAAACGAGCATTCTCCTAAGGTATCTTCAAGACGGTTTAATATACGTACAGTTATATCAATTATCATTAAGCTTCTACCACAACAGTAGCAATTGTTGCCTAAAAGCAATAAAGATGAAATGCAGCATCACCATATTCGCGCAATTGGGCACTCGAGCCAATGAAGCGAACAGACTGACAATGCGCTCGCCATTTGTTAACCCGTGCTATCTCCAATTACTCCTACTTGACTGCAATCAACGAATATTTCTCGCACTTACATTGATACTTATACTTACACCGTCCAAAGAAGCTTTGGTGAGATCGGTGGTACAATGGTAGCCATGTGTGCTTAATATTTAGTGGGTTTCTGGTTGTAAGAATATAAAAATTCTGTCACTGATGAAAATCCCTTGTATTTGAAAACATTGGTTTTCTATAATGGATTTATTACTGTTAAAATAAGCTAAAATAAGTCGATAGTTTAGATGTTATATTGTGGCTAGTCGTTTCGTTAAAAACACTTTGTTTCATTTTTCTTGCTAATATTGTGTTTTCTCATGGTGTTATATTTTATATATGTATATGTTAAGCGTAGGGCGTCACAAAATAGCGTACTTCTAGGTCACTGCAACAGTAGCCGAGGTTACAATACTCGTACATACATACTTACGATTGAATGATTTTGAATTTTATTTTATTTGTACGTTTTGTTCCGGTTTAAATTAATAAATTGAACATTTTATATGTGCCACATGATTTTGGCAACAACTGCGTCTTTTGTAGTGTTTTAGTAAACAACGTGTAAAATTATCTCTCCCCAAGTCAGAAGTCAGGCTATACAATCTGGAACAATTCAAAACAAATAGTAATAACCTCAAACATAAAGCTACAGAGCCCTTCCAGCAATAAGTTTACACTTTTATAATCAATAAAAAAATATAAATAATATTAATACAATGTGAAAATTAAATCTTTCAAATCAAGAATTCAATTGAACCTCCTTGAAGCAACAAGGGTCGGTTATTTTTTTTGATTGGAGGTCGTACTAGTCACACCTCGCTCTAGTGATCTTTCATCTCAAACTAGCACGGATTATATTTAGCCAGCCGAAGCTTAGTCCACAGTGGGCTCCTGCCAGTTTAACTGTCGGCTAATTTGTCAGTTAACGCAATTACATATAACATTAGTTTAATTTAACGGTGACCCACATACTGGTAGTGTTTATACTTCCGTAAAAACGCAGGAATATTCTTTATTTTGGATACTGGCGGTCTTTTTGGCGTTAAGAGTTATTGCATAGTTAAGAAGTTCTAGTTTTGTTTAGTTACAATAACGTCTTTATACACACAATAACTTTACGATCGCTGTTACAAAACGGTAAAAAATACATTAACTGTTTTCATTGAGAAAAATCTAATCTTATCATCTGGAACCATTCCAAAAGTTTCATGAGATATATTTTGTCTAGTGACATTATAATATTCATCTTTGAACTGTGTATAAAATGTAATTTTTTTGAGAATTTCCGTAATAGATTAGCTTCTATTTCTATTCTCTTCAGGAAAGTAATTTTTATTATCCGAACTCCTGTCTCGCATTACATCTATAAGACCAAAAGATTAGAAAGATACGGTTTGTATTCGTTAAACGGGTTGTAACTAACATAACCATTTCTTAGGCAACTCAATATTTTATAAAGCCATTTTTTAAATTTGTGTCAATATACTGTATATGTCAATTAGCTATTCCTTAAGCTAATTGACATATACACTGCTCTTATACCACTGAAAGCAATAACTATGTCGTGGAATTCTTGCGTTTAAGATATCCTATTTTATTCATATATAACTTAACGCCATTTTAAACAACTAATTGATGATAGTAAAAAGTACCAATATATACATTATTTTATGTAAAGGAGGTCCGCGCGGAACGCGATGTTCTTCAAGCACGGATGTCGGAGCAGGCGTTGAAAATATCTTCGCTATCAGCTCGTCTGCAACAACACAGGAATGATGCAGAGGCGCTGGCGCACACGGCTGCCAGTCAGCTCAGCGTGCAATTACACGACACACAAGCCGAGGTATATATGACCAACATACCTTGTCAAAGCAATGTGGAATCATGTTCTTATATTACTTTATGAGCATAGGAGTTCCGAAGTTTCTTATGATGACAGACAGAAAAGCTTATTATAACATCTTGAGCTGCGCTGGCGGCATATTTTGAACATTAAAAAATGTTTAAACAACCACATTCTGTAGCGACCGTAGTTGCATTTCTTATCCAACAACCTTAAAAAAAATATATTACAAGCGATCATAGTAACCAGCCTTCTGATAAATAATATTACTAAGAATCGGGTAATTATTTCACCTCATTGTACAATTTTGAAAAATGAACGCCTCTGTAGCCAAATGGCAAAAATTAAACGTGTTGCCTAGCATTGACTTCCGCGCGAGAGGTTCTGGCTTGAATCCCACGGAAACAAAAAGAATATGTTTCGGTTGGGCAAGACACAGAAGTCTGATGAACTACTGTGTTAAGAACCGATCAGTGAAACAGACACAGAAATGTGTTCGCCCCATGCCCCACGAGGGGGAACGGGGGGAACTCTATGTGAGTTCCCGTTTCCATACTACAAAAATAATTGGTAAACCCAGTGACAGTAAATCATTATTTCTCAATTGTAACACGCGTTAATATTTCAGGTACATAGGTTAAAAGAAGAACTGGAGTCAAAAGACAAACAGCTTGCGCGTCTAAAACAAAACCTGGAAGAAAAGGACAAACTGAACGAGCAACATTCCGTGCTCTATGGAAACTCGTGTATGTAATTCAGTCAAACGTTATGCTTAGATTATCTTTGGATTTATGAGAATCGCTTATGACATTTCGCATTTCCGGTCTAGTTATTGACATGGTTCAGTGAGATTTATTGCTAACTATGCTTTTGATGTTGTAATGTATATATTTCTGCTTATAATATCCGCAGTTAAGTAATATCAATAGTTTCTAACATGAAAAACCTCATCAACGTTTTAAGCACTATAAAAGTCACTTTTAAATTAATCACACATTTTTATTTCCAGGCAATCCCAAAGACAAAGTAATAATTTTGGAAAGAGAGCTGTCCAGTGCACAGGCGCGGATAGCGCAGCTAGAAGACCTGGCTTCCCATCTACAGTCGACTAATGAAAAGCTGCAAAATGACCTTCAGGAATATCAAACCTTACTCCTTGACAAGGAGGAACAACTTAACCAGATTATGGGTATGTGATGATTATTCTTACTTTAAATAGTACTTCAAATAATGATAAGTCACATGTACGCATCTGCCTCTACTTAAAAAGCATTCATTTGTTTAGGTTTAAAAGATTTTTCTTTGGCTCTTTGTCGTCTTTAATGTTCATACTTATTAGTATAATTATGGCTGATAGATTATTACTTCCTGCATATAAAATAATCCCCTATAAAATCAGTCGCTGTAAAGCGTTCTTTGTATTTTTGTTTTTTACTTAATGTTTTAACGTACCCATTTGGCGCACCGCCAAATGTCAATATAGGTTAACACTATAAGACGTCTAGACTAATTCAGAATGTGATTCATTCTCAGCTCTCAAATTGGAAGACGAACAAAACCAAAGAAGTGACGTTGTGGAAGGAAAGACATCAGGACGGACGTTAAGTGATATCGTTTCTATATCTGACTATGATGAACAAGACCATCAAATGCGTCGCGCAGAGTTGAAAACCCACAACGCAAGCTTTTCAGGAGCTCTTAACGAAGGTCAAAATAAGACGCTTAACCGGACTTTACCACCAGACGTCCAACGACCCAATATGAGTTCACTGAACGTTGAAAATATAGAGCATTCTGAGCTATATACGCCGCGCGCTGACTCACTACCTGTAAATTTCACATACACACAAAACATCGATAAGTTTAAAAGAAACATCAACGAGACTACCATATTCGGAACGGTCAACTTCGGTGATAACGTCAAACATTCAACAGCTCAGAAAATTGCCGACAATTGTTCAATGTACCCGAACCAACAGGCCAGCATCAGTAACAACATTAGCGTTGAACCAAAGAAGATTAATTTCTCACTAGAAGCATCTAAGACTCATGATGATATCACTACCCTGGAGGAATTAGGTATAACGATAGATTTAAAACAAGAAAATTTCCCGGATATACTATCGCAACTAAAGCACGAAGTGAAAAAAGCTAGAACGGAACTAGCAACCTGTAAATCTGAACTCAAAAATGCTGAAGAACAATTGTGTGAATTTCCCGCTTTGAAAGATGAGGTCGAGAAGTTGAAAAGCTTGCTAGAAAACACTGTGGTCACTATGAAGAAAGACAAGAGTTTCTACGAAAATCAATTGGAAAATTTTACGACAAACAAAGAACTTTTGGAAAGGAAGTTAACGGAACTGACCGAGGAAGTAAACGAAAAGTCAAAAGCTCTTAATTTACTTAAAGAGGATTTATTAAGGCGGGAGAGCATGATACTCGAGTTAGCTAAAGAAAAACGAAACTTGACTGCCAAGGTAGCCGAGCTGGAAAAGCTTATTCAAGAATTACAAAACAAGAACGCTGCATCGGAAAGACAAGACGTAGAAAATAAACAATTAAGAGATAAAATAGCGGAACTACAAAAACTAGAACTATTAGTCTCTGAAAAGAATCAGCAAATTGATAGTCTAAACCAACATTTGGATCGACTCGACGACTTACGACGTTGTCTCAATGATAAGACAGAAGAAGCCGAACGTTTAAAGCAGGCGTTAGATGAAAAAGCTCGCGAACTCTTCCAAGTACAGGACTCCATAGTAGCGCTTAACCGCGACATTACTAAAGTGGTAGAGGACAACAATCAATTAAATTCTGATAACAGAGAACTAAAATTAACGCTATCCAAACTAGAAAAAGAACAAGAAAATGTTTCAATCAAACTACAAAACAGTGAGTGTGAGCTGGAACGAGTAAATTCTTTAAACGGTGAGTTGACATCCAAAATTGAGGAAATGAAGCTTCTGACGGATCAATTGAAGGACAAAAATACTGAAATCGAGATTTTGAACGAAGACATCAACGCTTACCACACCGAGATAGCGTCACTAAAGGAACAACTGAAGATGGTGTCGCGTAGTCCGTCTCCTAAAAGCAAAAGCGGGGAAGAGAATCGTCATGCGGATAGGCAAGCGAACAGTGACAGGAAACAACTGGCCAAAATTAAGAAGCAGATATCGCTGCTGCAGCATGAACTGGACTTCAATAAGAAGGAACTTAATGATAAGGTATCCCTGATTTACTTTCGATTCTAAGCTGTACTTTTAAAATAAAATTGAAACCTAATAAATATTGAATTTCTCTTCAAAACTCTATTACTAATTAATTGTCTCCTTAAAAATATAGAAAATATAATCTCGTGTAATATTTTGTTTTTATTTACAATTCTAATTTATTTATAAATTTAGTAAGTTTAATATGATTTTGTTTTACAATGTTTTTTGTCTCTTACCACCGTTCTAGGCCTACGAACTAGCAAAAGCACAGATAGACGTGACAGAACTAAAGAACAACTTAAGTCAAGCAAACAAGCGCGCTGCAGATGTTGAGGCATTTCATATCGAAAACAGCAAGAGAAACGATGCTCTTCAGCAAAAAGTGGAAGAACTGCAAGAAGAGAAGAACAAATATACACAGCAGTTGGAGATTGTGCTCTCCAGGTGAATAGAATTCACGCTTCGTATTTTTGATGACTAATTTTTATGTGTTCCGTTTCGAAAGGGGATTAAATATAACTATAATTGCCATCATAGTATTCAATAGTAATATAACGATGTAGAACAAGTGTTATAACCATTGTCACACAGACTGAATTATGTTAGACTATAAAATATATGAGATTTTTTACCCAAAGATTAAACCTATTATTGTACATAGATGGCAATATCCCAGAAAAAATTGTTAATATGATGGATATATAATGGGGCTATTTTTATAGTTTATCATTCACTTTCAGATTGCGAGAGGAAGGCAACATCAGTGAGCTAAAGCACAAATTGAAAGCAAAAGTCGAACGCTGCCAAGAACTAGAAGATGAATTGCAGAACTTACGAGAACTCGTTGAAAGGTAATGCTACTTCGATATTTCAATTACTCATTAAGACAATTTGAAACTATTTTTGAGTACATATACCTATAAAAATTTTTACTAATATAATTTGTGTCTCGATTATAGGTTACGAGGTGGCGCCATGGAGCTAAGTGTGACCGCTGAGCGCGACAATGGTACGCGTTCCCCTACCGCTGAGCTAGAACGTGCACTGCGACACCAAGTTCATCATTCCAGAACATTGGATGAGGATATTATGGAACAGGTGAGGTTAAGACAAATTAGATCTTCGTTTGCGATTGCCAATTACATGTTATTCAAAACGCGTAGGATTGTCTGTTTTAATTGATGTTTGAAGACTTTAATATTTTTCACATCTTGACACTATATAAATTAAAAATCGATTTTTGATAGAAAATTGATGACACGGACAGGATTTAAACCGACGATACATGCCAATCTCGCACAATGTAATTGCAACTTTAACACTTGCGTAAACTAATATATAAAATTCTCGTGTCACAGTTTTCGTTGCCATACTCCTCCGAAACGGTTTGACCGATTTAGATGAAATTTTTGTGCTTATCCGGTATCTATGAGAATCGGCCAAAATCTATTTTTCACCCTCCTAAATGTTAGGAGTAGTCCACCCCTAAATTTTATTTTTTGTTTTAGACAAAATTTTTAATTTCTATTTTTTATATTTGATACAACATACAAAAATACATACAATTCTCATTTTTCACCCTTCTACGATCAACCCTTATTTTTTAATAGCCATTTTAGTAATTTAATCATTTCTCCTCTCCGGGCGAAAACTGATCAATCGTCATTTACTTTGTTATAAATTATTTCTATGGCAAAACAACGTTTGCCGAGTCAGCTAGTAATATAATAAATAATAATAATGTGTACTATTAGCGTAAACTACAGACAATCCTGGGTTACTTCATTTAATATATTTAAACTTCAAAAGTACACATTTGATTCAAAATTAAAATAGAATAGAAAACAAAAAAAAACTTCAACAATAAAAATACTATTAAATGATAAAATCTTTGTTAAATTTAAATTGTTAATATTTCAGTTGTTATCAGCAAGCAGTGATGATAGAGAAGACATTCCGCGTCTGGCTCTGAATTCCTCCAAGTAAGTTGTTCTTACTATATTCTTTTAATCTGTAATTTTCATATTTCCTACTCCCTTTCAAAATAGCACGAGTAATGGAAATTTTAAACTCTTAAAAAGTTATAAAAGTGAAATCTCCAAGACCCCTCGCGCTTAACGCAATGCTTGGCAACACGATAAACCATTTAGCTACAGAGGCGGTCAATACTTTGTCTATTAATTAAAATTGGCGACGGATGTACCACAAACGCTTCAACTGTTATACTAAAGTGGTAAAACAATTTACTAGATCATCCAGCGTCCATTCCACATCTGGCGAGAATTACGAACGCGTGAGAGCGGCGTGCGATAGATTACAATTGCAAGTAGACAACCTAGAGGCAAGACTGCGTGACAAGGAAGCGCTAATTGACGAGTTACAGAGGTAACTAAAAATACATAGTTTTCTTTGATACATTGTATCACGCATTGTAATTTGAGGCCGCTAGATACAGAGTAGCGTAACTGCAACTTTATGACTACAGTTATTTGTATTTTCATAGTCTGAATATCATAGGTGACATGGTTTCGTTTACGTTGTTTCGGAAAGCAGACCAAGAGTATTTCTTTATACGTTACTTTTGCTGTTACATAATTTATGTCCAATGTGGTCCAAAGAATATTTCTTATCCAACAGGATAAGGGATAAACTGACGGAAGAATGCGAAGCGCGGCGGATACGAGAGGAGGCGCAAAATGACAACTCGGCGCGGCTGCAGTTGCTGCTAGATGCACAACAGGATACTGCTACTGCACTACAGGTTTGAAAACGCTATTTCTAAGAACAAGTGTATTAAAGTGTGTGTTATGTGTTGTATGTATTTGTGTGTGTTAAAGTCAAATTTTATACAGACATTATTCTCAGTACTCTTAATACAGCTATTAGTTATGAGCTAAGTGCGAGTAAAGAATCTAATACGGTCTATAGTTCACACATTTCAATAAAACTTTTCAAGGGTTTAAAACGCGAAATACATTAACTTGGTTACAAATTATTTTTAACTTCGGCCGATGTTTTAAGCCATGGTCACGGGTACACAATATAGTTTTCGTTTTTGACAACAAAGTGTTTTATTTAAAAATTATTTATCTATTTAGTTTAAGTTAATTAAATGCAGTGAGAAGAGAACTCAGCTTGATATTTGTCAGACAGATACAATTTGGTGTGTAACCGAGTACAAAACAATACAAAACATGTAGGAAGTTATTTATTCCTTACCAATATTTTAAAATGAATTAATGATGAGCACTGTCTTCTACAGCAACAAGACTCAAGTATGATATCGATGCTCAAGCGACGACTAGAAGCCGCCATGAAGTCAGAGATGGAATTGCGAGATAAGGAGCAGCAAATGCTGAACCGGATCCGCCACTTAGAGAATAGGACCAAAGACTCTTCAAATGACGACAGGCTTGCTGTAGAGGTACAATAAGCTGCATCATTAGAGATGTCATGGCTTTTGTATTGCTAAATTAAGTATTAATTAATTAAGAATATATTTTAGACTGAGAATCCTATTGTCATCAAATTTTTTGCGCCTCTCTATCAAAATGTATAATACCTTTTTTATGTATAAGTTTCTTATTCTGCCTTTGTTTTCATTTCTTATTCTTGTAACGCTTATAAATCCTAATTTTTTTTCAGTATGAAAATGTAATTCTATTTGTCTCCAGGTGGAAAATGTAGGTCGGCTAAAAGGTGAAGTTAGGGTCTTAAAATCGAAACTGGAGATGGAACGTACCCGTTACAGCGAGCTGCAAGCGCTAGTCGAACAAACACGTGCGCAGGCGCAACGCGAGAACGAAGCCAGGTCGCACCAATGCGTGCAACTCAAGACTGAGCTAGCTGAACTGAGAAGGTAGAAAATTCGCAATCATCAATTTTTTTGCAAGACTAACACGCCCATAGATATATAAAAAAACTAATATAAATTAGCTATTAATATAAATACGCTAGCATTCGTATAAAGGTATTGAAACTCTGAAGAAATTGATAAGTGTACTATTTAAAAGGTTAAAACACGAAGCGGGCGTGGAGCTTGTTCGCGCTAAGGAGCTTTTGAACATTCAAAGTGTGACAATCAAACAGCTGGAGCGGAAATTGGCTACAGCACAGAAGGTAAAATAACTGTACCTTACAATTATTATATTATTCAGATCTGTATTTATATTATAAAGCTAAAGAGTTCGTTTGAACGTGCTAATCTCAGAAACTACTGGTTCTAAAATTATTTTTGTCTTGACTAAATGGATGAAAAAAACAGTTGAAAAATTGGGAAAAATTATTTATCTTTGCGGGTTTACATGGCGTGCGATGCAAAACGATTCAAGATCCTCAAGAAATATGTATGAAATAATCTTTAAAAAAATGTCCGCAACAATATATATCTTTTATCTTTCCATATTAACTCACAAGAACCGTTTTTATCATAATCCAATTACCGTCAAAATACTTCATATGGCAAAATAACGTTTGCCGGTTAGCATAAAGATACCTTAACTGCAAACTTCTGTTTCATCAAGTAAGGGCTTTAGACGACAGATGACGCTGTTTTAAATATTTTTGTACTATACTTTACAGACGGATTTAGATGACACCCGCTACTTCATGGAAAGTCCTCGTCCCAACTCACACATGCGTCCCTATATGAGCACGCCGACAAGACCGCAGACGCCCAACAGCAAAGAGCAGCTCACAAATGACGAAAAGGATCAGGCTGTATGTTCATTTGTTTTTTCCGAATATCCAAAACTAAAGTAGGTCGACAGCACGTCTTGCTTATGTTATGGCTGGTATTTCACCTACCACCAAGTGTACCCGATGCTTATCTATCCTCCTTTATCATAAAAAAATGTTATAATGTGCACTGTCTTATACATGCCGAATTTTATGCAACCACATTTTTCACATAAAGACAAGGCTGTATGTATCCAAAATCGTGGAAGAAGACTTATTTTAAGGTATTTTAAATATTTTATAAAACTAATTAAAATAAATTATTCAATAAAAATACATTTCATCGCAAAACACGTATTCAATATAATTTAATTAAAAACATTTTAAAATGTATAAAACAGTTGAACTATCAACATTTTACGGCAGTTTTGCTATGAATTTCGTCTATATAGTTCGTGATTTTGGGTACATCTAAGACGCTGGGTTTTTCCTCTGCTTCGGAGCAGAGCGGTTCCACTGCCCACAGTGCGACCGAATACAAGAAGTAGAGGGCACAGTAGAACGCGTACAGTAGGGCAGTGATGCACGCAAGTCCTATCGGGTAAAGCTTGTTGTTTAAATCTTCACCACGCCAGCTCTCTTCAGTCCATGTGCGGAAGTAGAGGCAAAACTTACTGCGAACACCAAATTAATATTCAGGACTATATTTGTTTGTTTGTCCACTCGCGTTATATATCTAAAACAAGGTTTAAATTGTACACTGACTGTATAGCCGGTAGAGATCGTTCGAGAACTCCGACGAGGCAGTGCAGTAAATGGGACACCAAGAGCACCAGAACCCATACGCACACCAAATATGGTGGCCATCGGAAGCTGCCTAACGCCGCTGAAATTGAAATAAAGATAGGCGTATAAAGGATAATAAAATCAAAAGATGACACAAATCAGTTTTCTTATCTTACTATAAAGAAAGTTATCTATATTTTGCACACATTAAGATTACTATTATTTATTTCTTTAGTATTTATAGATTTTATAGCGGTTTAAACTAAATAGAAAAAGTGCAAAATGCTATTTTGTGATGATTTGGCAGTACGGATGCTTCATCTTTATTACTTGAATCTGAAATGTTTTTTAAGTACGTTGGCATAATACCCTGTATAAGTGCCCGGTTAGCATGCAACGGATCGTAATCATTCCGTTGCTGTACGTCCCCTGGGTGAGTACGTCGCCTCGCCTCTATCGCCCGCAGCGCGTGCTCTGACATTGTGCGTGCACGCAGTTCCGGTACAAATGTCGGTTGGGCTCTTTCTGTGCGGGATGGCTGGAAATATTTTTTTAAATTTAGTAACGTAAAGAGAAAGAAAGGGTGCTGATCGAAAGTTATAGCAAAAAACAATAATTTTGGTGAAGAATAAGTATATATATCAAGCATTGAAATGTGCAGCAAATTTAAACTAAGAGATGTACTTGCCGTCGGTGTCAATTTAGCGAAAGAAGCAGACATTATCTTCTCTTTCTCTTCCTTGGGGTCTTCCTTCACGTTAAGCTCAGTCTTCGTGATAGAAGGGTGGTCTCCGCACATTCTGCGCAATTTCAATTTCCTATAGTTTAAGAGATGTTTAAAGTAATAACATCCTTGTATACGCTTTGTTAAACCCATTTGTGTATCCTTGGCTTAACTTTCTTGGCTTCATAAGAAACTGAACGAGACTCGCATCGTTCGGAGACGAAAATTGTGGATAGTTATATTTGTATATAATTTTACCACCAGAGACGCAAAGTTGCCAACTTTGCGTCTCTGGTGGTAAAATTATATATACGTACCTAGAAATTGACTTATAACGAAGGTTAAGTAAGAAAAAACCTGTCTTACACCATTTCCGGCAATTTGGGCGTTTCGGTTCTCGCCGTCTCCATTTTCAAAGAATACTCTGTCAAGCTTATAGCATTATAAAATGGCGGAATTTTGTAAATAATGTTATAAAAGATACAATATTACGCGTGCGGCTGTTTGGTGAAGTTGCGTGACATTTGACAAGTCATTTCGAATTATTTTAAATCGGTTTAAAACTTGACATGTACTGAGGAAAAAGGTTTAATGAATTGTATTAATACTATTTGCGTAAAATATCGTTATTAAATTTTTTATTCGTCTAATGTGTGAGTAGCATTATAAAATTATATAAGCCTATATTTATTTACTTTATAAACTAATTTATTTTCTAATAAGCACTTTGAGGTTTTTTCTTTTAAGTATTGTTTGTATTTTACGTGAGTATTACGCATTTTAATAAAAGCACGTGGTAGCATGGTGAGTGGTCACTGCTACAAAGCATCCGAAACGATGGCCCGTAGTCAAAATTAGTTAAATGATATATTTCGCGTTTAAACCCGTTAAAAGGATTAATAAAATATTTTCTTCTTTTCTTTCAGATCCGGTACCTTCAAGGCAAATGTTTGAGATTAGAGAGCTGGCGAAAGGCGTTGGTGTGGCAGAAGCGTTACCTGCAGCGGGTCATAGCTGGATTCCAGGAGATTGAAATGAAATTGATGCCCGCGACCAATAATACGACACAGTTAAGAGGAAGGAGAAGATTTAGGTATGTCTCATATTTCATCATTTTATTCTTAGGGGTTTAATAACTCTGAATAAATATCAAATGTATTTTGTCATTTAGGCATATGTTATCCACAACATCAATGTTGTGCACATTTTCTGTGGTACAAAAATATATTTTCTTGATTCTTCTTACTTTTCAAAACTCCCTATACTAAAAGTATATGACTTCATGTACAATTTCATTTGTGAAGATGTATTTAATCGTGGGCCTTGGGCGAACATATTTCTGTGACCGTTTCACTGATCGATTTATTAGCAGGCAAGTAGTAAATCAGACTTCAGTCCTGCCCGATCGTCTTTGGAATTTGAACCCCGGACCACTCGCGTACAACTTTTAACTATTTAGCTACGGAAGAGACAATTGTATATAATATTTAGTATATATGTGTAAACACTTTACAGGTGCATAGTGAACGTAGTAGTGACTGTGATTCGAATGGGCTATCTCGTTCGTCGTCGCCAACACGTCCGTTCGGTCGCCGCAGCCTGCCTCCTACGAGACACCCACACACCCGTATTCAATACACCGCTATCCAAACCTCACCTACAAGTCCACACACCTACACAGATACATCTATTCAGTACACCATCAAAGACGCACACACTGAACATGAACACACCAACACGCCCGAACGCCCTCGCCAGCAGACTGCTCAAACATGATCTGGGCTTTGATTTACCACACGAACATGGTAAGTTTTCGAATAGAAGTGAAACCCCGTTTTCCCCTCTGGGGAACAGGGCCCATCATATATTTTTTTATCTATGTCCGTCTCACTGATCGTATTTACAGGTTCGAACCCAGGACTGAAATAAAATAACAAAGCAAGATTATACATACCATTTATTAAACAGTAAAATCAACATGTGTTCGTCCTACCTTTTGTCTTTTATAATAATATAACTAAAACATTGTGTTTTATTTTTTCAGGTGAAGATTTAAATCGGCGCTCGCCTTATACAAATACACCTCAGGGTCGACAGTTTATTTCAAGGTATGAAATTCCTTTTTTCCTTTCTTTTTTAAATCCATATATTGAGGAGTTCTTAATGAACAGAGGAAAAGTAATAAATTGTTCTTTGGTCAGTTAGAGACATACATTTTTTGAACATACATTTTTACAGACAGTTCTACCCTTCTTTTTAGTTACTCCCGCAGCGAAGCAGCGTCAACGTTAGTGAATAAATTAGAAACAGCCAGCAGATGCCTAGGTCGCAATCTCGATGACAAAAATGCACCTTGACACATCATAACCTAAAACTGGAAATTACCTTGTTATTCAGCATTCCCCCCTACTTTTAAAGGGGGACAATGTGTCGGTGGTAACAATTAGTATTAATTTTTAATATCACAATGGAATTTACGAGGCCTTATCGCTGTTTAAGGAACTTTGTAATCGGGCCATCTTATTTATAATTGTTTAGTTATAAGGCAGTACACGTTTTACAAATCTTAAATTTTATTACATCACCTCAAGCTGCCAAGAATTTTTTATCATGCAGTGTATTCTGCACTTTGATTATTTATAAATTGTGTTAATTATTTTACTCGTCGATTATGTAAAGGTTGTTTATGTAAGAATTGGTAATTCATACCGTAATTACGATGCAGTTATAAATAAGATGGATTTTAGTATATTTAGAATTTACCAAACGCTCTCTATATGTGACTTATGATATATTATCATCGAATCACTTATTACATCACCCAACGATAATGCAAAGATTAATGTAATTTATTTTATGTAATAATGATACTATCGTGTGCTGAATTCTATTACAATTTTTAAACTTTTGAGAATAGTTTGACTCGTTCGCGCATATGTCGTGTGCACTTAAGAGACACATTTAGAAATAGCTAGTTTATAGCGATTTTTTTTAAATTAACAACATTTTAAACTTATATTAGGTCTTACAGCGCTCCTAGTGGCGTAAAAACTTTTTTGCCATTACAGATTATTAAAACATTTTAGAGGTAGGGTTTCCTCACAAAATTTAGTCTTAAGTATTAGTATTAGTGCCAAAATGATTTCGTGTTACTTAATTTATTTTAATTTATGTTGTTATCTCCGCCTATGCGTGCTAACTAACGTGCTTGTAGAATGGTTATATTGTCAGTGATTTGTAAAGTTTATGAAATTTTTCGAATAGGCTACTTTTTTAATTTTGAATGATTATGACGCATTCTGTATGTAGATAAATAAAAAAACCTAGATTTTTATTATGGGGCGATAGCACACAATATTTGATATAGTTTTTAGTATGTATGGTACAAAGTTGATTTTAGGTTGTATTTTTTTAAGCACAAACCTTGCCATAGTTTTTGCATGTGTGTAAAGGGTGTTCGTGTACTAGCGATTATCTATAAAACTCCATATTTGTACTCGTATTTGATGACAATTTAGACTGACTTTGCGGGACTTATTTTTTCCAAAATATTGCTTTAATTAAATTTGTCAGTTTTCAATTTGTTCAAAATGAAAGAAAAAGAAAAAAGTTTATTATAAGTAGAAAATCGCTAGTCGACAACCGGTCGAATGTTATGTTCAATGTTGGACACAAAAGTACAAGTTAGATTAAGTAAGTCCGATCGATTCCGAGCGATGCATTCTCGAACGTTCCACGAATACCGATTTTAGGTTTAATTCTAATTCAAAAAGTAAGTACAAGGTTAATAACTATTTTTCCAATTATTTTTTTAAGGTTTGTACATTGCTAGGTTAGTTACGGTGCTCATAAACGGGCAAATTTCATCTTTATCTCAGTGCGTTAAGATTCAAATTTGACTCGAACCTGTCCGTCTAGATGCGCCTTTAGACTTTTGCCATAGTTTTCCTAACAATAGACAATACGTAGGGTAAGCCAAAGCGAAAAGTATTATCACAATCTCGACTTGTTATTTCTCACAGCTCTACTATAATTGTTTTTATTTATTAAGATGTGAAATTTGGGCTTTAGTCTTCACAATATTATAGATTAACTCGATCCACCGTACAATACGAACGACCAAAGATATATTAGTTTTAGATGGTTTTAGACAAACAATAAGAATACATTGACAATTTATTTGGAAAATTTCACATCTGTCTAGTCACAGTTCCATCGTGCCATAACGCTCTTGTTAAAAGTATGTTCGAAAATAATAATGTAAAATAAATAAAAGGATATTTTGTAAAAGCTTCGTTTCATTTCTTCAATTCGCAGCCGCAAGTATCGTTCTTGCATTGGATTTTCGGCAAAGAATCCTGGGAATAGAGAGATCACGGAGTTCAATAGATCATAAAATTATAGATTTTATTTTACCAAAGGGGCATATAGAAATATACGGCTGTCAGTTGTATAACAGTCTTACTCTTTTTCTCTGCAGGCCATTCGCCGGGCCAGCTCGCTTGTAATCGGCTTGCTCTTGTTTCTTCTCCGACTTCGATACTCCCACTATAGACTACAAAGAAAATTATACCTTATGCCTAATGAATTAACGAAGCGAGCATTGAACCAACAAGATTCGCATGTAAAATATTTATAAACATCAGTTTCAAAAAGGTTACCTCAAAAGACTGCAGACCATCCCTTTTACTCGCTTGCTCGTGATGATCTTCGGGCAGGGGAGGAGCAGGATATTTATATTCCGCATCTGGTCGGGAGAGGTCGACGGGCGCGTATGGGCCATAATGTTCTTGCATGGAGCGAGGTAGTTCCGGCATTGGGTACAAGCGGTATTGTTTACAGTAACGCTACAACAATACACTCAGCGATGTTATCGACGAATCTACAACCTTTTAAATGAAATGGTTTTAAGTATCTATTCTACTACTACTGAGTAAAGGAAAAGTCGCCTTAGTAAATTTTAAAACAAAAGTGAACCATACCATACTATGCAATATTGAAATAAGTTGGACAAACAAAAGTACGTGAGCTACATTGTAGTCTCCCCGTGACCACGTTTGCAATAAAGCATCCGAAACATCGGGCGTTAGTTAAAAATAATTTTCAAATAAGTCAATTGTAGGACCCAATTACTGATTTACACGCCATTTTCAATTTAATACTAGTTATTCAAAATATATAAGACAACAGAAACCAAACCTGATCACAATAAAGTTGAATAAAATGAGACTAAGAAACAGCGGTTTCTCATATGACAGTGGCCGAAAACAGTCACCTCTAGGGCTCTATGCAGCGCGTATTCCGGTCTTCCGTTTTCCCTCGCCTCTTCTAGCAGCCTTGAACCGAGCGTCAAAAGCTTATTGTCCGCATCTCGCAACTTCTTCTCAGCGAGTTCTCCGTAGAAGTAGCGAGTGTCCGCGCGCTCTTTAGCATCACGATCGTCGCGTTCCTTCTATAATATTAAAAATAAAGAAGTCGGTTGGCATTCTTTCAGATCTAAAGAGCAGAACCGATATTACAACGTAATATACATTTTCTCTCTTACCCACAACTTGAGAATATCTTCGCGATACTGTTTGATCTTCTTCTCTTTGTCGAGTCGCAACTTCTCCTGGAAGTCCTCGTATAGTTCGGCATTTTTAAACCTGAAATATAAAAATGAGGTTATCCTATTTTCTTTAAAGTGCTAAAATTAGGTTTCGTGTGTCTATTATATAATATGAACCTACCTAATCGTAGTTACAAACAATTTTATGGCATATTGTGTACCTGTTCATAATCTCCCACTGTCGCATAGTGTTGAACTCGTGCAGCCGTTGGGCTTCATCGCGCAAGTATTGCTGTCTAACTTCGATTCTTTCCTGCTTAAACTGCTCACGCTTTCGGGCGTCCGCTTGGCGACGGGCTTCAGCTCTTTATCATTAAATGAATAAATTTTGTGCGTTAAAGAAAAATATATATTATGTTTTTACTTTCTATTGTATGGCGCGCCATTTTTAATGAGGGGGATAAAATTTAGATAATGTTAGAGAACATAATTACGCAGCTTCCTTCTCCTGGATAGCTTTCTGTAGATTCGCGTTATCCTTTGCTTCGCGAGCTGCATCACCGCTCTCCAGTTTTTGACTAATCTTTTCCAGAACACGCAGCTTTTCGGCTTTCACCTAGAAAATCATAACAATATTATCTTGAAATCAGTATCAAATTGGCTGAGTTGGCACAAATCAGTTATGGACAATTTGTAAGATACATATTTAATTTAAAAATCGAAAATAAATTGAAAAAATTTTCGACTCGGGCAGGACAATTTTTTTTTTTCAATTTATTTTCGATTTTTAAATTACATAAAGTGCCTTGATGTGCAATAACATGTAAAAATTAATAACGTTTTCAAAAGATACGTATTATTAGATAATACGTTAGTATACACGAACGACCTAAATGTCCGGTTAGTTTCAGTGGCCAAAAACGCGCAATTAACAAAAAAACAAACGTTTTACTTGTGTCTATGCATGTTTTAGTACTTTGAACTCACTACTCGATCTTATAGTGTGTCATATTTAAAAATAAACTAAAAAACTCATAACTATGAACTACGAAACTACGACCACCTAAATATTTTCTAACTATTTCCGACGTAAATATATTCTAAAAGTGTGCGAATTAAACATATTCTAACATCAATCTCAGTCTGCTTGCGCCTGCGCTCGACGCGTGCACGCGACCTCTGTAGCACATCAATGAGCCGATCGTCCATCTTGTCCCGGGCTTCCGTCTCTCGACGGCGTTGTTCCACCTCCTCCCTAGATCTCTTCATATCAGAAAGAATGCGAGCCTTCTCCGCCGCTTTCTAAAAAAGACAAAACTGGTAGAAATTTTTATATCTACATTTCTTCGATACTAGACTATTCCAGACAGTTTTTTGTGAAAATTCTTAAGTCGAGAAAAACAAACCCTAATAATCATGAAATAATAATTTTAAGTCAAAGTCAAAGTCAAAAATTAGTTAAGTGAAGCTTGATCTTTATTAATATAAAGAAATGGGTACCTGGAAATAAAAAAAAACTTAGGCTTATTTTAATCATATTTTATAAGCAAAAAGTATGTATATTTAAGCTTTATTCATTGCTTACAATTTTTTTAACGCCATATCTAAAAAATGTTATTTGTTTTAAATATTATCAATCAACTAATACAAAAAAGTACAGGAATATTAAAAAAAAATTATGTACAAAAGTTATCAGTCCTTTATTTCGTTAGTAAGGTAGATTTTTTTACTTATTAAAAGATCTCAATTTACAAGGGCAATTCCAAAAATCTTATAATGACCACTCACAAATTCATCGTCAAATTTCTTTAATTCATCCATTTGCTCGTTCGCCCTCATATTATCCACTTTCTGCATTCCTAGTTCTGTCTCATATTCTATGCGATTCCGCTCTGATATTTCATGGGCCCTAAAAGCGAAGTTCACTTACAACAATCTAATCTATACATACTAATATTATAAAGCTGAAGAGTTTGTTTGTGTGATCTCAGGAACTACGGATTTGAATTGATATCATACTGCGAACAGTAGGAGCAATGAAGCGACAGGAAGCGAACGTCTTCGTGGGTACCTAACCTCCAAAAAAGTGGCTAACGTTCAAGCAAAGGAACTGGCTAGGCAGTGCTAAGTGTAAAACGATTCTACGCGAACAAAGTACAGCTAGACCGTAAGTAGTAAAACAAGATTTAAGAAAAACGCAAAATTTATAATTTGCCGTTGAATAAAGTCAATATCCAAAAAGTGTCAAAGGAATAAAAATAATAGACATTTGTCATTATACAAGAGGTCTTACTGTGTAATATGCGTCTTACTGCGCAAATGTATATGTACTTAATTTATATAATTTTTTTTAAAGATGAGTTTTTTTATCTTATTTCCGCTACAAATTGTACCAAAGAGGGTAATGCGGGTAAAGAGTTTAATAACTAACTGATCTGATATCTCCTTTTGATACTGTTTGTTAGCGTCAAATCTTCTCTTTCTCCGTAGCGCCATAAGATCGTTCCACTCTTTTGCCTTCTTAATAATGTCATTATCATCTTTTCTCTTCTGTTCTGCTGCCAGGTGCTTTAGCTTCGCATTAAATTTCAGTTGTTCCTGACGCTCCTTTTGGATTACTGTTTCTATTACGGCACTGTAGAATTAAAAATATATAATATGACCGCCTCTGTAGCCAAATTGATTAAACGTATGGCCTAGCATTGCGTTAAGCGCAAGAGGTCCTGGGTTCGAATCCCAGGGAAACATAAAATTGTTTCGATCGGGCAGGGCACAGAAGTCTGATTAACTACTTGCCCGTTAAAAGAACGGATCGGTGAAACGGACACAGAAATGTGTTCGCCCCATGCCCCACGACGGGGAAACGGGCTTTCACTACTATATGTATATAATTTAATTGATATAATATAATTAACTTATAATAATTATATGTGAAAACTAAAACTAATATTACGAAACCAAGTAATTAGGAGCATATATCATTTTTCTATTGAGATCTGTGCCAAAAATAGTTCAAATATATTTTATAATATTGTCTATATGGTGTATAATAAATGACTTTTTAACGTTATCCAAGGGTTACTTTTGCAATTTTAATGCGTTTAAATAAAACTTTAATAATTAAAATAAATGATAAACTTATTTTTTTTATAAAATATTTATCTATGACCCTTTTTTCACTGATGGTGTGAATGCCTAATGCACTCCCACGCCGGGTAATAGTGACATGGGGAGTGTGGTAAATTGTATCGCCGACCAGAACCACTAAACACACCACCAACCCTTTTCGCCTTTGAGCGAGCCCTGGGAACACGTTTATACAACTCCAAAGCTCCCAGATTTATACGACGTTACGTTTTCAATGGTTTGCAACAGAGTCGTTCACGGAGAGACACCAGTTCCAGCTTAAATAATGTCTATAGTTTACGCGAGTAGTACACATTTAAATAAAACACTTTAACGGTTTAAAACGCGATATATTAGTTAAACTTATTTGGAAATGATTTTTTAACTTCGGCCCGACGTTTCGGATGCTTTGCAGCAGCCGTGGTCACGGGGAGACTCCCCGTGACCACGGCTGTTAAAGTGTTTTATTTAAACAGTTCCAGCTGAAAACTCAAAACGCCGGGTCGTGCTTAAAATAAATTATTTTTTATTTTATTTAAAAAAAAACTCGTACATTTTGCGTTTCAAAGTGTTAAAACGGTTTAGTTAAATGTTTTATATTTGCGTTAATTACTGACAGCAATTTTAGTGTACTTACGACAGTAAAAGTTTAGGCGCATCCTTGTTTTTGAAGACCGTCTCTCGCGCACTATACATGAGCTCGCGTTGCTCCTCACGCTTCCTCTTCAGGTATTGTTGGTAGAAGCGACTGTTCGCCTGTTCTGCTGCTTCGATACGGCCACGCCGAAGTTCCTCATTACGTTTGTTTACGTTCTAGTAAGCGATACAATATATGAGAATGGATAGATGGTTGTTATTTTATTACAAATAAATTTTTACACTAAATAAAATTATATCAAAAATAAAATAAAATAAATAATTTATTAATTATTATTATTTTATTTTATTTATTTACTTTTTTAGTACGCCTCTTACAAAATTTTGTGGAACTACAAACTTGTTTAAGTACTGTCTGTAGTTTACGCGAGTAGTGCACATTTAAATAAAACACTTTTTCCGGGTTTAAACGCGAATTAAAATAATTTACAAATTATTTTAAATACGGCCCGATTATTGGAAATGTTTTGAAATGTTCACGCGCTTTAAACTGTTAAAAGTGTTTTATTTAAAGCTTGTTTATTATTCCTAATTCCATTTAGCAACTTATAAGTGAAGAGTTTACCTCTAGAGAATTCGGCCAGTTCTTTGTCATATTTCTACTGGAGTCGTCCAAATATTTCACATACTCCTTGCGCCGCAAAACCTCCTGATCCTCACGGCTCGAGTCCGTCCAACGCACAATGCGAGACCACTCGTCTTTCGTCATTACAATTGGCATGGCTTGGCTAATAAGCAAATAGGTATTATTATGGTAACTATTACGTTAAGGGCTGACGCAAAATTTAAACGCCTGTCTAAAAACAAACAAAATGTTTAATCGAACTTTTAAATTACGTTACTTGGCAACTATCTATAAAATGTAATATAAGAATTTGTAATTAAATTGTTATTACTAAAGGTACCTCATTAGTGAAGTTTCGTTTGTAGAACAATAGTAATATTAGGTAATGTTTTGATATATATCCTAGGTATAAATGTCTTTATCAGAATGTAACTAGGTCAGTCGATCTTTTACAAGAGAGATTCCTTGACAATGATTGTCCTGACTTTAACAAAAGAATGATAATAATTCATTATTCTCTTTTGCTAGAGGTTAAATATTTACATTTATTTTAAAATTCATTTACATTTATTTTAAATAGTATGGATTTTTATTCAGAGAAATCTTTCAATAAAAAAGAACAAATATGTGGTTACAGGTTGGTTAAAGTTGGCGAAACATGTTTCTTGAAGTTGTTACATAATATGTATCAAAACTATTTGTTTTACGTACTTCTAAACGACACTCTACTTTCAACTGTCATTATGACATATCAAGGTCTGTCCGTAATGTCATTGAGATGTCAGTCGGCGAATTTTAAAATATATGTCAGCCACGTTGGAACTGCCAACTTGGTGTTTTGTGGTAAATAATGCAAGATTTCGATAAATTAAATTAAATTTCACATAGGGATCGCATAAAACATCATCTTGTACCTAACAGTGCATAAGCGCAAGTTGCATTTCAATTGTTTACTTAATGGAAGACGTATGAAAAGCTGTGACATAATTGTGTTGTTTTTACGTTTCTGTCGGGAGTATTAAAGGTTTTCGTGTATATTGTAGTAAAATTGGTGCATCACGATGAAGGTGAAAGAACTGAAGAAGACCGTGAACGTGAGCTGGTCACCAGCAGAGCAGTATCCGCCGATGCTAGCTGCCGGCTCAGCGGCGCAGCAAGTAGACGCGACTTTTAGTTCAAATTCTGTACTAGAATTGTATTCTTTAAATTTGGAGGATCTCGGACTTGATTTAGAACTTAAAGCCAGCTTACAGACACAGCACAAGTGAGTGTGACATAGATATTATTTAATTTAGTGTGTAATAAATTATACATTTAGAATTGAACGTATTTAAAGTTACAAATTTTTGTATATTTCTAGTCCATATTTACATGTACATTGTATTAAAAAAAAGTCTATTATAGAAAATCCCATTCCAGAGCTAATAAACTTACATGTAAATAAAATAAACTCCTAAGAAAATTCAAATGTTTCAATGCAACCTTTTAATTATTAATTAGTGCTAAAGTAAATTCTATCTATAGATTTCAGAAGATAGTTTGGTCTGGTGCAGGAACAATTGTTGGTGGTTGTGATGGTGGCTTGTTACAATTCTACAATGCTGAGAAGGTCTTGAATAGCTCACCTGATGCTCTTATTGGAAGTAGCACTAAACATAATGGTAAACCGAACATTTATATATTTTTTGCCTCCCCTAATACAAGAGTACATGCAGCATTTTCTGACCATTCAAACAAAATATTTATTATGCCCATTTAAAATAACTTTTCTTGCTTAGTTTTAATTCTTTGGACAAATCTGTTAATTTTCTCCTAATGGGGATATGTTACACACTTTAGTAAAAGTAAAGTGTGGTGAATAATTGGAGAGTAAGTTTTTAACACAATTGTAACAATAGTCCACTGATTGACTGGTACATTGATAAGTTATCTTTAATTTAGGACAGGCTAACTTGTAGTGTTCTGATAGGAATAATGTCATAAATATTTTTGATAATGTTTTGCTCTACTCACTCCTAAGAAGCATTTAGAGATATAAGGTCAATGTAAAAGTGATGTAATTGTGTATTTTTCTTCTGTAAAGCACTTAAGGTAACTTTCCAGGTAATGTATCTGCTTTGGATATCAATCCATATCAAAAGAATCTCCTTGCATCCGGAGCATCAGAGAGTGAAATCTTCATTTGGGACCTGAACAACACAAGTCAACCAATGGCACCGGGTAACAGAAGTCAGCCGTATGAGCATGTCCAGGGATTAGCGTGGAATCAACAGGTTTGCAATAAATAATATCACCTGAGTAATTTAAAAATCCAAAATAATTTATATAGTGCCGAAAATATTAAATGTTTTCAAATATCACCTGAAATTTATTTAACATGCTTTATTATGCTAATTGATATTACACATAATTCCTATGTGTGTATATATATCACTTTTAGAGAGAACATAAAAATATTTTCAATTTGAACCTGAAGTTGATTCCTGGGTTGCCCTAATCAAAAGATTAGGTGATTATGTTCTCCGTATCCATATTATTTTATTATTTTTCAGGTGCAACATATATTAGGTTCAACATTTGCAACAAGATGTTTAGTATGGGATTTGAGGAAGAACGAACCTATAATGAAATTAAGGTATGCATAATATCCTCTTAATTTTTATCAAAACAGGCAAGAGTGTAAAGTTATATTAACATTCTTAATGATTTCAGTGATTCCCAATCGCGGACGAGATGGCGAAGCCTCTCCTGGCATCCTGAAGTGGCAACACAGCTCTGCATAGCTTCAGAAGATGACCAGCTGCCGGTCGTCCAACTTTGGGATCTGAGGTAGGGTGGTAGGATGACCTGTCTTTGCATTTGTACTTCAATATGGCTCCCATTCAGAAAGTCATTGAGGATTTTCTCTCCTATACTAAATGTATAAACTACTGTTGTTTATTGCCTTTGAAGTTAAATTATCAGACTATTCAATAATATATTATCAACATATATTTTAAAAACATTTTTTACATGTTATTGCACATGATGACACTATATAAAGTCGGTTGGCCCGTGTTGAAAATGTTTCAATTTATAATCGATTTTTAATTACCATGTATTTTGCTGTAATTATTGAAAGTTGCAACATGTAGTTAGTGTGGTATTAAATTAATTTAAGGTTGGCAGCATCTCCGCTTGTGACGCTAGAAGGTCACGGAAAAGGCGTCCTTGGTTTATCATGGAGCAGACATGATCCAGATTTATTGCTCAGCGCTGGCAAGGATGGACGGTTGCTCTGTTGGAACCCAAATAATACTAAACCAGTAAGAATTGCACAATAGGCTATTTTCATATGGGTAATACTAATTTAATAGCTAATAACCTAATCTTTTGATTAAAACATAGGTAGCTTTTTATCACTTTTGTTTTGTATTTAGTCTAAGCTTATTCCCATATTTGAATATGCCCCACCTGTAAATTTTTCAGTTTTTTGCCAACAGATGCATCAAAATCTTTTGTAACAAAATATTACGATTTCAATAGTATTTTTTCTTTGCCAGGGTGGCGAATTAGTAGTGGAAGTTTGCCAGCAATCCCAATGGATGTTCGACGTGGCGTGGTCCCCCCGTACCCCAGGTCTTCTAGTGGCTGCTTCTGGCGAGCAGCACGTCGCTCTACACACCCTGCTGGGCGGCACTAGAGCTGATCGGGTCATTATTTCTTTATCTAGAAGTTATTTTGTGTAGATCTTGCCAATACTTTTGTGCCATTCTTAATGTAAATTAAACTTAATGTTAATTTTTACATTACTTTTTTGGTAGGACAAACTCAAAGTAATAAACAGTTAAGCCGATTAGTATAATAGCTTACTCAACATTAGATCTCTAAACATAGATTTATAATTTCTAGCAAAGTGCACACACACAGAGCAACATAATGGAGTCCTTCGGGGGTGCTGACTCATTCGCTGCATTGCCAGTGGTCACGAGGGCCCCGCCGCAGGAAGCACAAGCCCCGCAACCGACTAGAGCGCCTGCTTGGCTTAAGCGGCCTAGAGCTGCTAAATTTGCTGTTAGTTTTTGCCATTATTGTATAAGTTTTAATAGTATTTATTTATTTTTCACATATAGGAAACATAGAGAAATATTCTATTGTACTAGATGGGATAGGTAAAAATTTGATATCAGAAATCCAATTAAAAATTGTTGCTTTTTGGTCCAGAAATTTAAAAAAAAAATAAAAAAATGGCAAAAATGCGAGCTTAGAAAAAAAATTTAAGTGATAAACATTTCTTCATTGACATCGTAGTGTTGGCGTATGTCGCGTTATGCACATTTGAAAACATGTGGAAAACAAAATACAATTCTGAAAAAGATGTAACACAAAAGTGTGTCACTTTTATTTTTGCCTATTTATTAACGGGTATGTTGATAAGCAAACATGCCCTGCCTCCTTGGAGACAACTATTTTAAGAATTCAAACTTTAGCGTTTATTTCAATGAGAAATTACAAAGTTCTAAACCTTGAATCTTTACAATGTTCACTGTATTGATCATTAAAAAAAAAATATATAATTAATGTTATTTCAGTTTGGCGGTAAATTGGTGACGTTCGAAAAATGCCCACAAGACGAGGGTTCACGAAAGCTCGTTCAAATCAATCAGGTATATAAGAATTAATAATATATTGGTTAAGATAACATTTTTTGAATTTGAAATATTTTATTAGAAATATGATACTAGGTGGTAACGGAACCTGAGCTGGTGGAGAAGTCGGTGGCGTTGGAACAAGTTTTGGCACTGACGCTTAGTAGAGACCCGCAGGCAGCAGATAGGCTTGCAGAGTATGTTATATCCGATATTTGTCATTTATTTAAATATTATAATTTATGCTTTATTCATGATTCAACACAATTGATGTTATCCTTTTCTCCTTAATATTAAAGAAACAAGCTTTAAAGCAATTTAACAGCTTTACAAATTTATTCTACTGTCGTGTGGTGGAGTTGTTAAGCTTGACTAGGTTTTGTAAATTTGAGAGTGAGAACTTTATTTAGTAAAATTATTTCATAGCTTAAAAAACTATTTGCATATATAAATACTGTATGTAGTTTACGCGAGTAGTACACATTTAAATTAAACAGTAACGGTTTAAAACGCGAAGACACCGAACCACGGATATGTGTTTTTCCCGTGACCACAGCTGCTGCAAAGCAACCTATACGCCGTAGTTAAAATAATTTTCCAATAGGTTTAACTAATATTTTGTCGTGTTTTAAACCGTTAGTGTTTTATTTTAATGTATACATGCATATCTTGTACATATATGGGTGTTATAATACTAAGGTTATTTTTAGATATTGTCGCGAACAAGGCGATTCTTCCGGGGACCAACACGAACGGTATACGTGGTTCTTTTTGCGAGCCAACTTCTTACCTACCTTCCGAACGGAGGTCCTTAATTTACTTGGTAAGTTATTAAAAAAAAAGTGATCTTAATGATTATCAGCCATACAAGCTCAACAACTTATAGACAAATCTTTTTGCATAAAGTGAATAGTACATGCTAAGGTCATTAAAATATTAAATTGCTTTTTTACGTTTAAGTTTGGGAAAAGAAGAAATTGATACAGCAGCAAAACCCGTAGGATATAAGAATGGCCCAATTTCACGTGTTTTTTGTTCTTTGGTTATTAATATTCTTCGCGTGATGATTTCAGGTTACAAACAAGACGACATACCTTCCAAATTTAAATCTCAAAACGTCGCGGACATCCAAAATGATACAGCATTTTTGAGTCGTGTAAGTCAATATTTATCATTCAATCATAATCAACGTCATGTATGTTTATGTGCATGTCTTATAAAAAAAACAAAATTGCTTTTAGCTTTTTATTTCATAATGGAACAGCTTCTATCATTACCCATTTATCAGTTAAAAATATCGTCATATAAATCAACCAATAAAATTGTAACTTTGAATTGATATTAAACTTTCAATTAATGCAGATATCGTAGCCCTTTTCACTAAGATATCATTCCAAGTATACTTTATCACTAAGTCGATAAATGTAGCTAACACGACTTAATGGGCGAACATTGTGGCAAACATGGCTATTTGTGCCTAACATGACTAATTGTGACTAACATGACTATTTGTGACTAACATGGCTAATTGTGGTTAACATGGCTAATCGTGGCAAACATGGCTAATTGTGGCTCACATGGCTAAATGTGGCTGTATGTATAAATGTGAATGTTCTGTTTGTTTTGCGCTACGCTCAGGGTGAATCTACGGAGACTGAGGCGGAATTATCCACAGACACTAGCACTGACGTATCTGTGAGTATATTATCAAAACGACCACAAGAGCCGCCTTATAATGTTTATTTTTGTTATTCGAGCATTTGTTTAAAAAATATATGTGATTGATATATTACTTTACAGTAATATATCAATTGATAACTTTATTTTACCATTCAAGGCGGTCAAACCCATCCGTGCATTATACTATATTCCGTGCGTGTAGCAGTTCCGTTCTACCATAATATGTAGTAATTTGATTCAAAGTTCTCCCCTTCTCTTTCAGGAGGCCCAGACTCTTATCGAAAGGAAGCTGGCGAATTTGGACCTGGAGCCAACAGTTACGAATGTTTCCATACCCAATGGAGAAGGTATAAAGTTGATTAATAATAATGTTTTCGGTCCGTAGTTTTAATTTATTATGACTCTATATTTCTGTTAAGTTTCATCAAAATTTGTTCAAAAATACTTTTGTTATAAAAAATCCAAAATTTTTCGTATTTGTAATATTTAGTTTATTTAACTTAACTTATTGGCTGTACCATAAGGCTGATAGAATCAGTCCCAGCGATGGAAACTATAGAACTTTATATAAAGGTAATGCCATAAAGATCTCTATTACTAAATTTTTATTTTCAGATTCAACAAGCCTTATATGTCGAGCGCTAGTCTGCGGAAACTTGGAGGAAGCTGTAGAGTTGTGCTTGGAAGCCAACAGAGTAGCTGATGCCCTTATCATTGCATCTTTAGGTCAGCCAGCACATATTTCAGACCGGTAGTAAATGCAAAAATTGAGGCGTTAGTTTCGCCTTTTGCACTAACAGCATTTTATATAGTTTCCGCTAAAGAGTAAAATAATCTCTGATAACTTAATTGCACGTACGATTTAACACTTAGTGTTTGATTCAAGACTTCTCATATATACATTACAGGTAGCCAAGAGCTAGTATATAAAGTGCAAAGGTATCACCTAAACAAGACAGCAACAGACCCGGTGTCTCTGCTTAGCGGCAGCTTGCTTCGCAGTAAGTGGGACGCGCTCGTGAGGAGCTCAGCCCCAGCTAACTGGAAAGATGTGCTGGCGGCCCTTGTGACGCATTGTGAAAGCGATGTGTTGGCCCAATATTGTGGTTAGTTTTTTATTAGACTCCTATTACCTTAAGACTTGGGATTTATGATTTTTTTTCATTTGTACTGTAAAGCGTTTTAGCAATATTGTATCGTGTTTTTTAATTGTAAAAAGCAGCCTTTGTCGTTTGCAGATCGTTAAAATCTAATCTTCGGCCAATATGTACGTGAAGATGCAATAAGGATTGCGTGCAATTCTTTAATTAAACTTTAAAATAACTTAATTAGTAGCAGTTATGAGTTAAACAAATAATTATACATCTCTCCTTTTAAAAAAAGAGTGTAAAGTTCCTAAAATGAAGAGTTTATAGATTTTGTTTCACTTGTATGTCTTTAAGTATAGAGATAAATTTGAATGCACTCTTTGAAAAGACAGCGCATCTCAATTCGATGTAAGATGGTGGGGCATTACTCCTATATGAAGTGAACCACACTTGTCTGCCTCCCCTCTAAAAAAATTTAAGCGTTTTTTTGTATACATAGAACTGTTGGGTGACAAACTGTCTGAGGAGTCAGATCCATCGTACAGAAAAGCAGCACAACTGTGCTACGTAGTCAGTGCAGCTGGCGACGCATTAGCGAAGCGACTGTTGCGCGACTTGCGTGATGAAAAACGTGACGTCGGCGACGTTAGTACGCTGACGCAGCGCGCTCAACTCGCTCTATTATTGAAGACCGCTGCTGAAGCTAGAGGAAGACCAGTCAAGGTTAGTCTTAACTTACATTTTCTAATTTATATTCACCATAGGAAAAAAATATCTACTACTCTTTAAATTTTAGAAAGAAATGTATATTTAAAAGTAATAGATAAGAGCCGTTTTATGGTAATGATATTATTGTACGGAGAAACCTAAATCTATTTAATTAGATAGATTTAAGTTCTCTATGTTATATGGATATATGAATATATACTTTCAAGAATTATGCCAAAATTATGTTTTTTTACAGGAAGGGGGTAGTCTCACGAGTGTTCTTACTGAATACGCGGGTAGATTGGCATCACAAGGTTGCCTTCAGAGCGCGTTAACAGCGCTCCAAGGTTCACCCTCTGAAATGTATGACAGGCTTGCCACAGCCTTAGGAATAATACAAAACCGATTTGCACAGGTGACATATTTCTCCCGCATTTTATTAATTATAGCTATGAAACAACATCCCACAGTAAATTATTGCTATTAATGTAAGAGAAGCATATTTTAAATAATTAGATAAAACACTTAACGGTTTAAAACGCGAATTGTAATACTAAAACTTATTTATAAACAAATTATTTTTACTAATTAACATCGGTCCAACATTTCAGATGCTTTGCCGTGGCCGTGACCATTTAAAATAAGTATAACTAATATTCAAACCATAAAAAGTGTTTTATTTATATGTGTATTACTCGCAATTAAAGCTGTGTGTAACTTAAAATTCTTAAAATATAGGTCTGTGTAGACTAAAGACGTACATATTTTAAATATTTAAAGATTAGGCTGATATAGAGAGAGTGTAAATCGTTGATCAAAAACTGAATGAAATTCGGCTTTCATAAGAAACCATATGTATTTTAAAGATTCATAATTTTTTATAGCATCATCCCCAACAACAGCCATATCTAGGACGAACCCGGACAGCGAGTGAACAGTCGCAGAAACGCTCACATATTTCAAATAGCTACTTACCCAACGCCCCTTCTATTGGTGAGTCATTAAAAACGTTTGTATATAATTACGTAGCTAAGGCATCTCCGTCTGTGTTGCTGTTGAAAAAATTGCCGTTACAACAATAAAAAAGCCGCAAAGTCGAAGATATATTTCTAGCAATTTTTTTTTTATCTGAAAAGATCGATCCGAACTGTTATTTCTAAACTTTGTTCGTTACAGTGCCAAAACCAGATGACCAGTGGCAAAGGCCAAACAACACGTGGGGTCAACCTCAACCCTTAGTTCCTCAACCGCAGTTGCCGCCTCAGCAACCTCAACAGCAATCTCGACCAGGCAGCGTGGGACCACAATCCGGTATGGCTGAGCAGACATTTCTAATGTTTGGTCTTTCAATCAATTATAATATTACTTTTTTAGAACATTTGTTTTCTTTCCTTGCAATGTAATGCGTTGTTGTCAAGTATGAATATTTTTTTTATGTATATAATGTAACATACACGACACTAATAAAATAGAAGAAACTCTATATCTACTCTATATATAGACTCTAATCTAGATGCTATCGCCTCAACAAAAGTATAATATCTGTTATTTAGATTATTTTCCCTGTAGGTGTTAACAAGGTGTTCATAAATTATAAAATTGTTATAGGTATAACATCCAGATCTAAATACAAAGTGGATCCGTCAGTACAGTCGGCCCCTCTATACAGCCAGTACGGTTTCAACAACCCAGTAACAGCCCAGCCCCAGTCCTATGGTTATAACAGCCCACTTCCAGATCAATACAATTCGGCTAGTGTACCTACGCACAACTTCACACCGATCAACCAACCTAACATTCCATCAAATCCGTTATCAAATTATCCCAATAACCCATTAAATCCAGCTCCATTAAACCCAGCAAATCAGCCGGGGCAGTTGAACGGCAGCTATTATGCCTCACAGGGAATAGAACCCGTAGCGGCCGCAGTGCCATCAAAGCCTGTGGCACCTGGATGGAATGATCCTCCAGTTATGACAACTAAAGCTAAGGTAAAAACCCTGTTTTAATGAGCTTACGAAAATATAGTCAATTTTAGTCGAGTTAAACATACTATATAGAATTATAACAATATATTGTTATATAATAAAATACTAAGGGTTTGAAACGCGATATATATTAGTTAAACTTATTTGGAAATTAATTTAACTACGGTCCGACGTTTTCGAATTTCCAAATAAGTTTAACTAATATATATAATATAAAAATGGACTACTCGCATTAACTACAGAGAGTGTTTAATATATAAATATTATTGAACATCTGTATTTATAAATATATACACTAACAATATATTTTTTATTATATGTAATATGTAACTATATTGATTTAGATGGAACAAGAGTCAATGTCCGCTTTGCACGCTGGAACTAGACATTGGGACCACATTATTGGTCACGCGCGTCATGAGGTACACGAAGATGAACAAACACAATAGTCTATTCACCGAAACAATTTAATAGTTCCTTCCCTCTTTCCCACAATAATATGCAAGTTATATTGATAGAAAATGATTAGTGGGCGTCGCCTATTCATTCCATAGTAACTATGTAGTTTCAGTGAGTAGACTTTATAAATATAGTTTGTTCATGGTGTGCAAATGTGCAAGAGCATGGTGTTTATTTTGTTAAAATATCATCTATCTTCTGTTTAGATTAGAGTGTTCTTATAGTCAATACTTCATTTGATATGATTTTTTTATTAATATTTATAAAGAAATACTCTACAATTTTCTCATTTTAAACTTCAATTTCAGCCAAAACAGGAAATGCAACAGCAAGCCCCAATAACGCATCCGCTATTTGGAGCCGAACCACCGCAGCACGTCCCCTTGAACCCACAATTCCCAGGGCAACAGCAATTCTCGGGCCAACAATTACCTCCTCAACAACATCCCGGACAGCAGAGTCAGTTCCCCGGACAGCAAAGTCAGTTCCCCGGTCAGCAGGGTCAGTTCCCCGGACAGCAGGGTCAGTTTCCGGGACAGCAGGGTCAGTTCCCAGGACAACAATTCCCCGGACAAAATCAGTATCCCGGACAATATGATCAGTATCAAGGACAGTATCAGCAACAAGGATTTCAGCAACGGGTTTGTATTTTAAGTCATAATATTTTTTATGTACGAACAAAGAACTTCCTTTAACTAAGATTTTTATTTTGAACTTACGGCTTGTCGATTTATGGACTGTTGTCTACAAAGTAGAGACAACTAATACAAATAAAAACAGGGACAAATGATATTTATTCAGTTTACAGGATGCGTTATTAAATTTTACAAAATGGTAGAAAAGACATCCACGACGTGTCCTTTTTACCAAAAAATGTACTAGAATCTCTGTGTGAAAAATACATGTAAGGTAAATACTTAACATAAACTATATATATTACGGAACATATTTTTTCGTAGGCTGAGAGTCCAGCCCCAGTACAGACAGCGCCCGTACCAAAGCCCCCTATTCCGGACCAGCATCTCATCTTGCAGACCACGTTCGATCAGCTTAGAAACGACTGCGCAAACGCTACTTCGAATGCAGTGAGTTAATTAACATATATATTCATACAATATACTTCAGACAGATAAAACGTACAGTAATCGTTACTTAATTTATTAATGTTAAAATGTACAACTCTTGCGCAGATGGCGAAGCGGAAACTTCTAGATATTCAGAAGAAATTAGAAAATCTCTACGACCTCCTAAGAGAGAACAAGGTACGTCAAATTAAGAGAAAATACCTACATTTTATATAATTCTTTAAGGACAACGTTCAAGGTTCAAGGTTCAACGTAACGTCTAGATAAACATTCGGTGTACACAGTTGAAATATTGAAAAAAATTTTGGCCGGTTCTTCTTGTACATGGGAATGAATTTGTCATTGTTCAATGATTTCCTTTTTTGTAAAGGTTTTTATATTTTTCTATATTTTCTGTAACATTTTAGACTTTGAAAATCTGTATTATAAATAGGTGGTAGATATATCGAAATTACATCCACTTCACGAACCACCGTCCACAGATAATAAAGCCGTGAAGCTTAATCGCGTTTCGGTTTCAGTCTGTGGACTTCTAAATGTCTCAAGTCGAAATAGGTCGACGACGCATCTTGTTTAGATGTTGTATGGCTGAGGTATTCCACGTACCGTCAAGTGAAGCCCATGCTTGTCCGTCCCGTATCCTTTATATTAATTTTTATTTAATGTAAAAGTACTTTCTACTGAATTATATTTTTTGTGTAATCAATATTTTCAGCTATCCGACAACTCGCTGAGTACGCTCCACGCGTGCGCACAGTACATCCAGGGCAGGGATTACGCCAATGCGCAGCAAGCCGTCACATCCCTGGCAGGAGATGTCGACTTCGCGGTCGTCGCATCTTTCCTCCCGGCGCTAAAGATGCTTTTGACATTTGCGGAACAGCCACGATAAAGAAATATTTGTTAGTCAAAGTTAAGTCAAAGACATTTGTCACTTTACGTTGAATTCGATTACTGAGAACAAAATGTATCAGCTTCACGCAGACTTAAGATTTTTCATTTGCAGGTACTTTAATACGCTATTATGTATGATTAATACATACATGTATCAGGTTCTTAATGAAGTTTTTTTTAAATTTTGATAACCGTTGGCTTTGTATGTCACGTTGACGTTAAAAATGGGCGGAGTCTTAACAAGTGACTTAGTGACATACATTATCTTGCCGGTTACGACTCTATACCTTTTATGATTAGCGTAATACATACATGACTTAAATGTCATGTAAAAGTTTATGACATTAATTAGAAAAAAAAGCAATGAAAAAAACACAAAACAAAAAAAACTAATAAAAACGCAATCGGAGAAGTTTTCTTTTATATTGGACTTGTTAATGACTGGAATAGTCCAACAAAAATTAATCATAAAAAACAGTTCTATTGTAAGTGTTAATAAAAATAATGTAACTTAGACATTTTTATAAGAACGTTTTCAACATTTTCTACAACTGACTTGGTCATGTAATATGTAATAAAACTGTGGCTTACACTAAATATTTATGTCCAAATTGACTTAGATTTATTTGATTATGACTTATGAAAGTTTTAATTTAAGGTTTAGTTCAAACCTGTAATAAAATGCATTGATGTTAAAATATTGTTATATAATATAGTCTCTTTGTCGTAACTGCCACTTTCTAACGACGAGTTTAATAATTATTAAATATTATGTACCATAATTATTTCGTAGATATGTTTACCGGTTACATATTCAACCGGATTTATTAAACACATTAGAAAACTGAGCCAGTTTGTTTTTGCGTTATTTTTTAAATGTTTATAAGACTAAAAATTTGTAGTAACAAAATAAAATATATCCTAATTATAGTGTGATTGTATAGGAATGTACATGTCTACTTATATGTAAGTTATTATAATTATATAAATGAAATATATTTTAAAAATTAATATTTACTGTCTTTCATTTAATGCAATAAAGCGGAATAAGTTCGTAGTAGTTTTAAAGTGAATTTGTGTTTGTATAGATGTATCATTATAGATCCGCAAGTTATTATTTAAATATGTATTTACCAAGAGTTTCTGATAATGTTAAAATATCAATAGTTACTGACTAGCTGTGCCAGCGATTTCGTCTGCATAGAATAGTTATTTTGGGTAGACCTCATCTTAAATACCTGTTATCCACGACGTTGTTCGCGTCCCGTCGTTCTTAAAAATCAATCTTAAAATATAGACATACTGTCGTGGACATGTTTTAAAATTATTTAAAAGGAATCATTTTTTTTATATATATTTATTGGGTATATTGAACCGTTTTCATAGCGCACGCAACGGAAACTCTCAGTTAATTAATAGTATATTAAATACCATTCAAAAGTGATTTGCTCGTACGTGTAAGTGTGACAAGCATTCTTATAATCTCGCTTTTATAATTTTATTTCCCGCGCTTACTTTTATTACCAAGCTTATACCAATGAGCACAGTCGATAAGTGCGTAAAATAAAAATGCATCATACTACAAGAAAGCATAGCGTAATATTCCCTACCGATTGCAACAGAGTGCTTCGCGCCATCATTAGGAGAAGGGGAACGCATTCAGAATAATCCTGCGTTTACTATATAGTGCTTCCTGCATTTTAACTATTTTTAAAAGCATCCCGCTTACTGCGGCATTAAAATCGCTATAAAATTGTTATGACTTAAAGGGTATCCTTTTAGCGATCGTTACTGGCAACTACAATATTGGAGGGAGTTGTACAAGTTCACGTAACATATACATATTTTAAGAAAACCCTTCTTTCGCGAGGTTGTCGGCTTAGGTGTATTTTTTACTTAATACATACTTCGTCTTCCTAATTTATTTACTCTATAGTATCTTTTGCATTTATAGTTTTTAGCAGGACATTATATAATATTCATACTTTTATTATTAGGTCTAAGACGACTTCGTGTAACTGTACTTACATGTACTTGTGATTTTTTATAATATCAAATCTGATTTGAAGATATTTATAATTACCCTTGTGAATTCAAGTATTTATTTATAGGTACATAAGGGTGCCAATCAGTATTTAATAATTATAACAATATATAATAAGTATTTAAATTTAGTGTTTCAATAATAATCATAATCATTAAACTGTTTATATATAAATAGACCTTGTATTGACTATTTCGTAAACATTTGATTCGTAATATATTGTTTGGTTTAATACGGCCGACGTAAATTGGCAAGTCTTTAATTATTACTTTCATATAAATGTTTACAGTAAAATTAGATTAATATTATAACTCTGTTTAGTTGTTATAATGAAAACGCGTCTGATGTTGGATAATGACTACTTTTATTTCAAAATGACACTTGACAGTATATACAATTGACACCAGATGTCGCCACAATGCTACTTTATTATCTATGTCTATATTCTATGTATTATTTCTATTTTGATATCACTTTATAACACCCCCACTATATCAAAATATCAAACAAACTAGTTGCCTTATAAACTATAATACATGTATATAAACCTATATAAACTATATTGCCATACATACATATATATTGCACAGTTCACAACTCAAAGAAACAATAAACTTAATTTTTATTTCAAATAAATTATTTTTGCACAATACCAAGTCTTTGCATAAACTCATAGTGTTTTAGTCCAGGTAATCCCTTAGTAAGCAAATCCGCAGGCATACTAGAAGTTGACAAATATTTAGTCTCAACCTTATTGTTGCTAATTACTTCTCTGATAAAATTGTATCTTATATCAATATGTTTGGAACGCTTATGAGAATAATGGTTGCTTGCCATCTTCAATGCACTCTGATTATCATTATACAAAACAATCTTATTGCAATTACCTAACAATTCACATTCTAAATTCTGTAAATATAAAGCTTCTCTACATGCTTCTGACAAAGCCATGTACTCTGCCTCACAACTACTGAGAGCAACCGTTTTTTGCTTTTTGCTTTCCCAAGAAATAGCAGATCCAGATCTCATAAAACAAAACCCTGTATATGAACGTCTATCAATGACATTGCTTGCCCAGTCTGCATCCACAAAGCCAACCAGTTCTGCTTCTTCTTTGGAATATCTTAAGCAATAATTCTTAGTTTTTAACAAATATTTTAAGACTCTCTTGGCATAATTCCAATGTAACTGTGAATAACAATTATTAAATTGACTAAGGTAACTAACTGCATAAGCAATATCTGGTCTTGTCAAGACCGCTAAGTACATTAGACTGCCTATTAATCTCTGATAAGGTAGGTTATTATTACACTGTTTCGGTTTCTCGATATTCAATTTACATTCTATGTGTGTGTTTACGGTGTGTTACGGTGTGTTTGCCAAATTACTATCAGTCATATTAAACTTACTTGCTATCTGTTCAATATAATTCTCCTGATCTATTGTAATAACATTTTTGCTTATATTAATTCTCATACCTAAATACTGTTTAACTTGTCCCAAATCTTTAATCTTAAACTTTTGACTCAATGCTTCTATCAAGGACTTAGTTTCTGACTCATTATTCGAGAAAATTATAAAATCATCAATATAGACACCAACAATAGTTTTCTTATTGTTATTATGATTTTTTATAAAAACACAAGGTTCAAGTTCACATCTTCTGTAACCTAAATTGCACAATGTTTCATCTACTCTTTGATACCAAGCCAAAGATGATTATTTTAAGCCATAAACAGCCTTTTTTAATTTCATTACTTTATTTGGCTCTTTATTAGGAAAACCTTCTGGCAAGTACATAAATATACTCTCTTTCAAATAATCATTAAGAAAAGCTGTTGTGACATCTAAGTGAGTAACATTCATATCTAACTGCACACTTAAAGAAAAAAGTAAACGCAAGGTTGAGTGCCTAATCACTGGGGAAAAAGTTTCATCATAGTCCACACCAGCCCTCTGAGTGAAACCTTTTGCTACAAGTCTGGCACGATGTCGCACTTTATTGTCACAATCTATTTTCTTTTTTAAGACCCATTTACACTGCACTACACTAGCACTATCTGGAGCATCGACTATCTCCCAAACTTGGTTATCATCGAATGACTGCAGCTCTTCTGCCATTGCCTGCAGCCATTGTTGGCTCTCAGGACCGCTGATAGCCTCCGCATAAGTCAGTTCATTGTCTCCTATAGATGTAGTACTCATATTTGCAAACCCATATCTTTCCGGTCTTTTTCTTAGCTGTTTCTTTGGTTCTTCATTTGTCTGAGGTACATTGTTTGCTTCTTCTTCTTTCTCTTTCTTGTCACTCTCTTCCTTTTTTTTATGGAAAGAATTATTTAGGCTTTCTGAGTAATCACACTCACTGGAACTGGACTGATTGTGAAGAAATTCTGTCTTCACCGCAGATTCCTCCAACAATTCCCCCACTGAATCTGTGGTCTCCACTACTGGAATAGTTACAGTTTCTGTAGTTCTCAGCTTCTCCATAATCACAACATCTCTACTTGTAGTCACATTTCTTTTGACGGGATCATAAATTCTGTAACCTTTCACATTTTCACTGAAACCAACTAGTATATGCAACTTTGATTTTTTATCCCACTTTGTTCTTTTTTCTTTAGGTATATGTACCATAACTTGGCTTCCAAATATACGAATATGCTGTAAATCTGGTTTCCTCTTGGTCCACATCTCATAGGGAGTCTTTTCAATACCTGAAGTTACTGATCTGTTCTTCAAATAGACAGCTGTGTTAGCAGCTTCTGCCCAAAATTCCTTTTTTAGATCGGCTTCGAAAAGTAAGCATCGTGCTCTCTCTACTATGGTTCTGTTTGACCGTTCACTCAGTCCATTTTGCTCAGGTGTGTAGGGATTTGTTTTTTGATGTACAATACCCTCTTTCTTCAAGAAATATTCAAAAACATTATTGCTGTACTCGCAGCCGTTATCTGTACGCAAGATTTTGATTTTCTTATTCTGTGAATTCTCAGCCATCGATTTGAATTCTTTGAAATAATTTATCACCTCACTCTTAGCCTTTAGAAAGTAAATAAAGGTCATCCTGGTGTAATCATCAACAAATATCAAAAAATAACAAGCACCGCCCATTGACACTGTCTCCATGGGGCCACAGACATCAGAATGAATGATTTGAAGAGTTTCTGTGGCTCGTGATCCAGAATTAAATGGTAATCTAGATTGCTTCCCCTCGCAGCATGTTTGACAGCTGGATTTGCTTATAACGAACCCATCAGGATAATCTAGTCCTTCTACCAGTCCACACGTCTTCATCTTGTTCATATCTGTGCTATTGATATGGCCAAGCCGTCTGTGCCATGTTTCTCCACTGACTGCTGTCAATAAACAATTCTGTGTTTGTATTTTCAATTTATACACTCCATCAACCAGATATGCTTCTGCAACTAATTCATCCAATTTGTTTTTAATGAGACACTTATCTCTCTCAAATACAACGCTGTTTCCGTTTTTTATCATTTCACTCACCGACAATAAGTTAGTCGTGAGACTTGGTACACATAACGCATTCTGCACAGTAATATCATAATTGTAGCTTGTCGTTATTTCTATGTCACCTGAACATAAAACGGGAACTTTCGTATCGTTTTTTCTTATTGGCGACAACTATTTCTGGTAAACTTGATGAGTATTTAACATTTTTCATCCAACATTCGTTCGGCGTCATATGCATACTTGCACCAGAGTCAATAAAAAAATCACTTTTACTGAAACCGCCACTGAGAAAAACAACGTTGAAAGCATTACTTTGTTTCTTGTTTACTGTTTTCTCCTTTAAAAGTGGACACTGGTTCCGATAATGTCCAGTTTTCTTACAACGATAACAAGTTATTGTTTTTGTGTTGTTTACATTCGATTTTGACATTGACGTATTCGGGATCTGTCCGCCATGTTTATTAGTGTTGCCCCCTTTGCTCGATTTATTCCGCCATTTTGCTGCCAGTGCTGAGTTACGTTCCGATTCACCTGAATCCGCTACTTCCATATCAAGTAATTTTGACTTGATCGAATCAGCCGTTATTTGAATTCCGGAGTGCTCGATGGCCATGATCATAGGCATAAATCGCTCTGGTAATCCGGCAAGCAATAATGAACCAACCCATTCATCATTGATAGCGAATCCTGTTCCGCTCAAACGTTGAGACGTTTCAACAATTTGTGTCACATAATTCGTCATATTCTCACAATTTTCTAACCTTATAGAAATCAGATGACGAAGCAACGTAATCTTCCGAGAAAAACCTGAATCGTCGAACAAAGAACGAAGTTTTGTCCACAATTGCTTCGCGGTCGTTGTATCTTTTATGTGCACGAATAATGATGAATCAATCGTCAAAATCATCTTAGCACGCGCCTTTGCATCGGTCGCCGCTGCATCGCCCGTTCCTTCTTGCTTCAGGAAAATGTCCGCGCCCTCCAATATAAGCAAGTTCTCAACTGCGAACGCCCAATCGTCGAAGTTTTCGCGACCCTTCAACTTCGGCACGTTTGCGAGATAACTGGAACTCATTTTTAACTTCACAAAACCACAATAACTAATTATTTGGGACTGGGCCCATATCCTATAATGAAAACGCGTCTGATGTTGGATAATGACTACTTTTATTTCAAAATGACACTTGACAGTATATACAATTGACACCAGATGTCGCCACAATGCTACTTTATTATCTATGTCTATATTCTATGTATTATTTCTATTTTGATATCACTTTATAACAGTTGTTTTATAAATGAACAAAGTTTAATTTGATTTGCGTCCAAGTAGTAGCGCCATCTATTTTTTATCTATTGTAAATTTTCGTAACCTATAAAGAAATGAAATTTATTTATACGATAAATGCAAATAATGTAAAATAAATGATTTGGAACTATGTAAAATTAATAATAATAATAATTCATAATATTCAAGTATGTTTTAAGATTTTATATGGTAAATTCAATAATGTTGTTTTAAAGAAAGTTGTGATTGTGATAACCGTTGCCTATAAATATCCGCTTTATTTTAAAGAGCGTTTAGTTTAATTGTGGGATTCGTTAAAAAATTAACGAAGCTGTCCTCAGTGCGCATTAAGATGGAGTCTGGACACGAAACCTCTGGCGTATCGGTGACATACACGACAGGTAAGTTTTTTTTGGTTATACATAGGAAATCTTTATATGAGTAAAGGTTATATCAACTTGAAATTTTGGGTTATTTTAATTGATACCGAATACCGGAAGGTATCCCCGTGCCCCGTTGCGCGTTTATTGACTAAGCGAAGATGCTATGCAAAATATTCGTGAAGGGCTTATAGGTACATTATTTTGTAAATTTCTTATCTTTCTAAATCTAAAAGAGAAAACGTTTTATCGACCATCCTATTGTACTTACCACCTGTAAGTTCGGTTTAAATACATTTATTTCTCATTCAGATTTACATCACTTACGTAAGAAACTTAAATAAAAATAAAAATAACTACTTAAATAATAACTACTTAAATTAAAATAATTATTTTTTTTATCACGCGGGTAGTTTTAAATAAATTCATGCGAACTACACATAGCCTATACGGTAACATTTGGTTCATAAGCAAAGATAAGTTGTAGTATGGAATACGTGAATACATAGATAAATACATAATAGATAAAACTTTTGACCAGCACTTGAGTTCCCTAAAAAAAGTTAAACCTAATGCGGCTTAAACTACATATTACAAGATAAAATCACTTCGTTTTAAGTTAGACGTAGAGTTATGAATTTTTTAGTTCATGAAGATAGGACTATTTTTAAGAAGTGCTTTTTAAGAAATTTTTATTAAATATAGATGAGATACAGTACTTTTAAAAGCCTTAAAACTTTTCTACTTTCACAAACTAAAAATGCGCACAGCGACTTTCATTGCATCATAATATAATATGCAAAGTTAAAGCATAGCTATAAAATATTGTAAACAACGTGTTCCCACATGCTTTGCGGTTAATATTGCGGCTAAGACGGCATCGCGGTTTTCTTCTGGTTTTCCATTATACCACGATAAAGGACAATTTCGGTTTGTCGCATTGACGTATTGAAAGAACGAAAGGCATCGATTAAAACAGTTTTTGAAATAATTATTTAAAATAAGTACATTAAAAACCATCTGAAACGTCGGGCCGTTGTTAAAAATAATTTTCAAACAAGTTTAACTTAAATATATAGCGTTTTAAACCGTTAAACTAAAGACGGTATTTAAGTACATTTTTCAATTGTTCTATCCAGAGTTGTGTTTATCTATACTTTTATTATATAGCTGAGTTCTGTTATTTGTTTAAACGAGCTAATCTCAGGAAGGTATGCTGGTTAGAGCATTAATCGAGAAAGGCTTTAGGCTATAAGACATGCTGCGATCAATAGAAGTAAAAAAACAGAGGGAAGAGTAACGCTACATTAATAACTCACAAGAATAGTTTTTATGGTAATTAAATTTCGGCAAAACACTTCACAGTATATTATAATGAAAAATAAAGGTAGATTTAATGGGGTAAAGACATAATATTAATCTTTTCTAGAATTCAGGTAGAGGTAGTAAAAAACTAATTTCTTATAGACGGACACAGTTGAACGGTTTGTCGTCAAATTAGTGATTTTTTTTTCAATTTTTTGCTTGTATGTTCGAAGCGAATGGAACCATGCACAACGTCAGCGCATTCATGGATTAGCCGGTCGTAACGAGGTCGTCTTACGGCGCAAGCTACCTGCATTGTGTGGTATTAAAAATAATATCCCCAACTTAACATATCCCTCTGGATATGGCAAAGCTATTTAAAAAAGTCCTAGCTTATATGAAAACTTTATATATATACTCGTGTTAAACGATTGAACTGTAATCTAGCCCAATATAATTCAATAGCAAACTGGAATTAAGACTTATAGAAGGACAAAAATGATCTTTGATCGAATGCGGCTTGGTTAGTGATTACTTCACTTCTGCATATTATAATCTGCTTAGATTAACATGAAAAAAACGTGTCTTATCGCTGGCTTTAATTAACTATATATTATCTTTTTTTTTTTACAGCTTTGTTTAAAGACTAAATAGGTCAAGGTATAGGTCTTTAGGTAGGTCAAGGTATAGTGTAGGTCTTATTTAAATTCGATTGTACCAGGAACATCGAACATTCTATCAAGAACCCCAGGCATGTCTGCCGTCACAAATTAAAATATCTCATCTAGTACAAATATATCCTGAACATAAGAAATATAAATAAGATAGTACAGGTATGGTATGTCTTTTGTTACAATGATCACAATATCGAGGTTTGCCAACAACTTGTATGGGTTTTTGTACGCTCAGCTTTCATTAGTATTTCTCCCTCGTCTGTAGTTATGATACAGATTTTATAAATCCTTAAAGTTAATGGCGGTTTTAAAAACTGATAGGAAATGTGAATTTACATTTGTTATGTAGGTAGATTAGTAACATTCGTAATAGTCGGTCACTCTCGGTCTAGCGATCAGGTCTCTCAGGTATAACAAGATTTAATTAATAGTGTTCACAATCTTACACCCAGCACGACGATGACACATACGATATGAAAAGTACCTACTCAGAGAAGAGATATAAATTGGTTATAAATATAAATGTTACGTATTTGTAGGATAATCAATAATAGGAAATATATAATAGTGATTTTTAATCTGCTTTAATCAATAAAATTTCATTTAAATACTGTCTGTAGTTTACGCGAGTAGTACACATTTAAATAAAACAGTTTAACGGTTTAAAACGCGATATACCGCGCGCTATATCGCGTTTTAAACCGTTAAAGTGTTTTATTAAAAAAAAAATTATTTTATTTTACGTATTGGGCTAACCTAACCTAACCGGACGTTTGGGCGAGCGCCCTAGAGCTCACTGTGTTTGCTAGACCAAGGGTGCCCCAAGGGGGGCATCGGCCTCGGCTTGGACCGTCGCAATGCGGGTGGGAGCTTGAAGAGCCGGTCGAAAGCTCACCCGGGTGAAGGACAATCAATTTTCAGTCATCTGCTTTAACTATACATGTGTAGAACAAAATTCTATACACAATAATTTTGTATTGAATATATAATTATTGTAAGTTGCAAACTTATCTATTTTGGGAACGAAACGTAAAAAAAAACCACATCGATATAATAAAACATGATACAAAGATAGTACAGTTTTCACACAGGATCCTGCGTGTCCAAGGCTACATCTTCTTAATATATCATCGCGAAAAAAGGACTCGTCTTACGAAAGCCCTGGGGCGGAGGTTTTATTCCGGCGACAATATTTTCACACTGTCCTTTGTTCTACTTGTAATCGCGAGCATTTGTAATGCCTCGAAAGAATACTTTTGTGTTTACATAATCTTTTGCAAAAATACTAACCGTGATAAGCTTGCTATCGAAGTTTCGTAGCGGGTTTAATTACCGCCTGCACCAATCTGTTATATTAAAATATGAAATCATATGGATAAGAAGTGAAGACAAAACAAACATAATGCAACCAGCCTTAAAGTGTTTAGATATTATCTTCCACGGCAAAACGTGCTTTAAGTGCGTAAATTTGAATTTAATATTCGGTTAGGATGGGCACAGAATTTTCTGCTCTATATTACTAAGTGAAATTGGAATTTTACTAACATAAATGATAAAATTCGCAGTTTCTAACTGTTATCTACATCCCTTATTAATATATGTTAGGCATTCAAAATTGTACTCGTAAGTTGTTATATACTATATTTTATATATGTTTTGACGTCGGTGTAATCGTAGCAATGTATTACTAATAATCAACGAGTCGTTAATTCGATCTCCACCGGATTCAATATGTTTTAATCAATATACATACTTATCTGAAAAATGGTGAATGCCGTAATAATATGTTATAGTTTGTGGATTTCTGAATATCCAAATACAAAATAAGTCTACAGCGGTTCTTGTTGACATATTATATTGCTGGCTGGGATATTTTACCTCTCAAGGTGATTCTTGTCTATAATTATCTAATAAAATTCTATAGCTATAATTTTTAATCTCAAATTAATTTCACAATATAGAAAAAATGCTCTTTATCTTATTTAATAAAAGCAACAAATTTAAGCATAACAATGTTTATCACGCAGTATAGCAATCACAATAATTGCCTAATTTTGCAATCTTATTATCTAACATCTGTCTGTACTAAGTTTTAATGTAGGAAAGCGGGTTTAGCAAACTGTCTCTATTATCGCAGTTAATGCAATTTTGATATTAAATAAATACAACGGAACTCGACACAGTGTACTTTGTCATAGATAAATAACACTTTGTATTAAACTTATTTGTTCAATGTTTTACCGAATAAAATGAGATTCAAATTTATTTTAAGGGGTTTGGATTGTGCAATAGTTTAGTATTGTAAAAACCGCAATAACAAAATAATTACAACAATTCAATATAATCAATAATTTTGTCACAGAATCAGTAAAACATCAGTAAGTTAAAAGTAAAGTGTACAAGTAAGTTATACGTGTCTTGTAGACTATTTGACTCATAAATACAAATTTGAATTTTTGTTTAAATGTGTATCTGTAGTATACGCGAATGGTACAGATTAAGAGGCGATTACAAAGGCAACTGAAGCGTCCCGTTTCGTTTAAAAACGACAATATAACAATGTAGTTCGCGTTTAAGCAAAATTGGTTAATTTTAAGGAGGACAGACATGGGGTATTATACCTCAGCCTGTAGTATCTAAACAAGATACGCTGTCGACCTTAACTGTGGTTATTGCAAATAACATTTTCATTATATTCTACACCCGCGTACTCTGTAATGAATCACTATTTACTGCATTGCAGGCAGATAACAGCCTGATAACAAATACGTCACTTATAAAGATCGTTCTGATAGTGGGTATCTTGCAGTACAACTTGTCATATAAAAGCCATCTCCAAACATCCCAGAACACTTAGACCAAATCACACAAACAAGATGGTTTCCGACTTCAGGAAGAAGAAGCTGCTTCATGTATTTACTTCGTTCTTTGATAGGAACGGGAGCGGATCGATTGATAAGAAAGACTTCGAATTAGCTGTTGAGAATATTTCTAAGTTGCGTGGTTGGGCACCAGGAGATGCTAAGTACAAGGAAACGCAGAATACGCTGATGAAGATATGGGACGCATTACAGGGTAGAGCTGATAACGATAATGATGGCGAGATATCCGTGGACGAGTGGGTCTCCATGTGGGATGACTATGCGAAGAACCCGAACGCGTCTCTCGAATGGCAGAACCTGTACTGCAAGTTTATCTTTAACTTGGAAGATGCTAGTGGCGATGGAGCGATCGATGGAGAGGAATTTTCTTCGGTGTACGCTTCTTTTGGTTTAAATAAGGACGATGCGCTAGCCGCTTTCAGGAAAATGTCGAAGGGAAAAGCCAACGTATCCTGGTCCGAGTTTCAAGATTTGTGGAAGGAGTACTTCACAACAGAAGATGCGAATGCGGCTGGTAATTTTATCTTCGGGAAAACGAGCTTCTAATCTCATAGTTTTAATAATACCTAAGTATTTTTGTGTGTGACGTTAACAACACAATAACTGTTCAGTTAGGATTTGTGTCAGCCACTTTTAAACTATGTAAAAATAATATTGTCAAGTAAATACTAAGACATCATGTATACTTTAATGTAATTGTCATTTAAAAAAAATATTTAAAAATTCTTAAATTTCATTATTTTATCTAAGTGCTCAAGCGCATTCTAAATGTAAAACATTTCTAATAATAATAATAATATTGGTTGAATTTGGAAAACACACGGCTTTTTCACATTTATCATAATACGTTTAACGTTATATAAATTAAAAATCAAACTTACGACACGGGCCGGACTTGAAGCGGTATCCATAGTGTTCTGTGCTGTTGCTCTAATCAATTGAGTTACCGTGTCCTATATCATCGTCGATTTTTTTCATTCTATTGATACTTGCACCTCTCGCGCGAATCCTATTTTTTTTTAATTTATATAGTGCCATCATGTGCTATGAAAATATAAACGTTTTCAAACGTATAACGCTGCTAATCGTAATAATTACTCCACGAATGTAATCAACATTTGACCGATAGTAATCTTGCAATAAACCGAGCGTTAGATAAAGCTATAAAACCGCATCAAGACTGCACTGGGCGATAAAAAATTCTATAATCCAGAACAATTTGGCGAGTGAGTGGCGTTCTCTTCGTTCCTCCCCACCCCAAGTACGGGGTTCGCGTCGCATTAGAATCTCTCTTTATCGCATTAGCCCTTAATGTACGAGTTTTTGGATGAGCTACATCTGCGCTACAACTTATAATAATTGAGGCAATATTTAAATGCATGGTATAATCCTAATTAAATTCAGGACTTAATGGAAAGGGTTTTTTTTCTTTTCTGATTATCTTTAATTTCATTGATAACTTGCTGTGTCAGCGACTTCGTCGGCGTAGAATAGTTATTTTGGCCATTCAAATTTGTTTTTAAAAACCTCTACATCTTTATTAATTAAGGCTGCCCATGACATCGGTCGCCTCGCGTCGCTCGCGACCCGTCGTTCGGGTACCGTCGTTCTCGCAAGTTAATCTTAAAAGATAGACATGTCGCGGACATTTTTTTAGATCATTTAAAAAGGAATCATTCTTTCATACATATTTTTTGGGTGTCTTGAACCTTTTTCGGAGCGTACGCATCTGAACCCACAGAGATAAAAATTTCCCCCCGTTTGAAACATATTTCTCGTTGTATCTTCGCTTGTATTAGTCACAGGGCAGTGTTTTACAGCCTTTCTCGATAAATGTTCTAACACAAAAATAATTTTCTAAACCGAACCCGTAGCTCCTGAGATTAGCGCGTTCAAACAAACAAACTCTTCAGCTTTATATGTTAGTATAGATTAATCTTTCTTATTTAACTATGAAGTAAATAATACTATAATGAAACTACGTAATTCATATTGAGTATTTTCGGCGGATATAATTAGCTTATCTGATTTCCATGACACAAATCATATTACCTCCTGCTAAGCTAGCATTTTAAAATAAAAAAAATGTTAAAAGATTGCCGTGTACGTACAATCAAAGAGATAAGATTGATAAAAAATCTATTTTGTCATTTTTTCCGCGACATTCAGTTTTTAGAGAATTTTATTAATTGAGAACATAATATATTGCTTAGTAAGAATTTTAGTTGTTTAACAAAGTAGGAACCTTCGAAATTCAAATAGATGTGACGTTAGCTTAAATAACAAAAGATATCTACTTAATTTTGGAATAATTTCCTTAAACAACTTATATCAAAAGGTCAAATACGAAAATGCTGTAACAGACCTATCCACTTCATACCGCAGCAATGTACGTGGGCGTGTGACGGACCATGACAGATGTGTTCTATCGGTCAATTGTTAAAGACATGCGTATAACTATATGTGTGAAACTATCTCCTTCCCGGTTCTAGAATAATAATTAACAGCTCGGATAAACAATTTTCCAACTTGGATTTACTAAGTAACATAACAACAGTATCGCGTAATGCGTTTTAGTGTAAATATGAATTTTAAAGTTCATTTTAAATTAAAGTTGTTAATGAATGACATATATAATAAATAATGAATGGGAAACCAACATACACACATACTTCTGTCTCTATCGATCGATCCAAGTCCATAAGATTTTCTTCCATTAAATGTTACATAGTGTATTTTCAAAAATATCTATTTAAAATAAATTTTAATTTATATAACCTCCCTTGGGTACTTACAATATCTTTATACGTGCTTTTTGCGGATAAAATTTATTTTTAATTCTCGCGAAAAGTTATTATCAGGGCGATATAATTATCTTGATATTTGTAATCTCTCTATAATCGAGGACAATGATCGATGCGACTTTGAATGGTATTATATAATAATTACTTAAAAAAAAAAAAAAAAAAAAAAAAAAAAAAAAAAAAGGGGGGGGGGGGGGGGGGGGGGGGGGGGCCCCCCCTGTGGGGCGGGGGGGGGGGGGGGGGGGGGGGGGGGGGGGGGGGGGGGGGGGGGGGGGGGGGGGGCCCCGCCGGGGGGGGGTTTTTTTTTTTTTTTTTTTTTTTTTTTTTTTTTTTGGTCCCCCTCGGGGGCAAAAAAGGGGGAAAATTTTTTTTTTTTCCAAACGTAATAATTACTTCCACTAATACAATTTTTACAAATTATTTAATTTCACTCTTACTTGTTTATAATATCTACTTATATATTTTAATTATAACATGCCTTTTAAAACCCTTCTAGTATAGAAAATATTAATGTAAACATATTCAAACACGATAAAGTTCTGACTTGTGTTGATTCATGCCACGTTTTAAATATGTACGTCAAAAATTACTTTACATCAGGCCACGTGGTGTAAAGAATTGGCTATCATAATGTATTTAATCCTAAAGTACTTTTTAGATAATATGTAATATGAATTTCGCATTACGTCATTTAATAATTCCGTTAATTTTCTTATCGAATGATAATAATTTAAGTATAAAAAGTCTGTTCAGTCGATAAATCACGTTTATTTCTATCGTGAATTATCCAAAATCAACAAAATGGTATCCGACGTTAGAAGGAAAAAGTTATTATTCGCTTTTAAGAAATTCTTCGACGCCGACGAAAGTGGTGCTGTTGAAAAAAAGGATTTCGAAAAGTCCTTGGACAGAATTGTAAGGTTACAAGGATGGAAGGAGAGCGATGTGGTCTTCAACGTCGCTAAAGACATCATGAATCAGATCTGGGAAGGTTTCCAAAGCTCCGCTGACTCAGATAACGACGGAAAAGTAAGCACAGAGGAATGGATTAAGATGTGGGACCTTCAAGACAAAGAGACTTTACCTGAATGGAACAACTTGTTCTGCAAAGTATGTTTCCACCTTCAAGATAAATCCGGAGATGGTAAGGTCGACGAAGAAGAGTTTGTGAAGGTGCACGAAGTCTTCGGAGGGCCCAAAGAAGACGCTGTTGAAGCTTTTAAGAAGTTATCCCAAGGCCAAAGTAGTTTAAGCTGGGAAGAGTTCCAAAAGTTATTCAAGGACTTCTTCTTGTCTGATGATGCTGATGCACCAGGAAACTATATTTTCGGCACAATTAACTTCCTCAAGGAATAGTTTATAATATTATTTTTCTCAAATTGTCACAGTTATTATATTAAAATTATTTGAAAACTGGCTACTTTTTAATAATCTTATCGCCCTTGCCAAAACTGCATTCATAATACATGGGCATTAAGGTGAGATGCCCTTTGCATGTAGAAAGTCATTACAAGATTACGATAATCTCATCAGAGTACTTTAGTTTATCGTTCTTTAACAGGGAATAAAGATAAAAAGATGCAGTATTTCGCCTATATATAAGATGAAGTGATAAATGCATTCGCAGCATTAGATAGCATTGATCAGTAAAAATGGTGTCCGAATTTAGAAAGAAGAAAATCTTATATCTTTTTAAAATTATGTGCAATGCTGAAAGTAACTCCACAGCTGAGAAAAAAGACTACGATGCATCTGTGGCATATATTTTGAACATTCTACGTAAGGAGAAGAATAGTAAGTTCCTTAAAGACATTGAAGAAGGGGCCGCAATGGTTTGGGAAGGTTTGAGCAGTGGTAGGGATAAAATAAATGCAGAAGAATGGATAAATGTGTGGGATACAGGTAAAAGTGAGTTACTCGAGTGGCAGAAAATGCATTGCAAAGTTAACTTCCTGATGCAAGATCTGGCGGGGGATGGTGTTGTAGATGAAGAAGAGTTTGTAAGATTCCACGTAGCATTGGGAATGTCCGCGGAGGTAACGAAGGGAGCCTTCCAGAAAATGTCTCAAGGAAAGCCTAAAGTAACATGGGAAGATTTTGAAAGGCTTTACAAGGAATATTTACAAAGTGAAGACAAGATTGCCCCAGGAAATTATGTTTTTGGATCGACTAAGCTATTTATGTAAAACATATGTCCAAAAATACATAAAATCTAAATATGTTAAATACTGTCTGTAACTGTAGTTTACGCGAGTAGTACACATTTAAATAAAACACTTTAACGGTTTAAAGCGCGATATATTTTAGTTAAACTTATTGGAAAATTATTTTTAACTACTGCCCGACGTTTTGTATGCTTTGCAGAAGCGGTGGTCACGGTAAGTCTCCCCGTCTGAAATATATCGCGTTTTGAACCGTTAAAGTGTTTTATTTAAATCTAAATTTGTTGTTATTATTCGTTCTTCTATATTACGTTTCTATCATTGTAAAATGTAAATCAATGATAAATGTATATAATATTACAGTTTTTATCAGTTCAAAGACCATTGCATTGATAAATTAACAATCATTAGTGCTAATATATACGTTCATTTTAATGAATTATTAGTTTATCCGCTTTATAAAATACGTATAATTAATAAGTGCCACGATTTCATTCGCTCGAAATGCAACTTAGAAATAATATTGTTAAATAGTTGGTATGCACCCTGTTCATAGTTTTATGTTATTTTTAACTAGCGAAGAAGATTTTAATAAAACTTTCCTCTTCTTACTTCCTGCCGTCTGGATTCTTTTCGAACTTTCCAACTTAAATATTATTGAGGAGTTTTTTATCAGTATTGGTCGAATGGTTTAAATGAATACTGCATAGTTAATATTGTTTTTATCTCATGCAAACGTTTTTATTGTGGCTGTAAGTAATTGTCCTTAGTGTGTCAAACTTTTCTGTATCCTTCAAAAAAATCTTATTTTTTACGTAGGAAAGACAATTGATAGCTAATGAAATACCCCAGCAATATAACATCTAACAAGTTACGTAGGAGGAGGGAACGTATTTTGGATTTAGTTATTCGATAAACGCGATTAAACATGACTTCGTGGACTAGGACGGAATCTTCGGTACAATTTAGTGCCCAAAAACCCATCTAATCTAAAACTCTAATGTAGAGAATAGAAGGTAGATTTAACGGAGTAAAACTATCAGACTAAACGCAATTTATATTGCCTGATTTAATATGACTTGCAACTCTACAGTTGGCATAGACAGCCAATGGCTTTTAGTTTCGTATACGCTTATTGAATATAAACGTATATATTGTACTGAACAAAGTTAAAACTTTAATGGAAGTCTTAAATAAATTAGTAACATATTTCACGATACGGTAAAAAAGATTAACAAAAGTTCGTAATAAAGCCGAGCTAAATTACTCTAGATTTCGGGGTAGGTAACAAATAAAGGAAAGTTAAGTAAATAATGAGTAAAAGTGGTCATTTTAAAACACGTTGAGTGCTAATTATAGCTTGAGTTATAGCTCGGATCTCGGTTTGGGGCAGGTGCACGCTGGTGCAAGTGATAAGCGCTATCTAATATCTTAAGAGATAGAATGTGACAGCTGTTGGAAAAATACTATAAATGTAACATAATAAAATAATTTTCAAATAACATATATACAGATAAAATTAAGATCGAGGCATGGAATAGAATCGATCTCATAAATATTTTTAAAAGTTATACAATATTTTATAGTAATGGTTTTTGCACAACACAACGTTTTAAGCCATTTTCATAAGTCAATAATATTATATAATAATGCTGGCAAAATATGGAAGTTTCAAAAAACGATGATTTTGGTCAGATACAGTTATCAAAATGCGTGTTACATAAATATCAGTTTCACTGTGAATATTTCCTCTAAAATATAATAAGTAAATTACCAACGTTAAATACTTAAATAAATAATTGAAAACCGCATTTTTTTCTCTATAAAAGTTATATTAATTCGCGATCTCCTGTACCTTACAACTGTAAACGTTCCGGCCCGTTTGTGGCCGTACCTGAAGTGGCTTCACGAATATTTATGACCACGTTATTACGTGTAATCGCTGTTCAAATCTACCTCCTTTATTACATGATCTCGGGACGTTTGTCAGAAAGAAGAATGTACTGAGTCCTCGGCTCTATGGAAATTTTAATTAGCTTCTATTGTTTTTGAAATGGATGCTTAGTGTTGATGTTGGTGTACAATATATAATATTACTGTCAGATTTTAATGAATAGAAATAGAGCTGGGATTTTTGAAGGTAATATTGATTAACGAAAAAGACATTTAGAAATTGTATATGTATACCTCGATGAATTAAAAAAATACACATCCTACTTAGATCAGTTATAGGGCGTCGGATTAAAATTTTTTTTTTTTTATAAGATATTTATTAAATACTGTCTATAGTTTAAGTATATTTAAAAAGCGAGATAATAGAACTTATTGGCGGGGGCCGCGGGGGGGGAAAAAAAAACCAAAGGGCGGGGCGGAGAAAAAAAAAAATTTTAAAAAAATTTTAACTAATATATCGCGTTTTAAACCGTTAGAGTGTTTTATTTAAAAGATATTTATTACATACATTCTACATAAAGAACACTTGAATCTAGATCTTTCTAAAATCATAATTAATTCTAATCTTTAGATTTGATTATCTTCTTTTAAAATAACTTATTTCTTTTCTTAATATACGTTTCTTTTTTTTCAAGAACAAGTCTCAGATTATATATCTTATTAGAAAAAAGATGTCTGATGTGAAAGAAAATTTAACCAATGGTTCCATTTGGTTAACGCAAGACCACTATTTTCAACTTTTTTGTACAATATGGATTAGCCTAATAGTATTAAACTTCAGAAACATTTTGATACATCGCCAATATCCGAAATGCTACTAAAACTCGTGCTAACGTCAAAAAAGCAATTAATCTGCATCAATACATCACTCGGTGAAACATTGAGCTGAGGTTTTACAATTTTTAGGGTTCAAATGTTAGCGTACTTTTTTGTGGATTCGGGTATTTTAAATCTACATAATACAAGATTTATTACTTGTATTATTTTACTGGTAATAATTGTATTATTATGCAACAATTCGCGGGAAATGCATATATCTAACAGGTTGACAAAAATTAGTTGATGACTAATGCTAGAGTAGCTTCATTGGTTGGAACAGTAGCACGGATCGCCGTGTACGCCAGTTTGATTTCCGCCCGTGCCATGGATTTTTTTTTCAATCTTAATAGATGTTTAAAATATAATAAAAAGAATCTAATGATTATTTAATTGTAATTTTTAAAGTGACATAAAATTAGAACTAGATAATATACCTATAACTAGCAAATAAATTTAATTTACAAAAAACAAAAACATAAAGAAACCTTATTGTCACCACAAAGTTACAAAAAAAGATTTAATTCGAAGAAAATCCTAAAAATGTAGCGAGGAAAGGCGGCCTTATTGCTAAAAAGCGATTTCTTACAGGCAATCTCGAAGATGGAGATTTACATGTAACACTAGAGCTATTATATAATAAGTTTTTTTTATAATTTGTAGTGTAAATTTAATTTATAACATAGATGAAATCCTTACACAATTTATAGATTAAATGCGATCTAAGTTTCACAATACAGTTGTATTACTTTGAGTGCTCTTGTGCTAAAATATCACAAACACAAATGAAGACTTGCTTTTAACTTTGACGTCGATGTTGTAAAAACTTTTACGAAGTTTTATCCGAAACCCACCGCACTGTGTCACAGTTCGTTTGATTACTACTAGCTGCGATATGACGTAAGACATTTCGGATGCGGCAATTTCGTGTTTAGAAAAATAAATGTTATTTGTTTCTATTTAGGATACTATCATACTTTTATATAGAAACTATTTATCATGCATAAACTTGTAGAAAATGGTTTCAGCTGAGTTTAAAATAGTAATCCTAGTTCCAATTACATTTATAAAAGTACTTTTGAACAATGTAAAAGCATTCATAGACATATTTGTTTGTTATATTTTATAATTTCGCATTTAACATACGTCTAAAGGGGCTGTTATCCCCGTAGTTAGAAAGAAAAAAATATGATTCATACGTCATTCACATATTTTTTTTAAATAAACACTTTTAACGAGTTTAAAATGCAAAATATAAATATTTTTTTATTATTTAAACTACGACCCGATGTTTTATTTCGAACTTCGCTTATGATTCAAAATGGCACCATATCCATGGCAACGTGGGTGCGCGTCACTGCAGAGTGCAGGCAATTCCATGCTGTCACAGTCGCGGGAGCATCGCGTCACTGACCTACCCTACCTCCACATGATCACGGCTGACGCTAACGAATGCCAAATCTTCTGTATACAGCCACCATAGCTCTTCGTGTTCGAAGCTAAATGGAGAATGATGTTTTTGTAATCACTAGCTTGAGATGAACACACTTTTTATTAAGAGACCAAAGACACGCACGCAAATTACATTCCGCGAGAGTTAGAGTGAGAAGATGCATATACCAATAACTTAAAAAAATTCGACGATGAAATGTAGGAATAGATAGCTCAATTGGTAGAGCACAGCATAATAATAAATAAATAACAGCACGAAACGCTCACGATGCCTGTTGAACCAATACTTAAATACTGTTTGTAGATTACGCGAGTATAAATTATTTTACTATGGCTTCTCATGTCCTCGTAACCACGGCTGTTGCATAGAGTCCGAAAGGTCGGTATAAATAAGTTTCGCGTTTTAAACCGTTAATGTTTTATTATATAAATGTTTTATTTTCAAAGACTTTAATTATTAAGTAATTAAAAAAAAACAACTGGTTTAGAAACTTTTCCATTGTTTTTGCTAAAAGCAACATGGAAGCTGACATGTCCCAACTGTGACAATAAATTGTTTGAAATTAAATTCATCTATCAAATTTCCCCGGCGCGTAACTGCACAGAAAAATGTTATTCGATAGTTATATATTTGTTATTTAAATATAAAAGTTCATATCCCGGAAATTCAAACTTATTAACGCGTGAAGCTGAAATCGAATACGCGTATAATCCCTCAAAATATCCCCGCAATTCCCTCGACCACTTGTCAGTTTCCTGTCCGTCAACATATTATAGTGTGCAGCATTGTTCATTGGTGTTAA